ACATTCCAACTCGATTTAGGGACATATATATCTATAAAAAAGAATTCATATTTCGCTCAAATTTCATCAAAAATGTAAGGCTAACCCCTTGCAATTTTTGTCAATTTTGGTCAAAAAATGAAATTGCTCTAAACTCCCTGGAAAGACTCTGAAAGGCCCCTCGAACACATTCCATCTCGATTACGGGACATATATATCAATAAAAAGGAATTCATATTTTGCCCAAATTTCATCAAAAATGTAAGGCTAACCCCTTGCAATTTTTGTCAATTTTGGTCAAAAAATGAAATTGCTCCAAACTTCCTGGAAAGACTCCTAAGGGGTCCTCGAACACATTCCAACTCGATTTAGGGACATATATATCAATAAAAAAGAATTCATATTTCGCTCAAATTTCATCAAAAATGTAAGGCTAACCCCTTGCAATTTTTGTCAATTTTGGTCAAAAAATGAAATTGCTCCAAACTTCCTGGAAAGACTCCTTAGGGGTCCTCGAACACATTCCAACTCGATTTAGGGACAGATACATCAATTAAAAGAAATTCATATTTTGGCCAAATTTCATAAAAAAATGTAAGGCTAACCCCTTGCAATTTTTGTCAATTTTGGTCAAAAAATGAAATTGCTCCAGACGTACTGGAAAGACTCCTTAGGGGTCCTCGAACACATTCCAACTCGATTTAGGGACAGATACATCAATTAAAAGAAATTCATATTTTGGCCAAATTTCATAAAAAAATGTAAGGCTAACCCCTTGCAATTTTTGTCAATTTTCGTCAAAAAATGAAATTGCTCTAAACTTCCTGGAAAGACTCCTAAGGGGTCCTCGAACACATTCCAACTCGATTTAGGAAGAGATACATCAATTAAAAGAAATTCATATTTTGGCCAAATTTCATAAAAAAATGTAAGGCTAACCCCTTGCAATTTTTGTCAATTTTGGGCAAAAAATGAAATTGCTCCAAACGTACTGGAAAGACTCTGAAGGGCCCCTCGAACACATTGCAACTCGATTTAGGGACAGATATATGAATGAAAAGAAATTCATATTTTGGCCAAATTTCATCTAAAATGTAAGGCTAACCCCTTGCAATTCTTGTCAATTTTGGTCAAAAAATGAAATTGCTCTAAACTTCCTGAAAAGACTCCTAAGGGGTCCTCGAACACATTCCAACTCGATTTAGGGACATATATATCAATAAAAAAGAATTCATATTTCGCTCAAATTTCATCAAAAAAGTAAGGCTAACCCCTTGCAATTTTTGTCAATTTTGGTCAAAAATGAAATTGCTCTAAACTTCCTGGAAAGACTCCTAAGGGCCCCTCGAACACATTCCGACTCGTTTGAGGGACAGATATATCAATTTAAAAAAATTCCTATTTTGGCCAAATTTCATCTAAAATGTAAGGCTAACCCCTTGCAATTTTTGTCAATTTTGGTCAAAAAATGAAATTGCTCCAAACGTACTGGAAAGACTCCTAAGGGGTCCTCGAACACATTCCAACTCGATTTAGGGACAGATATATCAATTAAAAGAAATTCATATTTTGGCCAAATTTCATAAAAAAATGTAAGGCTAACCCCTTGCAATTTTTGTCAATTTTGGTCAAAAAATGAAATTGCTCTAAACTTCCTGGAAAGACTCCTTAGGGGTCCTCGAACACATTCCAACTCGATTTACGGACAGATACATCAATTAAAAGAAATTCATATTTTGGCCAAATTTCATAAAAAATTGTAAGGCTAACCCCTTGCAATTTTTGTCAATTTTGGTCAAAAAATGAAATTGCTCTTAACTTCCTGGAAAGACTCCTAAGGGGTCCTCGAACACATTCCAACTCGATTTAGGGACATATATATCAATAAAAAAGAATTCATATTTCGCTCAAATTTCATCAAAAATGTAAGGCTAACCCCTTGCAATATTTGTCAATTTTGGTCAAAAAATGAAATTGCTCTAAACTCCCTGGAAAGACTCTTAAAGGCCCCTCGAACACATTCCATCTCGATTACGGGACATATATATCAATAAAAAGGAATTCATATTTTGCCCAAATTTCATCAAAAATGTAAGGTTAACCCCTTGCAATTTTTGTCAATTTTGGTCAAAAAATCAAATTGCTCCAAACTTCTTGGAAAGACTCCTAAGGGGTCCTCGAACACATTCCAACTCGATTTAGGGACAGATATATTAATATAAAGAAATTCATATTTTGGCCAAATTTCATCAAAAATGTAAGGCTTACCCCTTGCAATTTTTATCAATTTTGGGCAACAAATGAAATTGCTCCAAACTTCCTGGAAAGACTCCTAAGGGCCCCTCGAACACATTCTGACTCGTTTTAGGGACAGGTATATCAATAAAAAGAAATTCATATTTTGGCCAAATTTCATAAAAAATGTAAGGCTAACCCCTTGCAAATTTTTATCAATTTTGGCCAAAAATGAAATTGCTCCAAACTTCCTGGAAAGACTCTTAAGGGCCCCTCGAACACATTGCAACTCGATTTAGGGACATATATATCTATTAAAAAAAATTCATATTTTGGCCAAATTTCATCAAAAATGTAAGGCTAACCCCTTGCAATTTTTGTCAATTTTGGTCAAAAAATGAAATTGCTCTAAACTTCCTGGAAAGACTCCTTAGGGGTCCTCGAACACATTCCAACTCGATTTACGGACAGATACATCAATTAAAAGAAATTCATATTTTGGCCAAATTTCATAAAAAAATGTAAGGCTAACCCCTTGCAATTTTTGTCAATTTTGGTCAAAAAATTAAATTGCTCTTAACTTCCTGGAAAGACTCCTAAGGGGTCCTCGAACACATTCCAACTCGATTTAGGGACATATATATCAATAAAAAAGAATTCATATTTCGCTCAAATTTCATCAAAAATGTAAGGCTAACCCCTTGCAATTTTTGTCAATTTTGGTCAAAAAATGAAATTGCTCTAAACTCCCTGGAAAGACTCTTAAAGGCCCCTCGAACACATTCCATCTCGATTACGGGACATATATATCAATAAAAAGGAATTCATATTTTGCCCAAATTTCATCAAAAATGTAAGGTTAACCCCTTGCAATTTTTGTCAATTTTGGTCAAAAAATCAAATTGCTCCAAACTTCTTGGAAAGACTCCTAAGGGGTCCTCGAACACATTCCAACTCGATTTAGGGACAGATATATTAATATAAAGAAATTCATATTTTGGCCAAATTTCATCAAAAATGTAAGGCTTACCCCTTGCAATTTTTATCAATTTTGGGCAACAAATGAAATTGCTCCAAACTTCCTGGAAAGACTCCTAAGGGCCCCTCGAACACATTCTGACTCGTTTTAGGGACAGGTATATCAATAAAAAGAAATTCATATTTTGGCCAAATTTCATAAAAAATGTAAGGCTAACCCCTTGCAAATTTTTATCAATTTTGGCCAAAAATGAAATTGCTCCAAACTTCCTGGAAAGACTCTTAAGGGCCCCTCGAACACATTGCAACTCGATTTAGGGACATATATATCTATTAAAAAAAATTCATATTTTGGCCAAATTTCATCAAAAATGTAAGGCTAACCCCTTGCAATTTTTGTCAATTTTGGTCCAAAAATGAAATTGCTCCAAACTTCCTGGAAAGACTCTGAAGGGCCCCTCGAACACATTGCAACTCGATTTAGGGACAGATATATCAATGTATATCTTGTACAAGAGTTGCTAGAGGTTTAAAATCATCATGTATTATCTCTATTTTCTTCCAAGGGTACCAAGCTATTGAAGTGTACTGTTTACAATTGGGAAATCAGGATACCAGTGAATATATTGCCATCAAAAATAAAATGGTCACAATATAAAGAAGTCACAATTTGCAAGGAATATTTTTAAATCTTTTATTGAGATAGTTACTTCATCGCCACAATTCTTGAATGCATTTCATAGCATTGATTAATCTTTTTTTATCTAGCCATAGAATTTGATCGTGATTATTAATTCCTTGTTTCTTCAATTTCTTTTCTCTACGTAGGATTTGAATGTCCATTAACTGAAAACAAAGAAAATATAACGGTTATTTGTAAAACATGTTTTCAAATGCATTTAAGCATTGATTACTATACAATGTACCGAAAGTTGTCAAAAATTAGAAATCGAAATTGTGTCTGTACCTGTAACAGTAATGGAATATTCCAAGGATGGACTGTTCCATTTTGAAAACAAAGGTTGTTTCTGTGAGAGTAAACCAATGAGGTGATATTTAAAGTATGATTATTAAAAAATGGATACAGGTAATCCTGTTATTTCTTATTGATCTATTCCTCAGTGCCCATAAGATATCCTAAATGGAATAGTCCGGTTCTGGGCTGTACCATTCCGTGTTGGGGGTTTGTAATCATGTAATCAAGGGAGGTTGGTAAATTCTAATTATTAATGCAACAGTCGATTTCCAGTTTTGAGTTATTCCTTTTTTTTTTTTTTTAAATTCCCCTCACTCCTTTGTTTACTTGCCACGTCAGCTACGTACCTACTTCTTAATTAAGAATAAAACAATCATAATTATTACAATTGATCAATTGAATTTCCATTGACATTTCATGATGTAACTTCATGTTGCGTGTTTACATTTCGGTATGTGATTTTCATATGAATTGTTTCATTCAAGGCAGCGTAAATAAGAAGTAAAACTGAACTAGGGTTGCAAAATGCGCTGCAGGTTTTAATTTAACCCCAACTCCCTGGGCATTTTTGCTAAGATGCAACCTCAATCCTGCAAAATCCTCCAACTTCCTCCAAGTAAAAATTGCATACAGCCTCAATCTTGCAAAATCCTCTGTTACTTCTTGAATGTGGTCCTTGTAACCACTGCCTCAATCCTGCAAAATCCTCCGACAATCACTGTCAATATGTTGAGGCAGAGCCAGTGACATCCTGAAGAAGTGCGGAGGATTTCAAGTATAATGTAGGCCTAAATTTATGCATGGCTGAGCATAAACAACACAAGGTCCGGCCTAAGACCATGACACAGTGCATCCTCCAAAATTAGCCACACATTTTTGCCACATAGCCTCAGTCCTGTAAAATCTTTCATATTGCAAAGAGGATTTTGGAGGATTTGAAAAGGTTAAGGTTAAAAAAAATCCCCCTCCCGAAAAAAAAAACCAAAACATAAAAATGGACAAAAGTTTACTCCACCACAGTGATAATTCCTTTCTTTCTCTCTGGAACGTGAGGCACTGCTCCCTTTTTACTGTGTCGCCGTCTGTTCTCAGTCCTAAAAAAAGACAGAAAAGGGAATTATGTTTAAAGTAATATCTATCATGTAGGACAAATGGGGGTGCACGGAGGGTCTGTACATACTGGCCATATTGCGATGGAAGGTCTAACATCGTAAGGTCTAACTTTGTAAGGAAAATCTGAGAATTTTTTCTAATATGCATCAGTGTTGTAGTACTCGTACTCGGTACTCGTACTCGAGTACTACTCGAGTACTTTTTTGGAGTACTCGTACTCGTACTCGAATGTCAAAGTACTCGTACTCGAAATGACGGTACTCGTAGTTGGGCAGCAAAGTACTCGTACTCGACATGTCGAAATTGTATCGATCATTTAAGTACTCGTACTCGAATAGCAGTACTCGGGGGAAAAAATGTTATAGCTTCACTTACCATGGCCTTATTTTATCGATACTTTCAGTTTGAAATGGTTGATTGGCTTGTGGAGAAATCGAGATTTCCTGATTTTCCTCTGTGCAAGTCTGGACAAACACATTTAACAACTAGCTGTGAGTGGGTCTGTATATCGGTCTGACTTGGCACAATGAACCATCGTACTCGTACTCGGCAACCTAAGTACTCGGCCGTACTCGGTACTCGAAAGAAAGTACTTGACTACAACACTGATATGCATGTGCTAACTTCTACCATAATCTGGTTCCAGTAACTGGCTCCGCTTTGCATACAATTCTGTGCTTAGTGTTTACCACTCTGTGCTTACAGACAATTCTCCGCTAACCCTGTGAGCATGAACATCCCTTTTGCCTTCCAAATTTCATCTGCTTTTATACGCTGCATTGCAGGCAGAAAATCTCTCAACCAACAAAATCCTCCTGGTGGTTTTTGGCGGATTTTGGAGGATTGAGGCTGAATGACAAAAAGTATCAGTTGATTTTGGAGGATGCATTGTGTCGAGTTCATAGGCTGTACCTTGCATTGTTTATGTTCAGCCATGCATAATTGAGCACTGCATTATGCTTGATATCATCCGTACTGCTTCTGAATGTCATCGAGACTGCCTCAACCTATTAACAGTGATAGTTGGAGGATTGTGAAGGATTGTGGCAATGGTCACCCCTCAACTGAACAAATAAAAACGGATGATTTTGTAGGATTGAGGCTGAATCCAATTTTGACATGGTGGCAAGTGGAGGATTTTGCGGGATTGAGGATGGTTCCTAGCCAAAAGGGCCCAGTTGTTGGGGTTACAACATCAACTACGCTATATAACACCACACAGAGAGATTACATCTCAACACCGAGACCACATTCAAACCAAGCAGCCAACCAGTCGAACCAACAGACAGACTACGTACTTTCTCTTGATGGATTCCCGTTGCACCCGGATGGTCTTGCCCTCCTGGTAGATGGGTCTCGGGACGTGCCGGTGCCGTCGGATGCGCTTTAGCTGCGGGTGGTGACGAAATTTCTCCTTCAGTTTGGCGTTGTACTCGAAAGCCGCTACCTCTCTCTTTTGCAGCTGTCATTAAAGAAAAAAATACAATAGTAATTCATCGATTTCTTGTTTATTTCGATTCAGTTTACTTTAAAGTGAAAAAAATGCTACTCAAAACTACCAGCTTGTAGGGCTGTGCATCGGAACCGGGTACCCGAGAACCCGACCGTTAATGCCAGGATCTGATGATCTTGCCGTTACCTTTCCTAACTTTTCTGATGCCTCAGCTTTCCAGATTCTGATGTTGGTTTCGTCGGAGCCGGAGAGGATATATTTGTTGTCAAGACTCCATCTGACGCAGGTCACATGCTGCATTCGCTTGGTGTGATAGATTTCCCTGTGTAAGAAAATGGACAATTGCACAAAAGTTCACAAAAATAACTGTACAAAATATGTGTCAAAATTGTATACAAACTGATTCCATCAAAGATTTATCATGCAAGACTGTTCAAAAATTGTCTATACCATAATAGTAAAGTCTGTCATGAGCCAATTTGGCCCACCAGGCTGGCGTTTTTATCTCCAGTTTCCTTAGCACGAAACAACAGAGAATATTTCTATTCCCCCTGGATGGGATGCCAGTCTATCGCAGGTTACTCCCCTGCTAAAAATGGTACCCATTTATACTCCTGGGTGGAGAGAGGCAAGTGGAGGTGAAATGGCTTGCCCAAGGACACAACATATGGCCAGCTGCTGGATTCGAACCCCTGACCCTCTGCTCATGAGTCAAAAACCCTAACCACGGTAAAAAAAAACCGGCACAAAACGATACTTCCAACAATACAAAAAGACTGTACAAAAATTACTTTACAAAACAACCAAAAACATTTGTACTACCCAAAACTCTGTACTAACTTAATCACTATATATACAGATTGTACAAAACCCATCATTTTGGAATAATTCTAATATATTTTTTTTAGTTTTATTAGAAAAAAAGGGACTTTATTTTCACACTTTGGGCAATACATTTTGTTCAACAATTTCAGGCACTTTTGGGAACATTTTGCTCTATTAAAAACAAAATCTCAAATTTTTCGGGGCTATTTTAAGTGAAAAAAAAATTTATCTTCAAACTTCAGGCAAACAATTTCCAATGTTTCAGCAAAATTTGGGACCATTTTTCTTTATTCAGACAAAATCTCTGCAAAACCGTGAGCCCAACATACAACTGCATTTTTCAAAATTATTCCGGCCCTACCAACATTACCTGCTGCGGCCCCTATCTGATGGAAATATCCGGACGGATTTATCAAAGCTTCCGCTGACAAACTCCTTCCCGGTGGGTGAGTAGTCGACGTCCATGACGGCCGATACGTGATCCATGTGAACATTGAGCGCTATGTCTAACTTCCGAATGTCAAATGTATAAAGGCTGTGAAAAAAAAATTAAAATATGAAAAATAAAGCAAAACTAAAATTGTAAACAGTTATGATTTTAATTAACTTTCATTAAAAACTTCTCTCGCGTTCTACTCCACATTGTCAAACCCTCATTTTACGTTGATCGTTGTTTACTCACTTATAATCTTCGTTAGCTGCAGTGAACGTAAACGCTTCCATCGGGTTCCACGCTATCGTGTTTGTGCGCATGTTGAGTAGTAGTTTCCTCAGGGGCGTCGACCCCCGCATGTCGTACAGAATGATGTTACGGTCGGCCGTGCAGCTGGCCAGCATGTATGTCTACAAAACAAAAATTGGAAAAATGTTGCAACCTGACGCCACGTTTTTCTTCATATATCATCTCAATGAAGGTCAGTCATTGCAAAAATGACGAAAAGACATGAATTTGGGACTGAGAAACATTTCAAATTTTGTACACAACCGCTGAAGTGGCATCTGGATACTACATTTTTCAAGTTCTCAAAAATGAGTCACCGGCTTTCAACATTTTCTTTCAACATTTTATTTCAACCCAAAGTTGAAATTTACATCTTCCAACACAAAATTCCATCTTATCATCTAGATGATAATTCCAGCATTATAAAAGGAAGTGTTATGTCCGTGACCGAGCCAATTAACCATGATATCTAATTAATGATTCAGAGAAATGATCCAAAACTCCTACATGTAGTCTGTAATCTCCTTGACCATTGCTAGATGATGGATATCGGTATCGTTTCGGTTTGCGGTAACACCATGTGATAATAACTACAGCTTAGAAGATATTAGTTCTGAAAAGAACTTGTCCTGCTTATTATCAACTTTGCTAAGTAGTTTTTTGTTCTGATAAGAACAGTCCTGCTGTACAATGTAAGTTCTAAACAAACTTGTCTTTGGTGCCAACGTTTCGACTAGCCTGCTCTAGTCATCGTCAGGAGACTGAAGAGAGTTGGAGATGCTACTCCTTAAGTAGGATTTGTTAGGATTAGGAGTGCTTGCTGGGCATGCCCTGCTTGCTCGGGTGTGTCAGTTGGTTGTGAGCCATGGGCATTGTGTTGAGGGATGCCCGATGAGCGTCCTGCTCGCTCGACTGTGTCAGTTGGCTGTGAGCCTTGGGCATTGTGTTGAGGGATGCCCGCTGAGCGTCCTGCTTGCTCAGGTGTGTCAGTTGGCTGTGAGCCACGAGTGTTGCAACTTGGAATAACTGAATGCCATATGTTGCTTATGAAATAGCCGATATCTTGTGGGACAGTGTCATGTTTGTGGATCTCAATAGCTTCTCTGATACGACGGGTGTACCAGTGTTTCTCTGGGGCTATGATTTCCGCTTGTTCCCAATCAACAACATGATGATGATGGATGTATAAGATTTGATGAAGAACATTAGCAGGTTAATTCATTGAGCTTTTTAGCCAGTTCACGTCGGATGCACGTGTATACATGCAACGAGCGAATAACTGTCTGCGACCTGCTCGCAGCGAGCGAGGCCAGAAATATCAGGGTGTGCTACCCACAGATGATGGCCTGAACCCATCCGGCATCAAGGTTTGTGAAAACAATGCCTGGGTTCAGTCAATGTCAAAATAATCCCAGCACGAACTGGTTAAAGCTGTCATCGGGTCCAAGGATAATTCTTAAAACATTAGGATCAATTTTCTCCTCTTTTTTGGTAATGTTATCAATGTCAAAATAATCCCAGCACGAACTGGTTAAAGCTGTCATCGGGTCCAAGGATAATTCTTAAAACATTAGGATCAATTTTCTCCTCTTTTTAGATTGATAACATTACCAAGCATACTATCAATGAAATTTATTAATTAACAACTTTTTTTATGAATGAAATGAAGTCTTGGGCCCTACCTCTATCGGATTAAATTTAACACTGTGTACACTGTCTGTCCCCCAGGTGAATGACCGCAGGGGCTCTGACCGTTGCTCGTCCCATATGTCCACTTGCTGACCGCTGGTGGCAAACTTGGCATCCTGCCAATGGTGGTCAATGGACTGAAATACTGTCTGTAGCACAGAAAAAAAATCACACCAAAAAAATATAAACGTTCTGGTTCCTGCAACTGATTTCACAAAACTGTACGCAATGACATAAGTGCACTTGCGCCCCAATTTATTGTGCCAGTTGTGCAACATTTCGTTCTATTTGGAAGATTGGAAATTCCCAGAAGGAATTTAAGAGCACCTTTTGAAGAAAAAAAGAAAAAAGAAGTACCTTTCCAATTACGGTATTGAGGGGTGTTTCTTGTTTGCCGTACTCGGGTGGCGCCATGCTCCACTGTTTGACTGTCTGGTCATCTCCCACCTACAAAATAATGGAACAATCCAAAGGATAAAATGCGGCGATAACTTGAAGTTGAACAACACGGTAATATTTATTAAAAACACAAAAAAGTAGCAACTTAAAAACTTCTAATACCAGAAAAACAGTTTGTAAAAATGTGAAGGAAACACAAAGGATTGTGGGTAGTTTTCCATGATCAATGCAGCGCATTCCATGGGCACACAGATGAAAACCTTGACCCGCTGTTGTAGATTAAACAAAATCTATCAAATGAGAGTTAAAAATGAAGAGTTTGGCTCCATAATTACCGTGAAGATATTTGTTGCTTTTCTGTCCGTGCAGACGCCTCTCACAAACCCGCTGTGGGCAGCGATGGTTCGCTCACACTTTCTGGTCGACAGATTCCAAATTTTGACCTGAAATCAACCAAAAGTATAATAATGAAAACACATAATAACAAGGTTCCAAGCATTTTATGAAAACAAATTTTTTTTCCTGATTTTTCACTGAGATATTTCCAAAATTCCATGAGAAATATTTTCACTTTAACAAAGGGCAAGTTCATGCAAGAACTACTGTTGACCATTGGTTAACCATCGTTCGACTAAAGTTAGCCCGAATTCTGTCTAGTTGACTATTTGGAACCAGCCTACCACGGCTGGTCGCGCAACGATTTATAGCTGGTTATCAATAGCAATGTCCATAGCATAGTCCAGAAGGGCCAATTATCAACAAAAATGGCGGAAAACGAAACTGTGAGCGCTAAATTTCATTTTCATTGCACACTTTTTCCATGTTACTTTTTTAGTTTACGATTATGTCACTGTTGTCACCTTTGTACAATAATATATGCGATTACGTAAGATGTCCCAAACTATACATAATCACTATTATTGTGTAAATGAAGAGAAACAACAAGACTAATGACACTGAATGAAAAGACCAGTCTTGACAAATAGTTGGACCAATGGTTGGACATGTACCAGTCTAGTCCTTAGCCTCATTTTGAAATCATTCGACTTCCTTCTCATTTGAAAAATATTGAAGAAATGTTTTCTATTAAAAATTGAATTGAGTTTTCAAACTTGGTTGGTGAAATACTGAGGACCCTTTCTTTGCCCAATGAACATTTTGGAGAAATTTGCTGGCTATCAGAGTGAGTAAAGTTGGCCGGAATTAGTTTTGCATGTTTCAGAACACTCCAGGTCTCAGTGTGGCTTGGAACCCGACCCTTAATGGCTTCAGCGTCAGGTGCCGTCAGCACCAAGCAATACGTTTGAGTCCCTCCGAGTGGTCTCTTCAAACTTTCTCTTTTCAACCACTGAGGCGGTACGTCTGCACGGAGTCCGTTAAGCATTTACTAACCTGTCCGTCGCAACCCCCGGACAAAAGCGTCGACAAGCTGCCGGGATGCTTGAACATACAATGCACGCCGTCCGTGTGACCCTCTAGGGCTCCCAGGAATGGTTTGGCAAAGACTCGCTCCAACTTGGTGGCATTCAGCGCTCGGATGTACTCCCTTGATGCCTCGAAGGGATGCAAGGAGGGATCATAGTTCCTTGGAACTGGAATGTGGAGTAAAGGAAAAAAATGAGGTACATGTAGATTAAAATTAACCCTTACCCTACTTGACCCTCCAATGCATGCCAATTGTGCCTCAAGAAAATCTCCTATGTTTTTTGCATGGCCCTCCAATATCTGCCATGTCATTTCAAGGGTAACTGGACAGGCACTCCAATACATGCCACAGAGAACAATGAGAGTCCTCTGATAACAAAGTGAGTGCCCCCAGCTGGTCAGTATCAGGCACCCTCCAGGGCCTCCAACTCCTGCCAATTGGAGCCTTCACTGTTAAGACTTGTTATCTGCCAAATAACTGCAGCTGGAGGGCATTGGCATAACCAACTGACATGCAGTAAACTACCCTCAGAGAGTAAGGGTTAATGGCCAACTCTTGAGCCGTTCCAATTATTAGTTGCCATCCCTGCTGCTATAGGTTAGTGCGGACATCCAGTAACTTCTGAAATCTTTTTAGCTTGTTTTTTATGGTTCTTAAGTCTGGAGTGCTGAATGGCAAATGATGAAAACACATTTGCTAATGAATAAGATGTTTTCATCGGCCGAAGTAATGCCGTGCCGCTCTATACCACATTTAATTAGGACAGCCGACACGAACAAGTTATGTTGTCAAGTTGTATGGTATTGACATCTGAACATGGCAAGTACATGTAAGAGGTATTTCAAACGTTTTAAAAACAAAAACAAACAATTCAATACCAGGTTTTGCCCTTCACCGATGTATAAACACTGTATTCTCAGTGTGTTACCCCCCCCCCCCCCCCCCCCGAGTGAAAGTGAGAACAAATCACTCGGGTGGGACTCGAACCCACGACCTGCTGCTTTCTATAGTGCAGACGTCTTACCACTCGACAACTGAGCTTGCTGGGATCGGCTGGCTGGTTCAAATCTGACAAACTCCCCAATATGCACACAGCAAGCTTATATCAATTCCTCAGCAAGTTTAAATTGTTTGTAAATACAGTAACCAAAGTAAGTTTAATGGGAAACAGAATACATGTAAATACTAAATAAATACATACAAGAATATTGCGCATCCCCCCTCCCTAATTTTAAGAAATAGGAATGGTATCTATATAAAATGGCATATCATCAATTGTCATTGGATCTAGTATAAGAATGTCATAAAAAGAATTGTTGGCTAACATGGGGTAAAAAATTCAAACTATAATTTGTAAAATATTAACGATGGTTGATACAAAAATTACAAGAAAATATACATTGTATAACTTTCTGATAATGCTATGTTTTGTTAACTTAAAAGTCCGTTTTAAAAGTGTTTACCTTTGTGAATATCATTCTTGGTTTCCCGAATATAATTGTCAGGGTTACGACTCAACATCTTCACCTTCATCTTGAGTTCTGCGACGAGTTCCACGACCAGAAGCTAAGTAAATGTACCAAAATAGGATAGGAGGCCCTACTCAAGTTTTTCATTCACTCAGTTCATTCATCGGACCAGTTCACATGGCACGGATGGTGACATTTTTGTGAAGGACTGGCCAAACAAAACACTGCACAGCGTCCAAAAGAAAATTTCTTCAATAACGAAAGGGCCACGTGTGTGAAAAGTCACAATCAATTGCTTTCTTTGTTTCGAACAAAAGTGTTTCCGACTTGGTGAATTGACAGCAAAATGTTGAAAACGACGATGCAGATCAGCCTACACGTCCTCCTTCTTGCATGTCTTGCACGTTGTTGCACGAAATGAGCCCTCGAATCGTTCCATTATCAAAATAGGGGTGTCCGTATATTCAATGCAGCAAAATTAGAAAGCTCACCGAGCAAACATTCTTTGTATTATTTTTTTATTGTGAAAATCTTTCACATTATGTTAAATAGAGTATAAAAATATACAGAATATCGACTAAAATATCATTGCCGTAAGGGCTTTTACCCAACCACCCCGTTTTACAAAAATAGAATACCCTAATAACTCCCACAATTCCTGCCATTTCCAAGATGGCAGCCCCCATGTAAGTTTGTGCTGTTGTTGTCGTTTCTGATTACAGATTAGATTACCAGTAAAAAACCAAATACAAAAATGGAAACAAGCAGACATTCTTTAATAAATGTGTTACTATGAAAGATAGCAACATAGTGTGTATGGTCTTTTTAATTTATTCCTTCCGTAAAAGAAAAAGATCGACATTTGTGAACTTGTCAAGTCGCCCCAATGAACAAACCCAATAAATGGGGGCATACCGACTTAAGTCTTTTGCCAGGGCTTTGTGCTTCTAGAATTAGAAAGCACCTGTGTGCAGCACCAGACCATGGCCCCACTGTCACCTACGGGGCAAAAAGGTGGAAACAATTGCATTTTGGGGTTTAACTTTAAAAATGAAGACTGTAGGCCCTACTTTGGGGGGGGGGGGTGTTGTACAAAAAATGTGCAATTTCTTCACTTTTAAAATTCCTTTTTCAAAAATTTATACACTCTGTGCGAAACTTAGAACCAACCAGGCTCTTTGGAGTCTTGGATAATCCTTTGTCAAATCCAGACAAAGTCACCAGTCATTTTGATGGCGTGGGTTCGAATCCCACCGCTGCCACCACGCAATGGGGGACGCCACACGAAGGAATCACATCCTAACAAAAGACTTATCAAACGAGAGGAAGACTTTAGTGAGAGGGTATCACATGAGGTGAAAACAAGATGGATGCGCCCATGGGATAAAGTAGGACGCAAGAGGGCGCTATAACCAACTGGCACAAAGCGATATCTAACTTCCAAGAGCCCTTCCGTCCAACCTCTTGCCTTCTATACCTTTAAGTATGAAAGCCAGAATCTCAGTAAATCTCTGCATTTTTTTGGTCACAGGTACAAGTCGACTATAGATGCCCGATCCATCAACATGAGTGAAAAGGAAGACTCATTCGTAGCATCGGCATCGTCTCTTCCTTCCTCCGCCTCCACTGCCTCCAGCAGCCCGCATCACATCTTACCCCAGGAGCAACAGTTCCTGGAGATGTACTTCACCGCTCTCAGCCACTTTGCGTATGACAGATTCAAAGAGCTATTGGTAAGGATCAGCATCAGATTTTGGATTGTCCTAAAGTTTCTTACTCGCGTCCTAACTCACAGCTGAGAAGCTGACGCAACTACCATGTGGCCGAGAAGAAGGCATGTCAAGGTGACTGCATTAGCTGCCGCCATATGACCCATGTCTGACCACGGAGCTCAGCCGGAGATCGAAAGTGTTCATTTTTTTTGTGGAGGGAGGAAAACCGGATGGGCCGGAGAAAAACCCTCGTGGCACAGGAGAGAATCAACGCACAACTCTACTTACACATGGTCCGAGCCGGGAATCGAACCCAGGCCACAGTGGTGAGAGGCGAGCACTCAGCGCCCTTTTTAGAAGACAAAGCCTTCTGGTTTTCATCACAGGACCAACTCCGACACTCAATTCGCGTAGTCTAGCTGCAAATTTCTCCAAAATTAAGATCAGTTGAATGCAGCTGGTGGGCCTTCAACTCGCAATCCCCTCTAAAGCTACACTGTCCATTTTAAAAAGCAGGTTAATTGTTTCCAAACTATTCAAGATATTTTGCCCTTCTTTTCCTCTTTTCAGGACCAAGAGAAAGAGGCAATTCGCTCCCAGCCAGGGAATCTCTGGACCAGCCTTGTCAACGCTCTGTCTGTCCTAGCGTCCGCCGAGAAAACCTACATGCACCTGGTCTTCTTTGAGCAGAAATGGTTTGCCCGAGCGGTAAGTCGCTATTATAAATTTCCCATGTGTATCAGCATTTTGAGTGTCAACTTGCATAACGCGCATCGGCTGCGTCGTATTTTGAACACATTTTGAGCAACAAGCGGGCGTGTTTGGAACATTTTTCAACACTGCAGCAGTGTGTGCTTTATTGCATAAAATACGCAGTTGCAGTTACAGAGGTGGCCGTCTTTAAGAGAGACCTATAAATCAGCTCATCACGTTTGGGGACATGCCATTTTGAGCCCATGTACTTCGGCAAATTGTAGGCTGAGTTCAAGTTTTCCTTTTGCTAATTTTTTTTTTTTTGGACAGCAATCGGGCAAGTGGCTCTTCTCCTCAGCCATGAGTGACGTCCGTCGCGTGGAGCTGCGAGGCAAAGAGGTGGGTCACCCAGGATCGAACCCCGAGGACAGGCTCTTGTCTCACCTATGTGAGCAGCTGGTTCACTTCATTGAGGCACGGCAGGAAATGATGGACCTGTATCCTTCAAATTTGTTTATTAAATAAGGGAATAAACATGCTTGGCTGGTTTTAAACACTTTGTTTAAGACCGGTTTGGAGTCTGGATGCTGATAAAGACCCAAGCCGAAGCCAAGGGTCGTTATCAGCATTCAGACTCCAAATTTCTAACGATTTTGTTCAACAAGTTTACTTCATGTTTTTTAAACACCCTTCTGGCTATGTTATGGTATGTGCCTCTCGCGAGTAGTCGTAAACAACTCCTTATATGGAGATTGGCGTGCTGGCACAGAACGCAGCTGTGCCGGTGTAGTGTGAATTTCGGACTTTGATAACGGATTCATTGGTAGTATTGCGCATGCCTAACGGAGGATTGTGAATGTTCAACCAATAAAAGGGACCGGATTTCATAAGAGTCAAAATTTCATGTGACTCTGGAAAAGTGTTTAAGACCAGCCAATCGGTGTTTGATCATCCATTTAAGACCGGCCACCTGACAGGCTCTCGACCAATAGGAATGGGTAAACTGTCTTAGAGTATTTTTGAATATTTGTTAAACTGTAAAGATAAGAGCCAGTTTTCAGATTTCAAATCTATCATATCAAACTTGTCAAATCAATGGTAGAGTACTTGGATAGCAATCAAGAGGTCTGCGGTTCAAATCTTTGTCAGTAACATATTAAACTAGGAATCGTGGTTAGAAGAGGGAGGCAGTTGCCGGCAATATTCATTCCTTAATTGTATGGCACAGATATGAGAAGCTGTGTTATTTAGGATCTCAGAAAGCTGACATCAATGTGTCTGATCTGAGTGTAGCTGTGGCAAGTGTCATTTCGAGGTAAGTTTGTTACAAGTCTGGAAGTCTAGCTCTTCGTCTCCATTGGTACACATTGTTGTAGTCAAGTCCATGATGTCATCCTCTTTCTTGAGCTGCGCTATTGGTCGATCATGACGCTGTCGCCAATCGGTAGATCGCGCTGCCACCAGTCAAACACCTTTTCTTTCTAATAAACGGCTCTTGAGGATTTTTTTATTAGGAGGTAAGTAAAGTCTGAGACATTATCAATATAACAATAATTTGGGAGGCTAATCATCCTTACTCGCAGCTGGTATGCTGAATTACGAAGGACGCGGCTACAACGTGGTCGGGCTGCTGGCACGTAAAGGCGCCTATGGCTGCCGGCCACATCGACCCATATATGACCATGGAGCACAGCCTGAGATCGAAAGTGTTTGCGGAGGGAGGAAAACCGGAAGGCCTGGAGAAAAACCCACGTGGCACAGGAGAGAACCAACGCACAACTCTACTCACATGCGATCCGCGGCCAGGATTCGAACCGTGGTCACCTTGGTGAGAGGCGAGCGCTTTACGCACAAGCCACCCATGCCACCCATAATCGATATCCACCATTATCGACCAATCACGCAGATCGACTGATCACGTCCAACATATTCACTTCATAAATATGGATTATTATTATTTTTATTGTCTACTTCTCCAAGACATGCCAAGCAGTTTCATCACCCGATCCTGAGCTCCATCCGGTCCAACCTCTCCCTGGAGTTGGAGACCCTCCACGCACTCCTCAAGGCCCTGGTGCACCTTGCTGAATTCAGCTTCCTGCCGGCCCTGCTCAGCCTGAACGAGTCGCAGTGCAAACTGGATGAGTGGGGTGCATCCATCAAACTCAGAGAGGTAGGCTATTTCTTGCGACTAGTTTCATTTTCAAAGAAGGGGTGAGATTTCAGGAGGTTTTTGCCAGGATTTCAGGATTTTTGTCTGGATTTTTCCTGAATATTCAGGAAAGTTTGTCAGGATTTATTTGTGATTTCAGGATTTCTGGTATCAGGATTTTTCTTTACTTCAAAAATGGGGGCGAACCACAGGACTCATTTTAGGGGAGGTCATCTTTTGAGTAAAATTGTCCCCAAAAGTCATTGGCCTTAACTTCCCAACAATTGAACAGAAAGTGAAAGATGACGAAATAAGCTTTAGTTTGATGTGTCCCTTGATAACCTTTCAGTTGAAGTTGGCCCCAGGCTATGCAGTAATTAATTGTGAAAAATAATTTCAAAACTAAGAAAATTAAGGGAGTCATTACTGACAAAGAATTTGGGTTCACATACATAACGTTGATAGTCCTTTTGTTTAATAGGCAAAGAAGAAGCTACAGACAATGGCACCGGGGAAGGTCACCGGTATCCCACCGCTGATGGTGTGGTACGTTCGCTTCCAGGCATCGCAGATGTCCAAGGTTTGTCCAAGAATCAAAATCCTGCATTTAGTTGTTTTTTTTCTGTTAGCAAAATGGCATGTTCAATGACATTTCAGACGATCCCTAATTATTTATAACCTTTTTACAGCTTCCATATTGTTTTAAAATTAGAGAGAAAAATTATTTCTTGTCATAAGACACCTTGAAAGGAATGTATCATACAGTAATCAAATAATGGGTTTTTTTTCCAAATAATAAATAAACAGTTTTAAGTGTTTTTTTTTAAAATAAATTAATGCTGTGGTTTGTCAATCAAGTTTTACGATTTTGCATAGAAACATTTGGTGGAACATAAGCTCATGCAAATTGTTGACTGACATTTTATGAATAAATATTAAAACGACACTCTGTTTTGTACAATCTTAACAGTTGTGTCTTCCTTTGAGTAATTATGATTGCTCATTGTCATCATTTTTTCCCCAAACAGTTTAGTCTTTACTTTCACGAGATGCTTGCCAAGCAAGCACTGCCCGGAGAAATGAGAACGCACCTATCAAGCATGTCGATCGAGTATTACACAAAGTAAGTTCCTGTTTCAAATTCCTTAATTTTTTTTGAACTACATAGAAAGTATGCCCTTTTGAATCTTTTGGCAGAAAAAATCTCATCTTCCTTTATTAAACAAATTCATCAGGAAAAAGATACATAGTGTTTAAGGCCAAGTCAAAAAATAAACCAGTTTCTGGTCTGTGTCCGCTTCCTTTACCATGCCCTCTTCTTTTTTTTTTTTTCTTTTTTTTTTAATTCGTACATTTGCAATATCTGTCTTGGCAAATATATTTATCAATATATTGTCTTGTTATTTGTTTTCCAACAAAATCTTAGCTTTGTAGAAAAGGTTACAGCTCCTATGGACCCAATTTTGTAACAGCAAAAGAGTTGAGAAAATGGAATAATCCATCCGCCATTTTGGAAAATCCGCCATCTTGTGGGGAAAAAAAAGAGAAAAAAACACGCTCCCCTCCGTTATTTCAAAATAAAACCCGGACAGTAAATGTTGTTGTTAATTTTTTTACTTGACCTAACAAGTTATTGTTATTTTCTTCCAATTAATTCTCAACCTGTTAGAATTGCGCTGTTCCAGAAGAAATCAGACGCCCTCAACATCTCACTGGTCTTTGACACGCGGGGGTCAGAGGGCACGTACAAAGGTCACGGTTACCACCATCCCAACTCATTCTGCGAGCCGCCCAAGGGGCTAGACTCCTATCCAGCCGTCTTCTCATTCCCTACTGTAAGTCATGGGGTTTGCCTATGGGCTATGTTATACTAATTGATTGATGGATTAAAAAGTCTGGAATGAAGAATAATGATTTCAGGTTTGAAATAGGTATTAATTCACAGTAATGAGAAACAAATGAGAACGTATTGATTTTTATGACAGAAAATTGAAGGCTACATTTATATTGTATAAATTACAATATATTCATCATTTTACAATCAGTCTTGATAATCGACCTATCGCGGTAGAATTGCGTCAACACAGCTTGTGGAATATTGTCCAATTACATGATATACAAATGGAACGCGCAAAATCTGAGACAAACAAAACTTAACGTACAAAAATACATAGGGTTGTCTAAGGGGCATGGCTAACTTGCAAATGGCGATAAGTCAATTGGCTGTGCTTTGTAAGAATTTTGTGACTTATTTTACTAAATTTATTTTAATTTTAATAGTGCAAAATTATAATATGTATTGTAAAACAAGTAGTAACAATTATTGCAGTAGTAAGGCCAATTTTAATCGATTTTAATCATGCGCGTCGATTTTAATCATGTGCGTCGATCTTTTTTTTTTCCAAAATGTTCCGCGGTAGCTCCAACAGCGCCCTCTATTTCCACACCTCCTGTATTTTTTTTTCCAAAGAGCACCAAGGAATGGGAAATTGCACCAAGGTAAATGATCGAAAGCACCAAGGCAAATTATGGAGGACACCAATGTTCATGAGGACACCAAAAAAGCAAAAAAGTACCCACCTTGTCTGTACAATCCAAGCTTGAAGGAAAAAAAAAAAAAAAAAAAAAAAAAAAAAAAGACGCGTGGCCGCGTCAATTCCGGAACTTTGGTCTGACCAGAGACCGAACATTTTTTTTTTTTGGCCTAAGTCATCTTTTTTTGTTTTTTTTTGTTTTTTAGGAACGACCTGTCCATCTTTGGCCAAATTTGATCATGCTGCTGCCAAATGCCGAAAGTGGACCCATCGACAGAGTGGTTCATTTTTATGACAAGGTAAAAAAAGATTTGAAATCCACCATTTTGGATTTTGCCATATTAAATAAATAAAATAAATAAATGTTAATGCTTATATAGCGCTTTCCATCGTTTCAACAATCTCAAAGCGCTTTACAATTATTCTCCTGTTCATCAGGCCATGAGACCACGCGGCAGCCGATATTTGTGCACATTCGGTACGCTCACAGGTACCCATTCATACTCCTGGGTGGAGAGAGGCAATTGTAGTTAAGTGTCTTGCCCAAGGGCACAAACACCATGTTCCAGCAGGGTTCGAACCCACGCACCATCGTACATGAGTCAAACACCGTTACCACTGGACAATGGCATTCTCGCCATCCCTTGGTTTGTGCACTGTTTGATTGACAATCAAAAAGGGGTTCATTTTTAAAACTCTTCTACATTTAAGCTAAATTTGTGAAATCAGTTTCACGACACAAAAAAGCGATTCTAATGTTAAGGGTCTTATGTCTTGTTCCCAGACTCAGCAGATAACTTACTACATCTGCCGGGTGGACATCAAACTTAGTCTGGTCCTCATCTTTGAGGCCAAGAAATCGGAGCGGGATACCAACATCAACAACTTTTTACAAGGTGAGTAAAAAATGTGTAAATCAAAAGAAATTTTTTTTAAAAAAATCAAAGATTTTTATTTATCAGCTACCCATAGCTTCTTATACATAGTGTAGCCAAGGGAAGAGTTATTAAAAAGTTTGGTGGAACAAAGTTTTGTGGAGTGTCATGGCCTAGCGGTTAAGAACACCGAACTCATGCTCTGGTATTTCAGAGACAACAGTGGCGTAGGTTCCAGCCCGCCGGGTGGACACTTGTGACCTTGAGCAAGGCACTTAACCATTATTGCTTCGTCCTTCGATGGGATGTAAAGCCGGAGGTCCCGTGTGTTGTGTTATCCAATGCAAGTATAAAAGAACCCAGTGACACTTATCGCCAAGAGAAGGGGTTTGCCCTGTTCTGGTCTCCTGTATAAACTCCCACGTGGAGAATTTAGGAGATGAACCAACCAAGAACCAAGAACTCCTCATGTGGCCAAAGGCTACTTTTTTAAGTTATTGAAAATGTGAATCAAGTGGACTCTGAGATACAGATATAGTCTCTGCAACGACGATAATTATTTACATACGACACAGAATGTACTTCACTCAAAATATATACAAGATTTTGTTATTTAAAATTACATAGCAATTACATGTAAAGTCAGCATTTACAGCTTATATCTGCAATGTAAATATATGTATTTATGTAACAATTGTACCATGCAATCCAGAACGAGGCTCAAAATATTTTCTTAAGTTCCAAGACATGCAACCAATGTATCATGACTTCTACAATATTAACGCTGAATAAAAATTGAAAATCAAATTAGGTTTTTGCCCTCACCGACGTTTAAACACTGTATACTCAGTGTGTTACCTCCCGAGTGAAAGTTGGAAAAAAATCACTCGGGTGGGACTCGAACCCACGACCTCCTGCTTTCTAGTGCAGATGTCTTACCACTTGACCACCGAGCTAATGGGATCGGTTGTCTGGTTCGAATCTGATGTACATAGCAGCGGGTACCGCATAAACTATTATAATCAAACCTAATTTGATTTATATCACCCCGACCCAAAAATTCCATCTTTAAAAAAAGAAAGAAAGATAGAAAACATTAGGTGTGTACTCACCGCCTAGGCTGACCGATAGACGTGCGACAACCAATCGAAGGGGAAATTGTCCCCAACTAAATGTAGTTGAAAGGTAGTCAGAGCACTCTAAATTATAGGTGTGGTCTAATCGAACGCAAGTGGATGAGTGTCTCTAGCAATGCCTTGCCATTACACGAAAGCTTTGCTTTGCAGCACGCAATGCAGCTCAGAAAAATCTTAACAATATTCTGGAATTCGAAGATTGTTGGAATGTTCCGGGACAATGCAGCTATGCTAGAATGTGATTGCAGGAAAGTTAAGGAACCAAGCGAGGGCGCTGCAATAAAAAGTTTCTGTAACTACAGAGGGCGCTAATTATGTTATCAAAATAATGGCTCATCCTGTTGTACAGCCTATGTACTATGCATCTTATGATTATATAAGAAATGTTACCGAGACCTGTCTGTTGTAAAACACGATTGGTCACACAGATGAAATTTTTTTAAGTATTCATCATTTTTTATTTCTTTCTTTTCTTATTTGCAGAGATGGGGCAGCTTCTTAGAGTCAACAAATTGTTTGCAAGTTTAAAACAAGGTGCCAAAACGAAGGCCCTTATGAACTGACGATCGACACGGCTGCCCTTCTAAATCTAAAAGACTGACTGACCGTTCTACTGTTGAATGCTTGGTCAGTGGTCATGTGACTTGGAGCTCTCTCATTGGTCGAAGGTCGATGTAGTGATATGCGTATCGAGGCCTGACAGAGGATGGCATGCGATGGATGTAGCAAGTTGTACTACCCTCGGTGTGGATCGAAGACACATAGGTTCTCGTAGTGTTTTCCCTTCAAAAAAACTTATCCCAACCAACAAAAATATTTCATGAAAATGGACATGGGTTCGAACCACAGATCTTGGGATCCATAGTTCATTCCACTATCCACTTGGCCACTGTGGCAGCTCGACGAAAGCTGTTCTTTGAAATGCTTTAATGTACATGCATGACTGAGTGATAGCAATGGTGTGACGTCATTGATATTTTTTTATGAATAAACATCGAACAAGCTGAATAATCATGATATATTGATGTGTGCTGCAGATAAAAACACCGTTCCCGGACGGAAATGGCAAAATATCCCTTAGGCTTTACCATCCGGGAAATAAAAAAATAAAGGAGGCAATATTTAAATGTGGACTTTAAAATGTCCAAAGCCTTCTGTTTTTTATTTAATACAACACTTTTTTTTTCTTTTGTTCTGTCAAAAGTACAATAAAATCACAGTGATGCAACATTTTTTTTAATTCTTCAGACAACACGAAACATTTTAAAAACCAACATTTTCTCGTCAAATTTTTTGGCAACTTTCTGACATGTAAAACACGGACGGTTAACAATACACTTTTTCAACGGACCAACAGACATTTTTTTTTTCCGTACACATTTTTAAAAAGTCTTTAAAATCAATGGCAACAATGCATAAAAAATAACGACAAAAAACGAAAGGATTTTTTTTTTCTTCGTTGAACCTGGATGAAAATTTACAGAATTCTCAGGTTTTTGGTTTAAACCTCAAAACTTTGAACTTACACGAATATATATGGCAACCATTTTATCTCTCTTGAACTAAAAACCTAACCTCAAACCTACAGGCCTTTTACTACATCGAAATTTCTGACAAATTCTTCTTTTCTTGAAGCACTTCTTGTAAATTCAGTGAAACTGCTTCAATTAATAAATATAATATGGGAAATTTATCAACTGGCTGATGAAATAACCAAACCAAAAAAAAAAATTGTTATCAAGATTTCCCATATTTCGGCAAACATTTACCACGCTGTACATCTGTAGAGAAGTTAAAATATGTAAATTATATGTAAATTTATGTACCAAAAAAGCACATAACATTTATGATATGGAAGGGTTCTTGTGAATTAACTTTATCATAATAAAACTTGAATAAATAAACACTGCCCTCAAATCGTGTAATTTATTTAATTTATGTGTATGTTTTAATACATGAAGTTTATAAAAAGAGAAAACCTGGCCCCTTGGCATTTTTGAACCTGGTTAAAAACAAAAAACTTTAACGCATCCACATTTGATACAGATAAACAATCACAAAAGTAATGACCATGATGACAATTAACACTTGATAACAAAAACAATGCTTTAACGGTGCTCGGTTTTTCTGTGAATATATAAAAAGTTGGTCAAGTTAATTATATGCATCTAGTGGACTTTCAAACTCACAAAATTATGCACCATTTTGAACTTGCAGTGATATTTTTGTTTTGGTAGTACGATCGACCTGGATAAAACGAGTGGAAAAACGTTTAACAAGAACAAGACAACCAAATGTTGGTTGGAAAATTTGTAACACAAAACAACGTCAACTGAAATTTAGTGAGATGTTTTAACATTCTTCGAACACTCAACTGTTTTTTGTCTGTACAGGAATAAAATTCTGATATCTAATTCCCTGAAAAAGAAATGTCGTTGTTAGCATATTGGTCTGGTTCCCCGGAACCATAAGTCAAGATCCCTGTAATCGACTGTGCCGTGTCCTAGGTACCAGCCTCTTAAAAGTCATAGTTTACCTCATGTGCGTAATGCGTATAACTCTCCAACAAATTAACACAGTGAACAAAATCCAAGATGGCTGCCCTTCTTGATGAATTCTCAACCTGCAGATGAATTAGTTTGCATAATTCGAGCTAGAGTTTGAGTAAAAAGTTAAACAACAAATTAGGTTCACAAACTGGGGTCACCAGCATTTTCACTCGGGTGGGTGGAATTCGAAATGGCACCTTTTGTGAAAACAAAACAAACTGGTGACTGCCGATCTCTTTCACAAACTTTTGTGGAGGAAATACCGGCAAGGCAAAGCATTGTGGGTGTGTCACCACAGGCTCGCGACTGGGTCATCGGCTATATAAACGGTGGCCAATAGTCTTGGGAACTTTGGCACTGGGACCCGAGACAACTTGAGAACACCTCAAGGCGCTACATAAAAGCTTAACGCATGAACTGAGGTGCGCTCGGAATTTCTTGGGTCCCAGCGCCAACGTTCCCAAGACGGGCATCGGGTGTGACGGGGGAAAAATTTTTAAAGGGAAGGACGTTTTAATCGGATTCTTCTTCAGAAGAAGCCTCGCTGGATGAGCTCTCCGATTCCGACGAACTCCCACTGTCTTCCTTTTCGCCGTTCTCCTTGGGTTCCTCCTTGACGGCAACTTCCTCTTTGGCCTTGGCTTGACCTTTGCCCTTTGCAGCCTTGCCCTTGGCCGGTTGCTGCTCTACCTCTTCTTCTTCTTCCTCTTCCGAGGACGATGAGGCCTCGGAGGATGCAGACGTCGATGAGGAGGACCCGGAACTGGACGCGTCCTCGCCGTCCTCTTCTTCCTCCTCTTCTTCCTCCTCTTCGTCGTCGTCATCGTCCGAGCCGGATGCGGCGGCGTCGCTGGAGTTGGCCTCGGAGCCGGAGCCTGAGGACGCGGAGGACGAGTCGTCCTCAGATTCCTCATCGGAGTCTTCCTCTTCTTCGCTTTCTTCTTCTTCTTCCTCGTCGGAGGCAGCAGCCTTCTTCTACAGACAGCGACAAAGAAAGAAGATGTAACATCTTTACACTCTTGTTTTGTTTTTGTACAAAAGCTGCATTTCCGTGACTACAGCCACGTAGAACATACCGACTCTGTGCTGAACAGTAGATTGTGCGTTACAGCCACTTTTTAAAAATGGTTCAGAAGTATCCAAAGACTGATCAAATAATCTTCGCCAAAAACTTCAGTTATAAAAAAAAAAAAAAATTTAGCCATACCTTTCTCTTGACTTTGGGCTTCTTCTTGGTCACCTCCCTCGAATACTTGCTAAGCCCCGCCTTCTTCAGCTCGTCGTACCGGTCCCGGTCCTCTTTGCTCAGGCTCTGGAATGTGGGAAAACAGAGAAGGGAACCAGTGAAAAATAAGAGCGGAAGCAAACCAATATATGAATATATGAATATGCAAATTCTGAATATATGAATATTCAAATATTTGAAAAAAATAACCGGCCGAACAGATTCAGTGCTCATCCTTTCCTGTGACACATACATCACAATTCAGTGAATAATATGAATACACAAATATGCAAATTTATATATATACAATGTATTATGAATTTTCAAATCTTCTCTTGATAAGGAAACACTCCAAAACTGTTATATTATGGGAATTTTTGGAATTGAAATTTGATTAAAAAAGAACTTGATACATCAAAGGCACAATTTCAAAAACATCCTTCTATATTTGGTTTTTACAAAACCTGAAACCAGAGAAAAGTTTCTTAAATTTATGTGGCAAGTAAGAATCAGCGGGAACCAGTCGCAGGCAATACACAAGATACAACTGTTTAGCTGGTAACCAATTTTTGCTAAGCACATTATATTCTGTACTTTATAGCAAATTTCAATTTTCAAACTCACCTTTCTGTATTTGTCGATCTCCTTCTTGTATTCCTTCATGAGTTTCTCCTTTTTAGCCTCGTACCGCTTCTTGCCGTAAGCGGACAGGTCGCGCCATTTGCCCGCCACTGCTTTGATGCGCTCCGTGCTGGGCAGGGCCTTGATGTCCTCGGTGCGCATGTGCTCGGCCGTGAAGATTCGGTAGCCGCTACTGCAACGTCAAAAAACAAACAAGGTTATCATTAAATTTTAGAGGATTTATAAGCCGATACTTGAACCATGGCATTATAACACAAAAGAATTGCATAGTAATTATTATAACAAAAATTTATAGATAACTTTTTAGGACTTACTTGAGAGGCTTGTCCGGTTCACCTTTCAGAAGTTGCCTGTCCAGATGTTTCCTCTGAAAACATAAAAAAGAGGACTAAAGATAAATCTATTAAATTTTTTTTTGAATATTACAACCCTTGTTCATCCAAGCATCTTTTTCTTTTCATATCACAAAAGCTGACTTTATTTATATTGATACGTGCCGGTTTATGCAAACACATTTTTGAAACTTTTATCTTTAATTTCATAACTGGGGTGGGGTTATGAGGGGGCACAAGCCTCAACAGTTTCTACGCTTGTACCCCCCCCCCCCCTAATTTAGGGGAAGGTAAACACATTTTTTATTGCATTATGTGTACAACTGTAAAAATAATACATTCAAATTCAGCTCAGTCCCAGAAATGTCTGTAATTTGGCAAATCAAAACACAACTGTCTGTCTGTTGATCTGTACCTTTGCCTGTCTGTTGCTCTCGGCAGCTTTCTGCACCCACTGCGTCTTCTCGCTTTTCTTCAGTTTCTCCCAGGCCTCCTTCAGACGGGTGGTTGCTGCGGTTTTTTTCAACTGAAACACCAAACCAACGGAAGGAGATCTTTCAGTTTGAATCAAAAGTGTCGTACAGACCCACTATTTTTTTCCCCAAAGAGTGGAAAGGTTTTGGTGTGGTTGGGGTAGTTTGGTGGGGTTGGCAGGGGTTGGGCATGGATGGGTGGGGCTGGGCGCTGTTGAGTGTGTATGGGTGGGGTTTGGTAGGGCTTGGGTGGGGTTTGGTAGGGCTTGGATGTGGCTGGGCGTGGTTAAGTAGATTTGAGAGAACTTACCTTGTGTTCAGCCATGTACCGTATTTGGGGGTGGATTGGTGGGGCTGGCCATATTTGAGTGGGTATGGATGGGGTTAGGTAGGGTGTGGTTTGGTGGGGTTGGGTGGTGTTGGGCATGGTTGGGCAGGGTTTGAAGTGGTTGGGTGGGGCTTGGGTGTGGCTGGGTGAGGTTGGGCGCGGTTAAGTAGAGTCCAGAGAACTCACCTCATGTTCAGCCATGTAAGGGTAGGGTGGATGGGTGGGGCTAGGTGTTGTTGAATGGGTATGGGTGGGGTTAGGTAGGGTTTGGTGGGGCTTGAGTGCGGTTGGGCGCGGTTAAGTAGAGTCTAGAGAACTCACCTTATGTTCAGCCAAGTAAGAGTGGTGTGGATTGGTGGGGCTGGGTGTAGTTGAATGGGTATGGATGGGGTTAAGTAGGGTTTGGTGGGGCTTGGGTGTGGTTGGGCGCGGTTAAGTACAGTCGACGGAACTAACCTCATGTTCAGCCATGTAAGCAGACAGATGATGGCTGGTGTACATGCCCACACCTGTCTTGTTGGGTTCTTCATCATCATCATCGGCCTCATCATCCTCATCTTCTTCCTCCCTACAAGGTCAAAAAATACTGCAAGTAAAACTTGCGCGATCCCCTTGGCATCCATGTACATGTACAGTCAGGCAATTTTCAGTGACGGCCCTGATTGTCCACCCGGTAGGTACCAGTTATCAGTTGAATGGGGAGTTTGGGTCGAATGGAGAGTTTGGGTGAGACACCGTACTAACAAATGTTAGAGTCATTAGTAATACTGAGCTGAGCTCTCCGGAGACCTCATAAATGTCCATATTGGAAAGGATTTTTTTGATGTCGGCCTTCTCTGTTTGGCTTGAAAGCTAGAGGGATAAAAATGATCACCATGACTAACTCCCCAAAAGAGTTTTGTGATCACAATTGTCAATCAGTATGTTTCTTCTCAGACTTCTGAGGCAGGTCTCCAAGGCCAAGTAAAAAAAAAACACAGTTTCCCGCCCCCTCTTTTTTTTTTTAATCATACATTTTAAATGTTTTATTTATTTCCTGCAAAATTAACTATGTATGCAAGTTCAAAATCTGGTCGAAGGATGACGGCTCCTTTGGACACAAAAGTATCAGCAAAAGAGTTGAGAAAATGGAAGAATATATCCGCCATCTTGGAAAATCTGTCATCTTGGGAAGAAAAAAAAGGCCGCCTCTTTCCTTTTATCAAAAAGTGTGGATGATGAACTATTTTGTTTTTACTTGGCCTAATGTATGGTCAAAGATACATATATATAAAGATACATATAAAGTACACAAACAAGTTACATTATACAACAAAAACAAACTCGCAAATATCAACTTAATTTTTTCTTTAATAATAGAAAGGCATTTTTTTTTTAACTCACTCGGATTCTTCTTCCTGCACTTTCCGCGCTTCTTGAGCTTTCCGCCGGTACTTTTCCTGAAAAAAAGTTTTCAATAACACCACAGATCAAAATACCATGTCTGCTAAACTCATGATTGACGACATAGTTTTCTTAAGTTATTTAAGGGAAGTGTTGCTTTCCGGTGGGGCTACCTGTGGGTAGATTTCGTCCATAGCACTCTGTATTTCCAAAAATCTGTCAATTGGCTGATCGTTGGAAATCACCTACATTTCTTAATCTCTTGTAAACGACAGCGGGCTAGACGGACTAATTTCACAGGGTGTGCTCCCATAAACAGACATGCAACTGGGAAATCACAAAAAAAGAGGAAATTTAAATCTTTCCAAGATTTTGTACAGTGTTTTTCTATTTTCAATGGCACACATTGGAAGTGAAAAAAGAGGAAATCAGCTGATCTGAGGAAAAGTTGCATGCCTGCATAAATGAACCACCCCAATAAATGTTTTTCTCACATTTGTTTTTACTTCGGAGTGACCAGATCAAAGCAAGCTTTGAAAATGTTTTTTTGAAGAGATAGTTACACAATAAGCAATGAACAGGCGGAAATACATTTACCGACACATACAACATAATTATTAAAATATGGAAACCAGTGCAGAATATTTCTACAACACCATGCATACATGCAAGAAAGCGTGCCAGCCACATAACTCACAAAACATTGCATGCTCTGGATTTTAAGCATCATTGTGCAATTTCATGATTTTTATCTATTAAAAAAATTGCAGTCAGCAGCAAGGAAAGAGGAAGAGTAAGGAGTCGTAACCAGATTTGGCAAGTTAAAGGAGCACAAAAGCACCATAGATGCAACTTGCGATTGACTTGCGATTGACTTGTGATTGACTTACGATTCATCTTATGATTGACTTGTGATTGGCTTGTGATTGACTTGTGATTGCCTTGTGATTCTTCTTATGATTGGCTTGAGATTGACATGAGATTGACTTGTGATTGACTTGTGATTGGATTGTGATTGGCTTGTGATTGGCTTGTGATTGGCTTGTGATTGACTTGTGATTGGCTTGTGATTGACTTACGATACATCTTATGATTGGCTTGAGATTGACTTGTGATTGGCTTGTGATTCATCTTATGATTGGCTTGAGATTGACTTGAGATTGACATAGGGTTGACTTATGATTCATCTTATGATTGGCTTGTGATTGACTTGTGATTGACTTGTGATTGACTTGTGATCGACTTACGATACATCTTATGATTGGCTTGTGATTGGCTTGTGATGACTTGTGATTGACTGGATTTCAGCTCTGTTAAAGACGTTTCAGCAAAAATGTGTGATCTACAAATGTATGCTGAACATTACCAGAAGACCAGATTTATTTCTCCTTCTTCGTTTTTGTTGTTTGTTTTTTAGTTTGTTTTTTTTGGTGCAATCCTACCTTTTCCCTCTCTGACAGCTCGCCGAACTGCCGAGCCAAGCTTCTCGTGACCCCGGTCTCGCTCATCTTTGGATTTTCATCCTTGAACGCCCTCCGGTGCTCTTTGGTGTACAGAAAGAGGGCGGAGACGGGCTTCTTGACGCGGGAGGAGGCAGACTAGACATCGAAAAAGGGGGAGTGGAAAGGAAAGGGGGAGATGCAACTAACCAAAAACAAAAAGGCAGCCAGGGGTAACAGGGGAAACGCAAGCAAGGGAAATAGCGGGGTTCGTTGCACAGTCGTTACAACAGCAGTGGCTGCATTTCGACGGCGATTTGATGAAATGACGAATCTTCCCACAAAACATTTTGAGAACATTGCATTTTAAGTTGGTTGATGTCTCAAATCACATTTTCATATAAACATTTCTCTCCCACCCAAAAAAAAAAATGGAAAAAAAAAAATGACAGATGCGATAGCCCAGTAGTTAAACAGCCATACCTTGTCTCCGTTTTCATAAAAATAGATCTACTTATTCAGGAGATATTAGTTTCACAAATGTAAAAGGCTAGCACACACATATAATGAGATGCCCCACATTCGCCACTTTGCATAATTAGCGTAATAATAACCAACTGTGCAATTTGGGTCATGAAATTTAGAAAATGATGTAGAGGACATCATCAAAATGTAAGAATATCCAAAAATCTCAAATTGCCTAAAATCAACAGGTAGGGATGGATTCGTCACTTCGTCAAAATCGCCGTCGATTTTCTCTGATGATTTCAATGAAGCAAGCTTCACGTGTATTGTGAGTGGACCGTTCTGGGTTTGGCCCTAAGCCCCACCCACATTAAGGAAATTATCGGACCACTTCACCACTCTCGGTTGCCTTTCTTGTCCATGCTGTCATGGCAACTAGACCAGCAGTGACATGCTTACTGTCCCCTAGCCGATGTTTTTTTGCAGGCATGGCAAATATTGACGAATAATTCTCACCAAAAAAAAAATATCTTGATTTCAAATCCCAGTTTTAATCAACCAATAGTCAAGGCTATTTACGTGTCACTTATATAGTCCATCATTCAATTTTTGATGATACCCAAATTCAAAGAGACAATTTTTTTATTCTTAAGTTGCATGAAATATTTCATTGGGATTTGAATCATCTCACAAAAATTATAATAAAGAATGACATAACATGATATTTGGCAACTTTGGTTTTTTTGGGGTTGTTTTATTTTGGAAAAATAAACATCAATATCTGACAACTGCAAAATAGGGGTTTTTTTTGGCAATGACAAACGCTCACATGCACAATGGTACATAGACAGCCACTTATTTCCTCATGCAAAGTTTTACCACAGCAAGTGGAAAACACACCACTACTATCAATGACGCAAGAAAAGTCCATGTTTTTCATTCAAGGAAATCCCAGCTGAATACTTGTTTGAGAATGGCCATAACAATTGTCGCCAAAAAAATGTCTCTGTATCTCAGCAGACAAATATTGACTGCTTTCAGTGATAAAGTAAACTTAGTTGATCCACTGAACATATGCTACACAGTTCTAGAGATTATGTGAAACCGAAAACCAAATGCTGAATATGCTTCTCAATTTGTAATTTATTGAGACTTCTTTTTCCTTTCATCACATTTTATCTTGATACAGGGCGTGTGAGAACTTGTGAGGACTTGTGAGACCTTCTGAGAACTTGTGAGGTGTTGTGCAGACTTGTGAGGACTTGTCAGGACTGTTTATGGACTTGTGAGGACCAGTGAGGACCAGTGAGGACCTATGAGGACTTGTGGGGACTTGTACGGACTTATGAGGACTTGTCAGGACTGTTTATGGACTTGTGAGGACCAGTGAGGACCTATGAGGACCTGTGAGGACTTGTGAAGACTTATGAGGACTTGTCAGGACTGTTTATGGACTGTTTATGGACTTGTGAGGACCAGTGAGGACCTATGAGGACCTGTGATGACTTGTGGGGACTTGTGAGGACTTATGAGGACTTGTCAGGACTGTTTATGGACTTGTGAGGACCAGTGAGGACCTGTGAGGACATGCGAGGACGTCTGAGGGACTCAACTAAAACACTGACCAACAGACACACAACTGACAGACAAACAACACACAAACCAATGCAGAAAAAGCATCCTTACGTTTGAGGCTTTGGGCGTCTTCTTTGCCTGTCGCTCGATGGCTTCTAGCTCTGGCGCATACTTTTCCCTATCCTCAACTGGAAGGCTCTGTAAGTTCGAGACACAGCAATGGTTTTTGGTTTTTGAGTTTATCCTTTTATTTCATCCAGAAATAGGTGAAACTGAAAGGCCAACTTTGGCCACAGAAAGCCAACATTGGTGCTTCCTTTTTCTATGACACGAAAAGTTAAAGACCTTTTCAAAGACCTAACATAATGTTCATATAATGGAACATTTGATTTAAGTAAAATGTCAATGAACACAAAAGTTTAATTCTTTAACTTTCAACATAAAAATCTGTAAGGTTGTATAAATATCAAAGTAGAGCTTGATTGGGGCAAACAGAGAAATTCCTACCTACCTCTATGTATTTTTCAAGCTCCTTTTTGTATTGGACTTTCAGCTGTAAAAAAAAATCAGTTAACAAAAGACACTGTGTTAAAATGACAAATACACAATTTACATGCTCAGAATGTACACAAGTTGACAAGGAGAGGGAAGTCCTAAAATGTCAATAATTGGCTTTTCCAAAGAAGGTCTCCAACACCTTACCATAACTTTATTTAAAGAAACAATTCAAGACATTTCCTCAACTTTCTTCTGTAGGGGTGGAACTTGGCATGGGGCAGAGGTAGGGCAGGTTGGGCCAGGGTGGGAGGGAAGTGGATCAGGGTGGGGTAAGGTCTTGCAGGGTGGGGTAAGGTCTTGCAGGTGGGCCAAGGTGGGGCAGGGTGGGCCAGAGTAGGGCAGCGTGGGGCAGTGTTGGGCCAGGGCGGGGCAGGGCAGGGCAGGATGGACCAGGGTGGGGCAGGGTGTGGCAGGGAGGGATAGGGCAGGGCAGGGAGGGATAAGGCAGGACAGGGAGGGATAGGGGGAGGCAAGGAGGGATAGGGCGGGGCAGTGAGGGGTACATTCAAACAAGAAGGGGGTAGTGCAGGCTGGGGTGGGATAATGGCTAGGGTTCAGCAGGCCCGCTTACCTTCTCAACACGATCCTTATAATCCAGCTTTTTCTTGGCTTCCGTGTCGGACCACAACGCGCTGCATTCCATCATCTTAGCCCTGGTGTTGGAGCCCATGTGACCCATCTGCTTCAGCATCTCTGAACAGAACAGGTTGTATGCATTCCTGAATTAAAGAGAAAAATTTCCCTAATAATACAATAGATCGGAGCCAGTTGGTAAGCAGAATAATATTGCTCAGAATGTTCTTTACGTAAGTACTAAACAAAAAGTCACATGAGAAACAGTCTCAGGGGCAGGGGTGGCTGGGGCAGAGGTGGCAGGGGCCAGGGTGGCAGGGGTTAGGGTGGCAGGGGTGGGTGTGGCAGTGGTGGAGTTGGCAGGGGTGGGATGGGATGGGCGGGACCTACGCTGGTGGTTTGAAGGGTTTGCCGTCCATCCCTTCCTTCAGTTTCACTTCTTTCTTGGTCAGCAACGGCTTTTTGATCTCGGGAACCTTGAAGTTGGGGTTCTGCTCTATGTATTCCTCAATATCTTTCTGTGAAAATAAAGATTGACCAATAAAAAAAAAAAAAACAGTTGATTAGAAGTTCATAGAAAATAAATTGCATATTATGGCATTTTATGTGTCAAATTTGAATGCGTCACAAGTTTGGACATGGCAATTTGAATATCAAATATACTTTTCAAATTCTATTGTGCTCTTTTACTCAACAAACGTGATTTTTACCAGCGTTTATGGCCAAATCAAAGCTAACTCACACAAAACTGCTGTGGACTGTGAAAAGCAATTGTGATAAAATGTCATGCTTAAGAACACAATCTACTGATGTTAACCAGGGGCCGATTGCCTGGCACTGCAAAGCTGACAGTTTAAGTGAGCTTAAAAAATATTTGCTTCGCAAAATCTGCTTACCAGGCAAAATTTATATGATGCATTGTGCCTAGTCTGGATATACATAAATTTTGATTTAATAATTAAATTTGCTAATCAGTAAGCAGCATTTATGTGCTTAGCAAAAATAAGATGGGAACCAGTCAAAAGCAGTGTGCACTGCATGACACTTTGGCTGGTGACCTATTTTTGCTAAGCAGATATTTTCCGTGCCTAGCATGATTTCTGTGCTTAAATGGTCAGTGAAATTTGGCCCGGGACGTACCCCATATTTGGTCTGTTCCTCAAGCGCCTTGTTGATCCACTTGACCCGTTTCTTATCTGGCATGTTCTTCCATTCCTCCCGCAGCTGGGTGTCCATTTGACCTCGGGTCACCTGCGTCGGGTCAAAGGTCATATTCAAATGAGTTGTTATCAGATCATCGCATGCCATTACATGTTATCACACGTAAATTGCAAGTCAAACACAAGTCCTTAGTGTAATTGTTCATCATGGACAACTTATGGCCCAACTTGTGACTGACTTATGACTGACTCCTGATAGACTTGTGATTGACTTGTGATTTGTGATTGACTTGCGATTGACTTGTGATTGACTTGTGACTGACTTGTGATTGACTTGTGATTTGTGATTGACTTGCGATTGACTTGTGATTGACTTGTGACTGACTTGTGATTGACTTGTGATTGACTTGTGATTGACTTGTGATTGACTTGTGACTGACTTGTGATTGACTTGTGATTTGTGATTGACTTGTGACGGACTTGTGACTGACTTGTGATTGACTTGTGATTGACTTGTGACTGACTCCTGATAGACTTGTGATTGACTTGTGATTTGTGATTGACTTGCGATTGACTTGTGATTGACTTGTGACTGACTTGTGATTGACTTGTGATTTGTGATTGACTTGCGATTGACTTGTGATTGACTTGTGACTGACTTGTGATTGACTTGTGATTGACTTGTGATTGACTTGTAATTGACTTGTGACTGACTTGTGATTGACTTGTGATTTGTGATTGACTTGTGACGGACTTGTGATTGACTTGTGACTGACTTGTGATTGACTTGTGACTGACTTGTGATTGACTTGTGACTGACTTGTGATTGACTTGTGACGGACTTGCGATTGACTTGTGATTGACTTGTGACTGACTTGTGATTGACTTGTGATTGACTTGTGACTGACTTGTGATTGACTTGTGACTGACTTGTGATTGACTTGTGATTGACTTGTGACTGACTTGTGATTGACTTGTGATTGACTTGTGATTGACTTGTGATTGACTTTTGATTGACTTGAGACTGACTTGTGTCTGACTTGTGATTGACATAAGATTGACTTGTGGTTGACTTGTGACAAATAATACAACTCTGTTTTATTCTATAACTACGATTAACCTGAATAAATGTCACTGGCACGTCCAAGATTTTGTTCTGAGAAAGCTTTTTAGGTTGTTGCATATTAAATTTCCCGACGTTCTCAAGAATTTGAAAACAAAAAAACTTTCTCACTTTGTCCTCGTTATTTAACTGTTTAACACAGCAATATTCAACAACGTTGAAAAAAAAAATTCTGAAAAATTACAATCAAAGACACACATTGTTTTTCCCTGTAATTTTTAAATAAATAGAGTACACAAAAAATTGAGGTTTATAAAAACCACTCCCCCTTTTTGAGCAATGGTACGTACCTCATGATCGTCCCTCTGTAGAGCCTCAAACCTTTTGTTGGACCAGAGTTGGTATGGGTTGAGCAGCTTTGGAGGCTTGGGCCCGCCCCCTCCATGCCGGGAGTCTTTCTTGTACTCTGGATGCTCCGCCCTGAAAATGAATATTCATGAGAAGGCGGGCATATGACAACTTGATGAGATACTAGAGGTTTGGCTAACTTCTAAAGCTAAAAAGGGTTACCAGCCAAATGTAATGTGATGTATATTGCCTGTAATTGGACGGTGCTCAGCAAAATTACCTGCTTACCAAAAATTGAGCCGAAAAATAAGCAGTATCCTCACAAGATATCTTCGCTGGTAACCATATTTTACAAGGCAAAACCTTTCCGAGCTAAGAAGTTTTTCAAGCTTGTATCTCTGACTTATTTGAACTTGTATGACTTGTACATAATTATCGTCATCTACTAACGGTCGCAACCGAGACCTCGTTCACAACGCCACGCCAGGTGTCTTTATCCCTCGTTGTGTACGGAAGGTCTTCTATTTCACATTGGGTGTCTCTGCCAATCACATCAATTATAGCAAAATAATATTGAGAAAGAAAAATTGTGAAAAACTTACAAGAATGTGGCCAACTCTTTCTGATACATCAGCCTCTGGTCTCCATACTTCTGGTTGTATTTGGCCTGAGAACATAATAAAAAGGTTCCTTTTTTTTGTTAGAAGCATTTTTGTGTGTGTCACAAGCTGTACATATTATACTTTGTTCATGGTTGTGATTACAGTAAACTCTCTTGCTCAAGAACACAAGGATGCTTTACACAAGAGCCTGATTTCATTGAGCTGCTAAGTATTTCGGCCCGAGAACTGTCAATTTTTCTTTTTGATCAGAAGCTTTTCATTCAGGTCGTGTACAACATTTTACTTGGCTCACGGTCGTGATTACAGTAAACTCTCAGCTTAACAGGATGACTGATCATCCATGGCCAGCTAGACTAACTATAAGGTTTTTATTACATAAACATGTGGTTCTTGTCAGTGGGGCGGGTGTTTGGCTAGGATTTTCAGGGTCAATAATTCAACCAACGATAAAGGGACACTCACAATGTTATTTGGCTACGTTTGAATGAAGAACTGGGCCCAATTTCATAGAGCTGCTTAAGCAGAAAATTTGCTTAAGCACGAAAAACCTTTGCTTAGTAAAATTAGGTTACCGGCCAAAACTCCATGTGATGTACATTGCTTGTGACTGGTATTTAGCTGTTGTTTACTTAGCATAACAATCGCATGGAGTTTTGGCCGGTAACCTGATTTTATTAAGCAAGACGTTTTTGTGCTTAAGCAAATTTTGTGCTTAAGCAGCTCTATGAAATTGGCCCCTGGTGAAATATAAAACAAAATTGACTGGAAAATGTCAGAGTAATTAAGAACTATTAAACAAACCAGATTTGATTTGAGAGCACAATGGCACAGCTGAGACGCAACGCCTCATTCGTGAATCCAAAATGGAGAAGAAACCCACCTTTTTGTGTTCTGGAAGTTCCTTGAATTTGATCGCCAGTGATCGGGAGATCTCGTACTGCGGCATTTCCGGGTGCTTCTTCTTGAACTTCTTGGCCTTCTCCGAGTAGAACATGAAGAACGGGGTCAGGGGTTGCTTGGGGAGGTCAGGGTGCACCTGTTATTGAAAGCACGGAAGGTCAAAGGTCAAAGGGCACAAAATTGCTTGAGATAAGGTGTGAATGAAAATACATCAAAACCTGTTAGAAATAATGTTTTGTTTTCCAATTGAAAAGGGGATCGGGCTGCCGACTGTGCAGAAATTGTTGGCAGTGCTGAATGGGCTACTGACAGGTACTATGGCAGATAGGTGATGGGATTGTGCCTTTAATGATACAAGTATGGAATTTGGCAAACAGTCAAAGTATGTCGCGAGAAATATATTTGGAAAGAATGTTGCATCCTGACGCCAACAAAATTGTTACCAACAAGTTACCAACAAAATTGAAAAGGTTTCTTAGTCCCAGATTCATGTCTTTTCAACATTTTTGCAACGACTGACCTTTACTGAGAAGATATATGAAGAAATAAGTGGCGTCAGAATGAAACATTCTTTACAGATATTTGGCTATAGGGCCATCACAGATTTGTCCTTTGAACAAATATTGGTAGATTAACAAGCAATGGCAGCCATTTTGAAATTTCTTTGCTATTCAACCCGTACTCGTGAACTACGTACCAGTTTGCGATGTGAGAAGGGATTCTGGACCACCTGCAGTGCGTCGGCCGTGACCTCCGCCATGGTGCGGTATTTACGGATCTAAAAATTAAACGGAGACCAAAAATAGTTCAGGGGTCAAATAAAAAGGTCAAACTCGTCATGTTTTATTCATGATTTTCTGGCAGAGAGCCAAGAGTTGTCAAGCCGGGAAATGTATAGTACATCATGATGTATCCAGGAAGCTCTTAGGGAAAGACAAAGCAGGAAATGTCAGATTTAGATCAGGGATAAAATCCTGGGAGATGTCATTGACGGAAGCCTTTGAGACCGAGCCGGCAAGAACATGTATATGGTGCCCCTGCAATGAATCATTCTTGTGATGGACTATAGCGTTGTAATTGAGCCCATCACAAATCCTTCCAGTTCCGGTCAAAACTAAATCACAAGTTCTATCATAAGTCCAGTCACAAGTAACAGGGGATGAACAATAACAAAGGAATGCCGTTGTTACAGTTCATCTGAATAGCTTGCGACTTGACTTGGGACTGGAGGACTTGTGATGGACTTGTGATGGACTTGTGATGGACTTGTGATGGACTTGTAATAGACTTGTGATGGACTTGTGATGGACTTGTGAGGGACTTGTGATGGGCTTGTGATGGTCTTGTGAGGGACTTGTGAGGGACTTGTGATGGACTTGTGATGGGCTTGTGATGGACTTGTGATGGGCTTGTGATGGACTTGTGATGGTCTTGTAATAGACTTGTGATGGACTTGTGATGGACTTGTGAGGGACTTGTGATGGGCTTGTGATGGACTTGTGATGGTCTTGTGATGGGCTTGTGATGGACTTGTGATGGACTTGTGATGGACTTGTGATGGACTTGTGATGGACTTGTAATAGGCTTGTGATGGACTTGTGATGGACTTGTGAGGGACTTGTGATGGACTTGTGATGGACTTCTGATGGGCTTGTGATGGGCTTGTGATGGACTTGTAATAGACGTCTGATGGACTTGTGATGGGCTTGTAATAGACGTCTGATGGACTTGTGATGGACTTGTAATAGACTTGTGATGGACTTGTGATGGGCTTGTGATGGACTTGTGATGGACTTGTAATAGGCTTGTGATGGACTTGTGATGGACTTGTGAGGGACTTGTGATGGACTTGTGATGGACTTCTGATGGGCTTGTGATGGGCTTGTGATGGACTTGTAATAGACGTCTGATGGACTTGTGATGGACTTGTGATGGACTTGTGATAGACTTGTAATAGATTTCTGATTGACTTCTGATGGACTTGTGATGGACTTGTGATGGACTTGTGATGGACTTGAGATAGCTGCAACTACAACACCAGCACAACTCTGGAATGTTTTATTTATTTATTTCTGGTAATGAAACCAAGGATTCCTGATTCCTCAAAGGCACCCTAGTGGGCACTGACGAGAGAAGACAATGAATAAATTACAGTTTTAGAAGTGGGAGGACAACCCAGAGAAGACTATTCTTGGGGAAAAACCCACAGAATCAGGCAGGGACTGAAAACCCAATAAACATGTGGACCAGGGCAGGTACCGGTATCGAACCCGGGTCACAAAAAATGGAAGACACGGAAAGAACCACTGCACCAATGTGACTCCCCAGTACAATATAACATAAAATCCTGTTGAAGTTGGCGTGGTTAGAGTAAAAAAAAAAAGGCTTGCCTCATTTTGGATGATATCCCACTCCTTCTTGCAGACTTCGGGGGTGAAGTCGCCAAAGCGCACTTTGTTCCAGTCGATCTTGGCGATGCAGACCTTGTAGGAATGCTTGTCCGTCTTGGGCGAGTGCTCCTGGATGTTGTGGATGAGCTGGGTGCGGTCCGCCAGCGAGAAGACCGAGGCTGAGGAGCCTCCTGAATAATAAGCCATTTGCGTGTTAAATTTGAATAAAATCTGGAACGCTGACTTAATACAATGCTTTGCACGTTTTAACCTAGCATTCTCCCGACCAAAGAGACTGTTACTATATCACGTGATTCGGGGCAAGCCTTATGCTAGCAACCCCCAGCTCCGGCATGGTCTGGTGTCTTTGTGCCATTCTCACCCATTGTGAACGATGTATTGGTGCTGAGCGTCTCTTACGTAACTATGCAAGAGCTTGCCCCGAATCATGTGATTAGCAACAGTGTCTTTGGTCTGGAGAATTCACAGTTAAAATGTGCCAAGCATTCTGAGCAAGTCATTGTACCAGACGTTTTTCAAATGTAAATCCCAAAGGGTATAGGTTACACGCAAGTGGCTTATTCAAGGTGGACACGTTTAGTTATCATGGTTATGATGGTGATCTGATACACCGTGCCCTCTGGAGACATGCACACAGGGCAATTTCTATAGATGAATACTCTCCACAAGGTTTTCACAAATATATGGATTTTACTAAAAAACTAGGAATTTCCAAGGTATGTTGATCTGTCGCAAATGGTAGAGTTTAAGAAAAGGGCTACTAAGTCCACATTTCATCCAAGGAAATTAATTCTGGTTAAAATAAGAGCATTTTGAAACTGTACTTTCAAACTCGAAAAGTTTAGTACACGAGAACAAAGAAATGTCTCCACAAGGATACAAATTTCAGTATGTGTGTACGACTACGAAGAGTCAAAATCGGGGACGACACAGTACGAACCCAAAATTGTCATCAACGTCTTTGTTTTGAGGCAAAATGATTCTAAATGGTTGTCAAGCGTCAAAGCCGCCAATGAATTGGCAAAAGTTCAGACATTTTCTCCTTAAAAGATTTCAAAATTTTGTTTAAGCTTACGATGATAGGGCACTCGGTTTGGCAACTAAGCATTTAAGCCAGAAGGACAATGGAAAGACCTTGATGTACAACATATGTAAGAAATACGAGGTTTAGAGAGGAATACATGAACAACAAAGCATGCACATTTTTTTTCTGGGGGGGTACAAATGTATCAGGTTTGTTTACAAGTTTGTTTTTGATATTCAAATTTTTCAGGGGGCGGGAAAGGAGGAGAGGGAGGGGGGGGGGACTTCAACTCTCCCAAATCGTAAAAAAAATGGTCCATGGATATCTCTAAGCCATTTATACCATTCTAGAGGTAGTCAACAAAATTTCTTGGAGTTTCTAAAATTGCTTTAAAAAAAAAGATGCAGTTTCTGAAATTTCCAGAAAATGAAACTGAACATTTCAGGAAATTTGTTACTTTTCCTTAATTAGACAAAGAATTGTATTATACCTTTTCTTGAAATTAACTTGTTGAAATGTCCAGGACTGAATTATTTTGTTTATTTCTTAACAAAAATGTTATGTATCTTACCAGTCTTGGCATGTTTCTTGGCTGGCTCTTGATTCTGGGCCGGCTGGCTGTCAGCAGCGCTGCTGACTCTCTTCTTGCCTCGGGTTACTATTTTTTTTAAATCATCAAAAACAAGAAGTTTAACACGGTTTATCTTGAAGAAGCTATATCTTGAAGCTTATGATTAAAGGCATGTAGGATCATTTGCTTTCATGCATTTTGTTACTTTTTAATAACACCACTCAAAAACCAAAGAAGAATGTTCCAAACCTAACCTGTTGAACTTTCAGCTCAGTGGATATTACACTTTTTGCAAAAACAGTGAAAAAGTATGCACAACCTTTTGATCACAAAACACGATTTTGTTGAACTCTTTTTTATGTTGCAAAAATCAGTCCATAGACTGATTGTTGCAAATCACCTACATTTCTTGATTTCGTCTATTAAAATGACAGCAAGCCAGATGGAATGATTTCACGGGGTGTTTAGTACCAGTACAATCTTTAATCCACTTTAAAACTCTTTGATCATAATTTGGTAGGTTACTTTTGGGATAAATGCAAATAATCTTATATGATTCTGTTTATTTACCATGCAATAAAATGAATAATTCATCGAATCAGGACATAAACATCGAAAGTGGGAAATTAAAAGAATGATTAAAAACCAATTAATTTTTTTATATCATCTCAAAGATTTCTTGTTGTACAAATGATATATACGTGGATGAAATTGTCAAAATTTGACCAAATGAAATGCACAGGTTGTTTTTTTTAGGGGGGGGGGGTCAGTTGTCAGCTACAGCATAGCCAAATCTTGATCAACAATCTAAAAACAAAAACCCGAGGACATAAACATTTATAATTTAATTATTAATATTTATAAACTGATTTTAAGTAAGCCCATTTTTGTCACTTAATTGTCACAACCAAAATTCTGGCATTTATGCAAGTCAACTTCTAAATTTGTTTTCTGTACGTCAATGATGACCAAGAGAAACCATGGAAACAGAAACAAAGGCTTCAGTTCAAATCAATTCAGTTTACTAAAATTATAAGTTACATTTACCGATAGATAATACTGCAGGCATGCGACTGGGAACATAGAAAAAAACGAGGAAGTTCCAAACCTCACAAGACTTTGTACAGTATTTTCCAATTTGTAATGGCATTCATGAGAAATTTTTTTTAAAACGCGGAAATCAGCGAATCCGAGGAAAGTTGTATACCTGATACTGGTACAAAATCACGAATAATTTATTAGCAAGCAAATATAATTTTAAAATAAATTTGTCCTGAAATGAATTTAAAAAATATTTAATGCTCAGATGTGCTTCAAAAAAATTATAGGAAAAAATGTCGCAACCTGACGCCACTTTTTTCTTCATCTCAATGAAGGTCAGTCATTGCAAAAATGATGATAAGACATGAATCTGGGACTGTGAAACATTTCCAATTTTGTTAGGAAATACTTAGAAAATTTTCTTGACTCTCCATTGACTTTGTACACAACCGCTGAAGTGGCGTCAGGTTGCAACATTTTCTCGTAATTAAAAACATATTGAGAGCATTGAAAGTCGAATAAAAATAATCTTAATTCTTCAATACAAATTCTTGTTTTACAATAGGCTATACCCAAATTATATCAAAACTTAAAGTAGAATAGTTAATAAAACTTAAGATATACAAAAATTAAAATAAAATAAAATTTTTAAAAAATTTGTTACATTTCAGAACTGAAGAAATGCAAATTTGTTCGATTCAAAGTATCACTCAGAAAAAAAAATCACCAAGCAGACAAGTGTTCATAGTCGAGAAAAAAATAAGAGAAAAGGTAAAAATCATTTTAAAATTGTATTAAACTGGCGGTAGGCCCTTCACAGACATTGAAATTTATGAACAAAATGCAAAAATGGGAAAATGCAAAAAATGGAATTTAAATGAAAACAAATGGGAAAATGCAAAATAAAAATATCTGTGTAGAAATATTAAAAATGTCATTGACAAAAGCTTTTTAAAACTGAAATTTCGTAAAATTTCTTCATTTCAAAATTCATTGAAAATTGTGGAATGCAGCAAATAAACAGAAAAGCTGAAACTGTTAAAAACCGATTCTCAAGACGACCGGACGGACGGTAAAATGTGCGCGTCGCGTAAAAAAAAACAGGTTACGAATATAATTTTATCCACGATTTCACCGCATTGTAAATTATTCTATGTGAGGGCCTAGAGAAAAAACGTGGGAGAAGAAAAAAGTGCATTCTTTCAGCAATAACAAACGACGAACCATTATTCAATGCCACACGATTCGCCAGACACCGCGAGCCATTCACAGTGTAAAAATAGTCCCAGCCAGACTCGACTGGGCGATCAAGTCCCAGCCAGACAAGCGCGGCCGGCCGCGGTGAAAAACACGGTGCCTGGAGCGAGCCGCAGCCCCGCTCGGCTAGCTGCTTGCAAAGCAGAGAATTGTGGAGCTGAGGCCCGGCCAGCTATGCACGTACCACGGCCTGCAAAGCCCGCCAAACTGACCTGGCGATGCCTACGTATCATTGCATATGGCGTGGGGAAGCTGCGTCATGCCTGCCTGGCTTGAGCCAGCGTGGCGCAACCGCTCCGCCGTGCCCACTCGATCCCCGGCCGAAACCGCGCCGGAAAACCTACCGAAACAGAACTTCAAAACCGCCAGATTGATTCAAAGTAGCAACCACGGTGATCTATAACTCACCAGCTTGACAGTGATATACAAATGTAGAACGTGAGAAATGCAAAAAGGGGTAAAATAGCGGGTTTCAAAATGAGGAAATGTTACCGGGACTCACCCTCCGCGTCGGCCATGATGAAGCGATGATAATGCTGATCAGCCCCAAGAGCTCCCGGGTCAACTCTAGCGGGCACCGCCCGCTAAACTTCATCCGCGATGCCCCGGTAGCGGTGACGCCTCAGTAAGTGCTGACGTGACTGGCGCGTTCGCGGGTCAGGCGTAGTAGTAAAGTAGTGCGTGATAACAACGGGTATTTTTCGGCCGCTTCGAGATAAAAAGCAAATTTATTGGAAAAAATACAATTTATCGAGATGATCTCTCCGAAAAGGGAAGAAAAAGCGAGTGAAAGTCCGATTGTTTCACGTTTATGAGATTTTTTTCTCACGTGTAGTTAAAGAAGCAATTTTAACCTCGTTCAAACGCGACAAAAGTACGAAACAATTTTATGACATATCTTATATATAATAGCAGTAAACTTCAGTAGATTTATAAGTTTAGAGCAACTGCTATTATTTTCTTAACAAAATTTACAGAAAATTTAGGTATTTTTGCGATTTAGAATTAATTTGAATCAAAGTTGTCTTTTTCATATATTCAGATATTCAATCACGCGCGGCAGGTCACCAGAAGACCAATCAGATTGGTTGAAAATGCACAAATTGCATTATTCATGAAGGTAATTTAAATCAATAACAGATTGATTCTGTCAGACGGATATGGACTCGACGACCACACGTAGGTTGTGCTGTGTGTACGCGCGTCCGTAGCGTGCGGCTAGCTTGACGTACTGGGGAAACCACCCAGGGATTGTCCCGTGCGCACCGGTCAGTTGTACGGTCGAGGTCCACACTCGTACCGGTCATCTCCTTGGAAGTGCCGGCTGGAGTCGCCTTGATGCTGCTCACAGATCCCCTTTTTGTTGCATCGTAAACATGGATTCGAGGCAGTATGAACTCTTGCCCATGAACGGGGCTAAAGTCGAAGAATCTGACATGGAAGAATTTGTTTCCGGTGAGTGTTTATTGACGGAAAATGCCTCGAAGTTGACAACTGCTGCAGTGTATTGTGTATGGTTTGGTGAAAGCATGGTGAAAGTCAGGCCATGGGCCGGGTTCCAGGGAGGGGGCGGGGTTGTTTGGATGGAATCCCCCCCCCCCAAAAAAAATTAGGTCTTACTCAAATAAAATTGTCTTTCACTGGTCATTCCTGACCAGTTCATGTGGTTTGTGCAGAATGTTAAGCCACGCAAGTAAGGCCAAGTAAAAAAAAAATCCAGTTGATCGTCCCCGCCCGCATCCTTTTTTGGAGCCGTTTCTTTTTTTCTTTTTTATGTTTTACTTGCAAACTGTACACACATGTATACAACCTCTTTTTAAGCTCCCTATTGAATGTCTATGATATGCGAACAGGTTCCGCGATAATTATGCAAAACAAGACTGCATCTTGACCTTGAGTTTCTGACCACTCAGCTGGCGTCTTGTATATCGGGTCTTCGGTAACCCGTTGTCATATCCATCTAATAAAACCTAGACACGATAAGCTTTTACGTTGCAAATTAAATTGTGTTAGCAAAAATATGCTGCGTCATGCGGCCTGTAACAATATGTTGATGCGCAAACGTCATGTGGTTTCGAACGATCATCACATGTATTTTGAATAATGCGCGTAATGCGAACACCTTCCTGCGCATTCACACCCACAATGAGTGTTTGTGTATTCTATACGTACGCAGCATTTTGCTGAATAGTTTTGAGAGCCAATATGTTGTGTCTAGGTTTTATTAGATCTCCATATCCGTTGTCGTATCAATTACAAAAAGATGGCATCCAAATTGACCAATCAACAGCTTAGTCCACATTACTGATCGAAATGGTGTCACAATTTTGTAAAGTTGACTCTGATTGGCTGGCGTGCGAGGTCGCATAAATTTGCATGTGATATCAGACTTTGCACTGGAGACAGGGCTCTGTTGGACAACGGGTGATACTCGACTACCCAATGCCCTGCTAGATCCAATTAAACTTAGATAACATCATTTGCATTATAAATTTATCCCAAAAGCAACCTACCAAATTATTAGCAAAAGCTTAAATGTACTTAGATTAAAAATTGTATCAGACGGTACTAAACACCCCATGAAATTATTCTGTCTGGCTTGCTGTCATTTAGAAGAAATCAAGAAAATGTAGGTGATTTCCAATGATCTGATCGATTGACTGATTTTTTTGAAATTTAAAGAGTGCCATCAATGTTTCATGGTCAAAAGGTTGTGCATGGTTTTTCACTGTTTTCTCAAAAAGGTAATATCCACTTAGTCCGAGTAACTAGGACTCTACGAATCGCCTTTTTTAACAAGTTTGGAGATGTTCGGGCGATAGTAGGCTTACTATCGCCTGACCATCTCCAAATGTTAAAAAAGGCGATTCGTAGAGTCCTAGTTACTCGGACTAAGTCGCCTGACCATCTCCAAATGTTCAAAAAGGCGATTCGTAGAGTCCTAGTTACTCTGACTAATATCCGCTGAGCTGAAACTTCAATGGGTCAGGTTTTGAACAATTTTCTTTGGATTTTGACCAGTTTTATTACTGGAAATGAGCAAAACCACCAGAAAAGCAAATGGCCCTATTAGGGCAATACATCCTTCAACAAATTTTGTAACGGAAAGGCGGGTGTCATGATCAATATTTGTACATTCCATGTGCACCCTTTGAAAGGGCTTGCATTGAAGGAAACAATTGTGTTGCTGTGTAAAGCATTACTGGATGAAAAATAAGGCATAGTATACTTGTACAGTATGTAGTTTGTGGAGAAAGTCTGGCCAGCAGCTGGATTCGAACCCCTGACCCTCTGATCATGAGCAGTAGCCTATACCACTCAGCTACTCATGCAAGTGTGTATTTACCTGCAATCGGGACCGGCCCCTATTGTCCCTCTTTTGTTTGTACTTTTAGGAAGACCTCCCATATGTTTTGTACACATCGCCAAATTGGGGACCCTCCAGGAATTGGGGACCCTATTGTCCTCTATTGTTCCACGTCCCCTATTGAATGCAAAAACAAACTCACACTCGCTCATTTTATGAGTGTATTATTGTAGAACAATTGAGATGTAGTAATACAATTTAATAGTTTAAATCATAACTCTATCATTTCTGGGAAAATAATCTATTAAAATATGTATTATATTTTGCATTTAATGCCATCATTGATGAATTAAATTTCATTTACAAGAAATTAAATTTAATCAGTCTACTGATAATGCTAATCCAGTTTCAAAAATGATGACATATAACTAAAGAATAATTTCCAATACCCCCCCCCCCCCCCATCCACCCCAAAATATAGTGTACATGTACTACGCTAGTGATTTATGAGTGGTTTTTAATATTTAAATGAGCTTCTAAATACTGTTGAAGGTGCTGGTACAATAGGGCATATAAATTAACATAATGTCTGGTAGTGGCTTATATATTGCCAACTACTAGGCCCTATACAAAATACCGTGCCACGACCATTATGTTTGCAGTATAGAAGATCGCTCAACCGTTTAGCCTTGTTGTATGCAGTACGCACATGTGTTCGTCTGTTTAGCGTATTGACTGCATTTTTTTTTGCAACGGTAGATCATTTATACGTCTGCTTCACAGTATACTATTTCATTGATTGGTGCTCATTTGATACTTTGTGTGAAATTGTACCGTACTGTACATCTTCGTCAGCACTTACGTTACTCTGTTAATTGCTAGCTGTCTTTAAGTTATTGGCCAGATCAAGGCTTTCATTATACTGCACGAGTTCAATTTTGTGACTTTTTTGTCACACACGTTTTTTCATCATGGCCACCGCTGCATATGAAACACTCGTCGAGGACGATGTAGGCGTACCAAAAGAAGATCCTAGTATTAACACAAAAGGTTTGTTTACGATATCTGGCAATGGGATGTATATTGTAGTATGCATGTACATGTACGTGCAACTCAGATTTTACATTGTGTGATTACGGTATGTTATTCGTTCTTTAACTTAGGGCCAAATTGTTAGTGTGAAAGGCATTCCCAAAACCTAAGGGTTGGGTCCAACACGGAAATGTGAAAAATTAGAGACTACAAAGGAAAGATTTCCATACCTGGCCATCACTTGTCACCCTGTGCACAAACCCTATGACTGAGGCTGGTCTGAATATTTCTTAGTGTTTTCTCGTTACATGCTTCAATATTTTCCCTGCTAAATTTGACTTTTTAGGACAAACATGTATTATCACTTTCTGATGGCTGATAGGTCACTGCAGGGACAAATTTTAGTGATGGCCATGTATGGCAATCTTTCCATTTCAAAATCCGCAGTTATCCTAATCTTTTTTTTCAAACTGAATGTAACGGTTGTCTGATTTCATTACATCGGAAGTTCCCTTTCAGCTCACAGTCATGACAAAAAAAATGACGAGTGAGGCTTTTTGCCTAGTTTTCAGGATTCATTGACCCCCTGGTCCAGTCAATTTTTTGGTTCAACGTTTAAAAATTATTTCAATGCACCTGGTAAGTGTCCCTTTATGGTTTATTTGAAAATTGATAAAAAAAAGACAATAGGATTTACCGGTATGTTTGTTTCTTCATCAGACAAGGCCTCTCTGATCGACCCTGCCGCCAAGCCGACGCGGACGGAGAACGCGCCCCTACGCACCCAGCAGTCCATCGGGCATGAGACCATCTTCGGTTTTGAAGGGCTGCACGTCATCATCGTGATGGCCGTGGTCGTGTCGCTGGCCATCACCGCCGCTATGGTGATCACCATTCTCGTCGGGGAGCCACAGGTGATTTATTGTCAAAAAATGAGCAGTTTTGTGAAAAAGTTAACAATTTGACGCTTCATGTATCAGGCATGCAAATTGTCCTCAGTTTCGCTGATTTCCTCATTTTTTTACTTCTTGTAAATGCCATTAAAATTTTTAAAACACTGTACAAAGTCTTGTCTGGTTTTGGATTTCCTCGTTTTTTTTCTCTAAATTCCGAGTTTGCATGCCTGATGTATTTGGCATTGTTTCAGATACTGTTAATATCAACAACGTGCTTTCTTTAGTTGCAAGAAAATTTGAAATTGTGTTACAAGAGGTGATTTTACTCCCAAAATTTGAATTTTTGCAAACAAAACTTTTTCGAGTAACGCTATTCATACTTTTTTGTTCTAGTGTCTTTGAGTTGGTTCGTTTTGGTTATTTTTCTTTTGCTTGCAATAATAATCATTTTACCATTCAAAACAGTAGATATATATTTCTAAGGATTTGATATTTTTTTTTACAAAAGATTTCAGCGTATGCAATGAGTTGTTAGAGAATAATGCATGTAAATGTACTCCTACCCATGCTTACATTTTTGGATTCTCTGCATTTGTAGGTTCCACCGCACGGCGCCGTTGCTACGGGCAACCAAGTCTGCTCAGATGCGGGCGTGTCCATCCTGCAGCAGGGCGGGTCTGCCGTGGACGCTGCCATCGCCGCCATGTTGTGCATTGGTGTGGTCAACGCCCAAAGCTCTGGCATTGGAGGGTCAGTAAATATGATAATTTGTTAATTTATGCACTTGTCAATATTTAGCCCCGCCCAAAATAATTGACAATTTGTTAACTTATGCACTTGACAATATTAAGCCCCGCCCCATAGTAATGATAATTTGTTAATTTATGCACTTGACAATATTAAGCCCCGCCCCATAATATTTTGACCAATCACAGTGGTGATTAAAATTAGTGGGATCATATTCAAAGCAATATGTAAAACCCTGTAAAACCCTGCAGGTCAGTTTCAGATGAAGAGATATGAAGTGTAGAGCCCCCTGAACATGAAAGCTACGTGCTGAGCAAAAAGTCATTCGAGGCCGTTTGCTCAGCTCATAGCTCACAAAATATCACTGTATGCTGTCAATTTTTGCTGAGTTTTCTGCCTCACGAGGCCGTGAGGCAAGTACCAAAAAATGACTGCACACGGTGATATTTTGTGAGCTATGTGCTGAGCAAAGGGCCTCGAATGACGTAGCTCTCGTGTGCGGCGGACTTTATGTGTCACACAGAGAGCCACTGCACAAAAACATAGCACTGTGTAGAGCAGTGAAGCGTGACCGATATCTGCCTGCTTGCCCTGAGCCTAGCCACACAAAAGAATTGTGTAGGAGTTTGAAGTGTTATCCATGTTGGGCGCGATCGGTCAATCTGCGCGATTGGGTGATCGCGCAGAAATGCGTTGCGCAGTGGGTCAATCCAATCCTGTAGCATATCTCGGACTTTACGTACCCTTTTTTGAAAAATAATCAAGAGCCGTGAATATGAAAGAAAAGGTATTTGATTGGTGGCAGCGCAATCGACCAATAGCGTCACATCAACTGATAGCGCAGTGCAATCAAACGATCGAGTGTGTTGTGGGAGAGACGCATGTCTTGTTGCCTGTGTTGCAGTCGGTGTGGCCTTTTTGCGGGATCTATTCACAAACAGAAGTTGTTAAAAATTGTCTTTAAGTGATTTTTTTCAACCAATTGCTAAGTGAATCGCTTCGTTCAACAGGGGTGGGTTTATGCTGATCTTAGACGCCGAGGCAGCAGCCTACACAGGAATCGACTTCCGCGAGACTGCACCGGCCAACGCCAGACTGAACATGTTTGCAGACAACCCGGGCGCCTCCCTCTATGTAAGGAAATAAGAACAGTGACGATGTGGTGCTTATATACAGGGTGGATAAAAAAAAAAGAAACCGAGATATTATTGCTAATTGAAACAGAAGTAGGGCACATGTGAATCAAAGGGAGATATCCTCTGTTAGGGTTGAATCTCCTCTTTAAAATGACACCCTGATCATGTCATTACATTCACGGTTGACTGAGCAGTGACCAATTTATGAAAGGGTCTATTTTAATAGAGGTCTGCGCCAATTTTCATGGTGAAATCTCTTTTTTCCCCACCTGCCTTGATTGGCAACCATAGCCTTTCACTCTGTGACAAATGCCAACACAAAAACCACAATTGAAAAGTGGCCCAAGCCTGTAATTAGACCCTTTCATAAAATTGGTCACTGCTCAGTCAACCGTGAATGTAATGACATGACCAGGGTGTCATTTTAAAGAGGAGATTCAACCCTAACAGAGGATATCTCCCTTTGATTCACATGTGCCCTACTTCTGTTCCAATTGGCAATAATATCTCGTTTTGTTGTTGTTTTTTTGTTGTTTTTTTATCCACCCTGTATAGCACTTTATACCAAAGTCTTATTTATACTCCTCGGTGGAAAGAGGCAATTGTAGTAAAGAGTCCTGCCCAAGAACACAAGCACCATGTTCCCCTGTCGGGGTCTGCACCCATGTAACGCACGAATCCGACACTGTTTAAAATTGGACCCGGTGCTCTAAATCATTTACAGAGTTGAGTAACATGTCAGTTCAGCAATGCTGCAACTTAAATTTAATCAGTTTGTTTTTTAACACTGTTTCAATTTGTCGTACATATGGCTTCTGACAATGACATTTTGATTTTAGTTGGGGGATTTTAGTTTTAATTTCCCCTTTTCTTTTTTATTTCCTTTTTTCTGTCTTTTCCAGAGTGGTTTGGCTGTTGGCATTCCAGGGGAGCTGCACGGTATGAGGCAAGCATGGGAGAAGTACGGCAAGTAAGTACACAAGTGCTTACCCACTATAACTAGTAAGCAAATTAGTAAGCAAATATGTCAGCAGAAGAAACCAAATCTAACACGTGATTTACATTTTTCTCCATTTTCCTTCTTTTGCAGGTTGAGGTGGAAGCAGCTTTTTGATCCAGCGATTGATTTTGCACGCAATGGTTTCGAGGTCACTGCGAATCTGGGTAAAACCCTTATCCTCAAACACAAATAAAAACCACTGAAATTTGAGTCCCATCCGAGTATAGTTTGTGAACTGTTTTTCCTGCAATCACTCTGGACAGGACTGAGTATACAGCATTTATAAAAAATCGTCAGTGAAGACCTGAATCCCATACAGTGGAACATTGCTATACTGAACACCGCCATAACGAACATTCGGCTATACCGAACATCGTCCTTGGCTCCCGATTTTTGGGTACAAAACGTACGAAACATTTGTTAACAAATGTAAACAGAAGAGCGACAAGTGGCTATTATTTCCCCAAGGAATAGAAGGGGAAAGCCACCCATTGCTGTAGGTAGTAAGCTCAAAAACTGTGTAATTACATAATTCAATATTCGGCACGTCTTCAAAGTAGTCTTTCAGTAACTACCAGGGCGTGCAGGGTGAAGTTTTGAAGGGCGCTTTTTATTGAAAAGTAAGTACTGGAGCACCGGCAGCTTAAAATCGCTATACTTAACGATTTCTGTGGATCCCGCGATGTTTGTTATAGCAGCATTCCACTGTATTGAATTTATCATCCCAACGCCCATTCCATCTTTTGAAAAGAAATATTTGTATGTCCGCGCAGTAAAGAAATTACTTTTAAATACTTGCATGTTTAACTGTTAATTTCAGAATAGTATAATAACCATCTCTGCCCTCACATGTGGCCATTTTAATCGTGGGTTTGAAGAAGCAAATTGTGATAAATTGCCTTGCCCAAGGACACAACACAGAGCAACACCACAGTCTGGACTCTTCAGAGAGGCATATCGCTCCTAGAAGTAAATTTTGGATGGCGAACATTTGATAAAACCTTTTTTGTATCACTGTTATGCAGGAAAGGAACTCGAAACCGTTCCCCTGGCCTTAATGTCAGACGACCTCAGGGCCGTCTATGCTCCGACTGGGGTAAGAGTCCGCGAAGGCGACATGGTCTTCAGAGAAAATTTTGCCCAGCTGCTGGATAACATAGCCGAAAATGGCATCCAGGAACTCTACACGGGCTACGTAGCTCAGGAAATAGTTGATATGGTAAGTTTAAAATCTTGAAAAAAGGACACATTGGTGTTTCACATGATCTTTAACTTATTTGAAAATACGTGTTAGATATTTTATAATTTACATTTACAGCTGGGTTTTCTTTTTTTGTTATCCACGTAGTAGTTTTGCCAAATTTTAATATGTTGTTATTACAGGTGAATAACAATGGCGGCAATATGACACTGGCTGATTTGCAAGGCTACAAGCCCGTAGAAATGCAGCCCATCCAAGTTAACTATCGAGGTACATGTGGCCATTGGTGACCATCTTTTTCCCAAATAAATACTATCAATGTGTAACAATAATTTCAGCAACGTGTTTAACCCCTTAGGCACGAGTTACAATGGGGACATTCCTCCACACACATAGAGCAAGTGGCCCGCATGACTGCACAGCCTTTGTGTGGTAGCGGGACTGCCCAAAAGCAGCAGCTGTGGAACTACCCACTAGCCGTGTGCCACGGCATACCACAGCTGGCAACTGCATTCCAATGAGGATTAGCGGCCGCGGCCATGACCGCTTCCCGAGCGCATGGGGTTAACTACTTAGCTTTACTGTACGTGTTCTACATATCCCCGAGGACCGACACACAAAGGGAGAACAACAGATCCTTTCAGTCCTTGGGAGTTGGGGCTTTGGTATAGTGTTATATTGGACAAAGGGAAACACAAAGCATTGTCCTCGAGAGTAAAGTAAAACACAACTGTCTCTGTATAGGGTGAGTTAAAATGATCTGGACCCAAGTTCATCATTTTTCTTTTGGCAAATTGAGCATATTGTAGAAACTATCCAAAACCCTTCAAAATCTTCCAAATAATTTTATCTTTTTAAAAAGTACATGTCCTTTTCGTTTGCCCCAGATTACAATTTAGTCACCCTACCCCAGCCCAGTGGCGGACCCATGTTTCTGACCCTGATGAACATCATGGAACTTTTCAACGTCACTGCAGCCAACAAAGATACCAGTCTTTACTACCATCGCTTTATTGAGGTTTGTAGCATTTTAGCAATTTTAATGTTTTCTTTATTTTCCTGTAAATGAGACATACATTTTCAATTGAATACTTAACCATCATGCTAGAAAAAAAATCCATAAATGTGGAAAAATTTCAAAGAAATTAGTTTGCATCTAAGAGCTGCTATGTTTTTAATATTTGGTTTTGCCTTACTCAAAAAAAATAGGTATACTCATTGGTTTTAAGGACTTGAGAAAAAAAATTGAGCAAAAATTATTTTGACCATACTCATACATCCAACCCACGACCTCCTGCTTACTAGCACTGATTGTCGTAACCACTCGACACCTAGCTTGCCAGTTGCAGATGAAAAAGAAAGAAATATGGGTTTAAAAGTTAAAGAAAAATATCAGTGATATCTGAAGTTCTGATAATACACGGTATGTGTTTCCAGAACTAACATTTAATCTTCATCCATCCCAACGGGAACTTTTGGTTTTATTTGATTTTTTTTTTTTTTTTAGTTTAGCCAGCGGTAAGTTTTCTCACATTTCATGCGTATGTTTGATTTATTTTTTCTTGACAGGCCATGAAGTTTGTCAAAGCTGAAGAGATAGGACTGGGAGAATCGGCAATCGCCAACTACAGTCAAAATATGATCAGGTAAGCAGGGTCTGTGATCTGGTCTGTGACTGGGTCTGTGACTAGGGCTGGGACTAGGTCTGTGACTGGGTCTGTGACTGGGTCTATGATCTGGTCTGCGACTGGGTCTATGATCTGGTCTGCGACTGGGTCTATGATCTGGTTTGTGACTGGATCTGTGACTGGGTCTGTGACTGGGTCTGGGATCTGGTCTGCGACTGGGTCTATGATCTGGTCTGTGACTGGGTCTGCGACTGGGTCTATGATCTGGTCTGCGACTGGGTCTATGATCTGGTCTGTGACTGGGTCTGTGACTAGGGCTGGGACTGGGTCTGTGATTGGGTCTGTGATCTGGTCTGTGACTGGGTCTGTGACTAGGGCTGGGACTGGGTCTGTGACTGGGTCTGTAATCTGGTCTGTGACTGGGTCTTTGATCTGGTCTGTGACTGGGTCTGTGATCTGGTCTGTGACTGGGTCTGTGACTAGGGCTGTGACTGGGTCTGTGACTTGGTCTGTGACTGGGTCTGTGATCTGGTCTGTGACTGGGTCTGTAACCGGGTCTATGACTGGGTCTATGATCTGGTCTGTGACTGGGTCTGTGACTGGGTCTGTGACTGGGTCTGTGACTGGGTCTGTGACTAGGGCTATGACTGGGTCTGTGACTGGGGCTGATGTGACTTGGTCTGTGAATGGGTCTGTGACTGGGTCTGTGATCTGGTCTGTGACTGGGTCTGTTGACTGGGTCTGTGATCTGGTCTTTGACTGGGGCTGATGTGACTAGGGCCGTGACTGGGTCTGTGACAGGGTCTGTGATCTGGTTTGTGACTGGGTCTGTGATCTGGTCTGTGACAGGGTCTGTGATCTGGTCTGTGATCTGGTCTGTGACTTGGTCTGTGACTTGGTCTTTGACTGGACCTGTAATGCTTTCCTTGGCTGCATTTGCAACAGCTTCTAAAACTGTATGAGTTTGTGACTGTTTCTTTTGCTGTCCCTATGACTGGTTTTCTGATTTGGTGTCTGTGATTCTGTCTGTGACTTGGTAAATTATGTCTATGACATGGTCTGTGACTTGGGATTATGACTGGGTCTGGGACATTATCTGTGACAATTTCTGTAGCTAGTTTTTGCCAATTTGACTAAGGCTAGACTTGTTCTGTGACTTTGTCATTAGATCTGTGATTCGATCTGTGACTAAGTCTGTGACATGATCTGAAACGGAATTTTCCTAATTGACTCTTGGTGAAAGACTCTTGGCCAAAACCCCCAAAATTCTAAATCTTGCTTTTTTTCTCCGTTCCAGCAAACGAAATGCCAAACTCCTGCGTGCTAACATCACTGATGACACGACGCACCCACCAGACTATTACTTCTCCTTTGCCCAAGGCATACTGAGGACTAAGGGTACCAGTCAGATATCGGTCATTGATAGTGACAACAACATGGTATCCGTGACAACGTAAGTCGAGTCTATAATTTGTCATTTAGCCAAGTTTAAAAGGATTAATTGTTTCACTTAACTTATCCTTTTGAGTGAAATTTTTAAGAAAAAGTATTTACAAAACCTGGACAAAGTTGAACAATGTTGTTTTTTAGGTTTTGGCATTTTCAAATTACTGAGGTTTTCAGCTTCACAATATTCTATAGATTTTCATAGCCTGCATGGAGACCCTATCATGCCTGTGAAAAAGGGTTGAGTGGTAAAACGCTTATTGTGTAAATTTCTAGGCACGTTTTCACAAAATCGACCAAAAAACACGTTTCTGCTTGATGGATTATATTCATATTTTGGAAGTTTGTAAATTTATAGTGACTGATTCAGAAAATTTCAAAACCTCAAAACGGTCAATTCCACCCCAAAAGGATTTCGCATGCCCTTTGTGCCAAAAAAACCCTCCAAATCTGCAACTTTGTCTGGGTTTTGTGGCTCTGCTAACCACAGAATTCCGTGCTAACGATCACCATTTTTTTGCTAACCGCATTAGCATAAAAATTCTGTGCTAACCCTGTAAGCACAGAATCGTTAGTTACGGGATATACGCATGCCCAGAAGGCAAAATTCCTGGCTAATCCGTGAAATACACTTACCGTTAGCCAGAATTTTCTGCTACAGTAAGCAGGGATTTTTCTCTATTTAACGGTAAGCAGAGTAAATTGGGCCATGGTGTCAATTTTCTGTGAATTATTTTCATGATATTTTCGTGTCTCATGCGTTGTGGTGTTAATTGTCACACACAGGTCAGTCAACATGGCGTTTGGTTCACTGCTGATGACGCCCAGTGGTGTGGTTTTGAACAACCAGATGGACGATTTTGATTGGCCGGGAAAAAGCCTAACGTACAACAGCAGCAAGGTGGGTGACATTTCTCAGGAAAAAGGCTTCTATCCAATTCTTTTTTCCCACAAGTTCCCACACCAGAGCTGATTTGGCGGCAAATAATTCAAACGTTGTAAAGAAATAATTCCATAACCAAACGCAGAGGGCTTTTTTTCGTTCAATGTCTCATTCACAAGTGAATATCTTTTGTATTGCTAGAAAAATCTGTTTTTCATGGTGAAACTTGCACGGACTGTTAAGCCTGTTCGATATCCATTTATTTTTAAATCGGCATATCGTGAAAAAAATATCGGATATCGCGATATTATCGTGATGACGTCATTTTTCCATTCATGGAACATTGGAATAACAAAAAAAAAAAAAAAAAAACAGGACCGAAGTCACGATCCACTTCCGCGAAAAAAAACCAATATGTCCTGAACAAAATCGTCAATTTTATTTGACTAGAGTCTCATTTACTTTGCCAATTTAGGTAGAAAACAAATTCCACATTCAAATATCGAAAACAAAATTACCTTGAAATGTTGGATAAAAATGTGCAAATAGAAATCCATATCGAGGAAAGAACGAAGCACTAGCACGCAATGCAGGACTGTACATATTTTATAGTTCTAGAAGTACGGGTAGGAATTGATGTGAATAATTCACTCGGAAAGACTTTTTTGACTCATGGAGATTTTGCATTCCGATTGCCCCCAATCACTTTTACAGTCTAACTACATCGCGCCTGGCAAGCGCCCCCAGTCGCACATGTCCCCCGTCATGGGTCGCAACACCACCACTGCCTGCTCGCGACGCTTCGCCACGGGAGGGGAGGGCGGTAAATACATCACGGCGGCCGTGGCCAACGTGGTCATGGAGTTGCTGGGGTTCCAGTCGTCGCTAGTCAACGCCTCAGCGCCGCTTAAACGGGTCTTCGCGACGCTAATTCCGGACAAAGTCATCGTCGAAGGTGAGGCAGAATTTTTTTTATGACTTATGACCCTGGCACAGATGTCATGAAAAGCTGCGGGACTTTGCGCCGTGCGCAGGATGTACGCAGCGAATTTGTTGGTTATCTGCATGTACTTATGATTGATTACACTAAACAATTGCGCAAGTTTTATTTTTAACCAAAATGGTTGATTGTGTGCAAATTTTCAATTCATCCAATTTCAAGTCAAGTCATTGTTCAAAGTCATTAAATGACTTGTTAATTGACATGTGATTGACGTGCGATTGACATGTGATTGATGTGTGATTGACATGTGATTGACATGTGAATGACATGTGATTGACGTGTGATTGACGTGTGATTGACGTGTGATTGACATGTGATTGACATGTGAATGACATGTGACTGACATGTGATTGACATGCGATTGACATGCGATTGACATGCGATTGACATGTGAGTGACATGCGTTTGACATGCAATTGACATGCGATTGACATGCGATTGACATACGATTGACATGCGATTGACATGTGATTGACCTGCGACTGACCTGCGATTGACATGCGACTGACATGCGATTGACATTAAGTTGACATGCGATTGACATGCGTTTGACATGCGATTAACATACGATTAACATGCGATTGACATTTGATTGACTCAGTTACAACTCTGAAATAGACACCTTCACTGTTCTTTTGTTTATAAAATTAGTTTCAAGTGGAGACAATCGCATTTTAGCAATACTGCGGTTGCATAAAGGTAAAACGCAAACTAGTTGACAAGAAACTTGCTGGTAAACGGGATCGGAGAGTTAAGCATGAAGTTTTTTATGTTGATTTAACATTGGTAGGACACTCAATCCTTTCTTTTTAGGTAAGAGCCAGATAAGACTGACAAAGATTATATTAAAATAATTTTGTAAAATGTTATTATTATTTTGTTCTGCAGAGGACGTCTCAGACAAAATAGTAGCAGATTTACAAGCGAAGGGACACAACGTCGAGGTGTGGACGAGCGAAAAAGGTTTATTCAATGCGGTCCAGAGTGTCATGAAAGAAAACGACATCATGTACGCCGTGTCGGATCCGCGGAGGGAGGGCGGGGGCGCCAGCCAATATTGACGAAGGTAGTCTACGTTGAAGTACGCAGTATTCTAACCTCTGACCCCTATTTACTCCGTGCACAAACTGTAGATGACGCCTTTCGGTTTTTAAGGGTAATTATTATTTTGTTTATGTAAGGAATATATAAATGCATGTACATATGTTATAGAAATTTAAAGAGCGACTCACAACTTCCACACATTTGATTGTGACCAACTCTTATTTATTATAATCTTTGAAAATCTTGAGATGCTTTTTTAAAACAGGGTTATTTCTGATTCCAAAAATAGTAAGATGTGAGTTATGGGAAAATGATGCACATCTGTACACTTCAAGTTTTGACAGATATTCTTGTTGGAATAAAAACAAATGTGCCATAGGCCTATGCATGCAAAACATCCATAGCGTGTGCCTGTTTACCAATCGGATTAAGGCATATCGGATCATTTGCATTTCATGCATTTTGTTTATTTTCAATAATAACACCACTCAAAATTTAAAGAAGAAAGTTAAAACCAAACCTGCTGAAGTTTCTGCTCAGTGGATATTACACTTTTCAAGAAAAATTTTTAAAAAAAAGTTTTAAAAAACGATGCACAACCTTTTGATAACGAAACACGATTTCCCCTAGAGCACTTTTTATTTCCAAAAATCAATCAGCTGACTGATGCTGCAAATCACCTACATTTCTTGATTTCTTCTAAATAACAGCAAGCCAGACGGAATAATTTCACGGGGTGTTTAGTACCAGTACGATCTTTAATCCAAGTAAGCTTTTTGATAAAAATTTGGTAGGTTATGTTGGGGATAAATGCAACTGATTCTATATGCCTTAAAGAACACATGCTGTTCTGATGCTACCCATAGCACCAAATTCTAAACACTTAGATCGCACCGTATTCAAAATGTATGCGTTTGTCTGATTGACGTACATATATTTGCAGATCAATAACTGTTGTCTAACAGACTATATCCATTATTCTAAATATTGTTTTGTCTGAAAGGAATATTGTCCAAAAAAATTACCACAGGTGCACATTCGGAATAAAGACCTTGCTAATTTTCAGGAAGTCTGAATGACCAAAAAAAAATAATTTCCCGAAGGCAATGACGTCTGTTGAATATGCCTATCAGCAAATTGCGAAGCCTTTTTATCAAAATCTTAAAGAACACATATTGTCCAAAATATTGTCCAAAAAATGTGCACATGTGAACTGTAGGAATAAAGACCTGGCAAATTGTTAGGAAGTCTGAATGACCAAAAAAAAAAAAATTTTCCGAAGGCAATGACGTCTGTTGAATATGCCTATCAGCAAATTGTGAAGCCTTTTTATCACAATAACATGTACTAGAGACGCATGTGGTTTCGTCATGTTTTCCGTAGTGCCATGCAATTATGTAGCTGTAGCTTTTTTGTGTGTGACACCCCCTTAAGGCACATCATTAGTGCCATGTATAAAAAAAAAAGTCTAGTTTGTCATTGGCAATATCTTGAAAACTGGGAGGGCATTTTTTTTTCTTTTAATTTTTTTTTCATTGTAAAAAATATTATTTTCTGTGATTCTCTTCAATTTCAATTTTTTTTATCTTTAACTATTTTTCAGTTTGTGTATTTTATTTTATTTATTTTTTTTTTGGGGGGGGGGGCGTCTGAAACTTTTGGAAGAATACTTTTGTTAGGAGTTGCTTTTGTGCACAAATGGATCCACTCTTCGAATAGACTGGTTCCCGGTCCCTGTGTTATCGATTCTGAATGGGGGGATGTGGGAAACCAGGCTGCCCTGCAAGAACTGAATTAATCTCAGGCCGTAATTTGAATAAGTTGAAATTTGTAAGTAATTGTACTGTAATTAAATATGGGCCGTTTTTTATTTTTTTTATTTTTTTTTAATTTTTTATTTTTTTTAGCTCTCAATCAAAAGCGAATAACTTATTGTATTGCTAGCTAACTAAAAAAAACCTAGATTTTGTTTTTCTTGGTGAAAAGTACAGAGTGATTACAAGTACAGAGTGATAACATTCCAATTTTTTGTGATCAAATTTACTACTTTTTTGGAGTACTGGTGAAGTTTTATATTGGGTCTATGTAACAATATGCTACGGGAAACATGTAAATGGTACATATTGCATTGTTATTGTAAAGAAAAAAAGGGAAATAAATAAAATGTGCAATATCATTGAGACAACTCATTTTGTTTATTGTATTCTCTTTACAGACTGCGTGTTTTTACGGAGATACATTTTCAATTGGATTTTTTTCCATTTCCGATGCGAGTTGCATTGCATGCTTGTACTTTCCGAGAACATTATAGCGACCATTACAAATGACGCTTGTATTGGATACATAAATGTGTAGGCCTACTGCGATTGGGAAAAAACTTACTGAATATTTTATGGTTATAATCTGCATATTTACATCTCAATATTTTTATTTGAGATGCATATGCTCATAACTTCCCCAATGAATAACCACACAAAACTTAAGTAGTGATGCCATATTGACAACGATATTCTTAAATGCATGTGTACGGGTGTCCGTGACAATAACTGCATTCGTATACGTAACGGTTTCTTTTGCACGGTCTGTCAGTGTATCTGTCAATGTATCTTTTACGTTGTTGCGGGGTGCGTCACTGTGTCTGTCAGCCTTGGTGCATATTGCCGTGACAATAACTGCATGCCTACATGTAACGTTCTATTTTTAAAGTCTGTCAGTGTATCTGTCAATGTATTTTCTACTTTGTCACCTTGTGTGTTACGGGGTGCGTCACTGTGTCTGTCAGCCTTGGTGCATATTGCTGTGACAATAACTGCATGCCTACATGCAACTTTCAAATTTTAGTCTGTCAGTGTATCTGTCAATGTATTTTCTACTTTGTCACCTTGTGTGTTACGGGGTGCGTCACTGTGTCTGTCAGCCTTGGTGCATATTGCTGTGACAATAACTGCATGCCTACATGCAACTTTCAAATTTTAGTCTGTCAGTGTATCTGTCAATGTATTTTCTACTTTGTCACCGTGTGTGTTACGGGGTGTGTCACTGTGTCTATCAGCCTCGGTCTGTCTGTTTTTGATCATCAGTTCCTTGTCCTTATTCACATCATGACAAATGACATCTGTATGAATTCAACGTATGTGAAGAGTGTTTATTGTCCATATATTGAAAATAAAACTTTTTTTTTCAACAAACTTCTTAAACTCAACTAGATAGAACTTACATAGTGATCTGTATCGATATATACATGTACAAAATTTCAGTGAAACAAAAAATATATTTAAACACTTCTAGAAAAATTAAAATTGAATGAGTATTCTTTCTCTTTGGGCTTTCAACCTCCGACAAAAACGCTAACATTTCATTTTTGCTCAATATACATGTCTGCTTTAAAATAAAAGTACTGTGTACAATTCATTGGTGCGTACATTTTTGTAAAATGTGAAGAACTAATAAAAAAAGTCATACAGTTTAATATACCCAACTTACAAGCCAGGTTGACAGAGACTTTAAAAATTGAAAAATTAACTCAAAATGGCAAAACCAACAACGTTCTGTTTCTTGAAAAGTTGATTGCCATAGCAACGATCGATGCCGTGGCAAATATCTCGGTTGTTTACCCAATGCAATTGTTATCCTTTGGCTCGTGTTTACTATTATGAAATGCATTCCCAACAGATATTAGGATAGTGTCTGGATAAATCAAGTTTACACAGTATAATATTGAGGATATTAAATTTTGCTTCAAATGTAGGCTGCATAATAACGAATCCTGAATTTGAAAAAAAAAACTGAGCAGTTTTTGGGAATTAGATATTTTGTAAAAAAACTTAATTTTTGATATTTCTGAATAAGGGATTACTTCTTTGTCTACTAAAAATACCAATCCAGTTTTGACATTACTTAGTAGGTTTTTTTGTGGTTAAAATTTCAATTTGTATGTTTTATTCTTACCCAATTTTTTTTTTTATAATATTTTTTTGGCATGTGCAACCTCCTGGAAAAGGTTTTAATTTTGGGCACACACAGATGTGCCTTACATGCAGACTGGTTCCGGGTCTGTTCATTATGGATTCTGATAGTGGGGTAGGAACCAGCCCACCCTGTCTCATTAAAAAGTGAGTAAATTTTGTACTGCTAGCAAAATTGCAGTTTAGAAAAAGAATCTATATTTGGGGATAAAACTGGACAATTTAGCATGGGGAACGAATTTTTTTTTACAAAGTTATCTTTAATAACTTGACTCAATTTCTCATTGCATGACACTGCAGGAAAATTGCATCCTTTGTGCTGCATCCTTTGTGCTTCTTAGGGGAAAATAAGCACTTACCAAACATTCACAGTAAGCAAAATGGCTGAGAACTAGTCATGTGGAATATGACTTGGCCTAGATTTTGTAAGCAATTGTTTGAGTTTTTTTGGTGGTTTTGAAATTGCTTCCTAGTTTTTACTATCACCCCCTGCTTAAGTTTTGAGTGTAAAGAGCAGAATAACAAATTTGTTACAACAACAAAAAAACTCTGGTGCTGTTAACGCAAGTATTCGGCAGGCTTTAAAAAAAAATTGGCTAAGCATAAATCAGGAGAATTCCTTTTCGATGAAATCTAGAAGGGCTTCTTCTGAAGGGTTGTATTTCAAGTCTTTGCTGTCGTCAAATGGGGAAGATCTGGAGAGAGAAAAAAAAACAAGAACAAATCAGTTTTTGAAGCATACAGCTATCTTGTTTATCTTATTTCCACATATGTGATGGTGTGTGCTTCTGCATTGGTTGGGTTTTTTATGGCTGTTTTTAAAGGCATATAAAAGGTTCATTTGCATAATTTATCACGAAAGTAACCTACCAAATTGTTATCAAAAAGCTTACTTGGATTAAAGATCAAACTGGTACTCAACACCCCGTGAAATTATTCCGTCTGGCTTGCTGCCATTTACAAGAAATCAAGAAATGTAGGTGATTTCCAACGATCAGTCAATTGACTGATTTTTGGGAATGAAGAGTGCTATTAGATGAAATCGTGTTTCCTGATCAAAAAATTGTGCATGGTTCTTCACTGTTTTCTCGAAAAGTGTAATATCCACTGAGCTGAAACTTCAACAGGTTAGGTTTTGAACATTTGGACTTTGAGTGGTGTTATTATTGGAAATAAACAAAATGCATGAAAATCAAATGATCCAATATGCCTGTAATTAATTATGATGTTCCTGTAAAATGAGGAAATAAAGAAATATTAGACAGACATCCAGCACAATTTCTTTATCTGATTTTGTCTTTCCAAGTTTGTTTCTCGGCAAAACAAAATTTTCAATAGTTTTCCTAATCGTACAATTACAATTTGTTTTTCCCCTTTCAATACAATGGAACATTTTGTTTTTTAATTCTTCTCAACTTCGCTATTAAGCCATGCTTCTGACAATTAAGTTTTCTTAATCTATCCTCTCGGATAAACATCGGAAATAAATTGAATTTGCCTCCACTGGTACACAAGAGCAACACAAATAATGAACTTTTCAAAATCAAATTAGGAAATACGTCTTTAAGATGATTAGAATGTCCATAAGAAATCTTCTTGGGTTACTGGCCCCCCCGTTATATACACAGCACACAAAGGTGTAATGACACTAAAAATAACCCAATGCACTTCATTGTTGATGCAAAATACAGCGAGTGTCTGCAATAATGAGTTTGTGAAGTACATGTACTTTCACCAGCACTTGCTTGACAAAATATATGTAGTGGGCGTTTGACTTGTTCGATTTTAAGAACCAACATTAGCACTTTTTTTCGTTATAAAACACTTTAAAGTAGATATCTTTAAAGATGTATAACCCGTGCTCTCCAAAAATTGGGTGTTTTTTTCTCCTAATGAATTTTCAAGTATCGGATGTTAAGTTCTACCCCCCAAAAAACCTACTTTTTCCCGATTTTGGGTGTCTGCAACATATAAATACAATGTAATTCAAGAACTAAACATCAGTGGATTGTGTTCAATGTCTCACTCGAAATTGAAAAACTTTGATACTATATGTATTTTACATTGATATAGCAAAGGGAATGCATCTTTGAAATGGATATCTCTCTGTGGATTTATTTGACAGCCAAGTACATGTACATGTACATGTATGGCATTTTTAAAACGCCTGTGTGTCAGTTTTGTGACGTATTGGGATATTGTCTTTATGGACACTCAACTAATTATCATTGAGACAACAGGCGATAGCTTTTTGACTAAAGCTGTCAATTTTTTTCACATGGAAACCACTTGAAGTAATATACGCATGGATAGCCTTCCTTTGTCAGATTGTACATATGATTATATGCATGCACTCGTTATACACGAGCCAAAAAACAAAGGGTTCAAAATTTATTGTTCTGTGTTCTTAGGTTCTTGTTTTAAAAGACAATTTTGTTAATAACACTTGGGGCTATGATTTTTATTATATCTATTGAAAAACAAAAAAATGATTTTAATATTTAGAAAATGTCAGAATTTTTTTTTTTAATGAAACATTTCACTGCTATTAAAAGTAATATAAGGACCCCAACCTGAATGAAAACAAAAATTGAAAAATGCCCTGCAATGGTTTCGAGAATGTCACACACCTATTTCAGTGACTGTAAGTACTTTCTCGACAGATGTAAAAATTTAGTAATAAATTTAAAAAAATCAATAAATCACAGAGGCAAGTGAATACTTTTAATAAATAAAATTACACAAAGCAAAGAAATTGACTGCAGGATTCAGGGACTGCAGTAAACATCTCAGCTTATTCGTTAGAATAGGCCTAAACTTTTTCCTTTTTTTATTGAGTCAATACAAGATGGACATAAGTCACACACTAGCGCATGCTGCAAACAAATACACGTACTGTGTACACATAACAACCCTTCTCCATTGTGCAAAAACTGCATGAAAAACAAGCCAGATGCTGACTGGCATTACAAAATCCAAAGCTGACAAAAAGGGGCTTAGTAACTGACAGCAACGCAAATGGAATCCCTCCTCTCTCCCGGTATTATAAGATGCATGAGACGCACATTAATCAGCCACATGTACACTGCAGCTGAGTCCTTTCTGATTTCAATGATTATAACAAGCGCCGTAACACATTACTGTGGTGTCATGCATGTACACGGGTGAGTAAAAAAAAAAAGCAGAACCCAAACCCTAACAAATATATTTCATATTTAAACAAAAGTATGTAGCACCAAAAATAATAATGACTAGAAAGCCAATTTCATAAGCTACTTTTCAGATGAAAAAAAATACTGCATTTGCTCAATCCATTCAAACAATATCACCATTTAAACACAGTGATCATAAAACCACTTTCATTCAAAAATGCAATTTCACGAATCGTCGTCACAATCGTCTTTAAAGGTCACCAGGGATAAAACCTCAGTAGAAAAGTTAAAAATATTCCAAAAAGTCCTTTTGAAGGCCTGTCTTTTAATCAAAGTGGATTGTATCAATTGTATTGTTTAGGGAGGTTAGTAAAGATATTGTGTGCTACATTTCTTGACAGTTGTTGAAACAAGTATTCTGTGTCATTTTCTTTGCTGTTCCAAACAGTGAGAACAAGTTTTAGGGTAACTGCATTTAAATGGGGATATTCATTGAAGGATTGAGCAATTTCAGTCATGTTTTCATCTAAAATTAGTTAATGAAATTGGCTTTCAATCATTTTTGTTTTTGGTAATACGTAATTTTTTTAAATATGAAATATATTTTGGGGTTTGGGTTCTGCTATTTTTTACTAATCCTGTATGTAGTATGGAAGCCTTAACAAATTTAGAGAACATTTTAGACTGTTGTCGAAGTACTACACTGATAAAGAGGAATTTTACCCGTGTTTGTCGCTAGCTGGTGTACCAGAGCTGGATGCAGTGGAGGAGATACTACCCCTGTGCAGGGAGGGCAAGGTACCCTGGCGAGACAGGCTGGCATTGTAGCCTTTGTAGGTTGCTGGCAGCAACTTGTCCACTTTGTGGCCATTTTTCTGGTTCAAATTCATAAAAAAATAATAACTTTCGTATTATTTATTTTACAGACAAGACCTTTAAAGGTAGTCGAGTTGATCATTTGCAGCTATCCAAAAAGTAACTGACAAAAATTGTTGAAAAGCTTACTTGTTTTAAAGACAGTAAATATTGGCACTGAATTCCCTGTGAAATTATTTTTTTCTGGTGATAAAAGAAGGCCATTTCCAAGGATGTGTCAAGTGACACATTTTTGGAAATTTCCGTCAGTAGTTGGCTTGTAATTCTGGCTCCACTAATTGGTTTTAATGTGACAATTTTGTGAAGAACAGCACTGCTGTTGTAAAGAATTAAGAAACATGCAAATATCGACATCGTGAATAATAATTACATAGAAAAAGACTAAAAGAAACAGCATAGATTGTAATTTAAAGATAATAGTTCAATCACACTTTGCCTAAATTAAAGACATTATATAACCAAAAAAGAAAAAAGTACATTCTTTACTGTGTTTTCTTCACTTACCTTTTTATTAGCTGCTTTAAATTTGGAAATGTCAAAGCCTTCCTTTTCCTGTACAGTTATAAAACAAAATATTAGTAAACATGATTTTTTTTTCAGGAAATAATGATTTAGCACGCATTGTTTTTGAATTAACTGCATTTGTACTTCTGAAGCATGGTAAATTGAAAGCTGGAATGACAAATAATAAACTGTCATCAAAACTCGGAAAGTGCATAACAGCAAATACAACGTTTAGGCCTACAAAACTGTATCCTAAATAATGAAAATGACCAAAAATTTGACTGTTCTTGGATCTAGGACAAATATTGCAAAATTCACTGCAAAAAAGAAAAGAAAAAGCACTCAAGCTTATTTAGGGAGGATACATAGGCCTACTTGTGATAAATCTGTTTGATTATTTTGTGTTGTCCAAAGCTCATTAAAGCAGCATGAATCAGTCAGGTTTTCAACTTGGGCCAAGTGAAAAAAATAAACCAGTCTCTTCAAGTGTCCTCGCCCGCTTCCTTTGTTTCTGCCTGCCTCTGTTGTTTTGCAATATATTTTGCAAAATTGTCAATAGTTTGTCTTTTTTATATGTTTCCAACAAAATTGTAGAGCTTTGTAAAAAGGGTGAAGGCTCCTTGGACACAATTTTGGATCAGCAAAAGAGTCAAGAAAATGGGGAAATTCTTAGCCTTCTTGGTGAAAAAATTGAGAGAAAAAAAAATCAAGTGCATTTGCGCCTCCTTCATTTTTCCAAACAGCTCGGACGCGAAACTGTTATTTTTTTTACTCAGCTTTTAAAAAAATCTGTCAAAAGCCCATCTCTCAGATAAGGCCAAATAAAAAAAATCATGTTTAGCGTCCTGCCTTTTTGAAAAAAAAGAAAGGAGGAGGCCCTTTTTTTTCAAAGTGGCCGACCTTCAAGATGACCGCCTGCTTTTTTTAAATGGCCGCCACTTGGACTCAGGAAATGATCATACCAGCTTTATATTGGCTAGATGCAACGGACAAATAGGCCAAAAAGATTTCACTGTTTAAAAGTTATCTTTCTTTTTTTTTCAATAAAAAAAAAAAGGAGACGGCCTCCAAAAAGGAAGCAGGCGGGGACGCTAAACATGTTTTTTTGTGTATGTGGCCTAAGAGTAGACAAATCCCTCCATTTCAATCAAAAAATGAGGATTAATGTTGCATATCAGGGAAATCATCAAAAATATGGAAAACATGTGTGATTTTTTTGACGCTTTTATAAATCCCCTGGGCAATATGTGAATTTTAGAAAATGATATTTGATACAGGTATGATATTTGACGATCAGGGAAAAGGAAGGAAAAATAAGTCCCCCAAAAAAAGGACTTTAGATGTCATGCAAATAACTGTTCTCAGTATTCTTCAATTTTAAGTTCTTTTTTCTTTCTTTTTTGGTCTCTATTTCAGTCCACTTTAAAATAAATGGGGAATTTTACCCCCAAAATGGCTGTTAAATATATAAAATGCAATTTAGAATTGTATTCAAATGTAACAATATTTTTATTTGATGAGTCAAGATAGGGTTACCAAGGAGGTGTGGCCTTGCTATCAACTGCATTTTACATCATACTCTACAGTCGTTACTATGGCAACACGACCAGAAAAACTCATTATTTTTTTTATTCCAATTTTTGTAACAAGAAAAGCTTGGTGATCTTTAAAATTCCCCCATGATGAGCAGTATGTCTATTTACGATACAGGCTTCATTTTTTTTACGAATATATTTTTTATATATTGTCTATTTTGGATTTTACAAAGTTTTGCTATATGGAGAAGCAATTATGTACATATTTTTTTTAATGACTTCTAAAATTGCAGTTTTAATTTATGTATCTGAAAAAAAGTGTTGTTTGATTAAAATCATGTACATCATGTCAAGCACCTTGAATAGTAAGTTCATGGAGGAATAAAACGAATGTTACAAATATAAAACAATCATAACTATTTAAATTTCAAAATATTATCACAAAAGCAAATTACAGATATTCAGCATTTTCTTTTTCATTTTCAATGCCATGATTGTTTTTCTACAGGATATAGTGCACTGCATAGTTATAGGCCTATTGATGTGTTCTGCAGAGTACGTGCAGTTTATGCCAGTAAGTTAAAAATATATATTAAAAACCCCAACATTATTATGGAAATATCTAATTGGATTTGCCAAGATTCCCATATCTGGCCCATCACTTGTCATTCTGTGCACAAACCGTATGAGGGTTTTAACTGTTTTCTTGGTAAATACTTTATCATTTTCCTGGCTAAAGTTGACTTTTTAGGACTTTCTGATGTTCTGAAGGGAAACATTAGTGATGACCAGATATCGGAATCTCTCCTTATTTTTTTACTAGATCCCTTCCCCCAAGAACCTTGACATACTGGAAATGGTAAACATTTCTGATGAAATAGACTCTGTTGTTTTTCTGGGGGGATGGGGGGGGGGAGGTAAGTTTTAGGTTAAGATCAGAGTACTACTACTAGTACTAGACCCATCCCGAATTACTTTGCTTGACTGACTTACTTGCAATGCGGGTTCTTCCCATTTCATCTCTTTTCTTTCCTCCTGAAATGGCTGGTGATCTAAATTTTGCCTCATCCGCATCATCGACCCTTCATCTCGAGATGCTCCCCGTGATAGACCGGTTGCGGAGGAATGAGCTGCGGACTCGGCCTCGGTACGATGGGGAGGAACCCAAGTGTCCTGGTACCGGTCCCTGAGTGCTTGTTCCTGGTGGGCTAAATCTTCGGGCCTCTTCCAGATGGATAACGGGTTTTCCAGACTTTTGGCAGCAAGGGGTGGAGGGATGCGGGGGGCAGGTCTGGTGGTGGGCAGCTGCTGGTCACAGCGATGTTGTGCTTTTTGATGTTGGCGCTCCATGTGTGTTAAATGTTGGTGATGGAATTGTGGGTCCTGTTGTTTCTGTAGAGTTGGAAATGTGTCGTGTTGGTGAAGCTGTTCCAGATGAAAAGTTGGCTGCACGGGCCCACTCGATGTGCGCTCCGTACCTGCACCGGGCACAACTGAGGAGCACACCGAGGATTTTTTTCTCCTCTGCGAGGCATCCACCACGGAGCTGTGCCCCTCCATCACGTGGTCGATCTCCCCGCAAAACTTGTAAAAAGCGGCGTCGTCGGACTCCAAACTCGACTTTGCGCTCGGGATTAACTCGTCCTCGCTGGCACTCGTCTCTGAAAACAATTTATGAGTTTTCTTTTTCATCTTTTCCTCCTCTGTCATCGCGGTTGCGTCGATGTGATCGGTTGATCGCTTTACGGGTTTGTTTTGGTGTGGATCGGCGGCTTGGGATGAACTGCGGTGCCGGGTGATCGAACCACGAGGGCCCGGCGAGCTCCCGCAAGCATCGGCGCCCGTGATCTGAGTCGAGGGCTCCTCGCTAGAATCTGTGCTGGCTCCGCTGCCCATGTTCCCGTAAAATACCGCATCTGGGTCCGAACAAACACAAGGTTGACAACAAGCACAGGGTTGTTATTTGTTATCAACCCCTTACATAAGTCAGACGTGCACTGATGAGCAGCAGGCTCTTTGCAAGTCGAATAATCCAATCCGTTTGAACGTCATTTCTAACACTAGCATAGCTTAATCACTTCTCGCAATTGACGTCAGAACGCCCCGGCCCGCAACGGCTCAGCCGGCGGCCTGATCGATGATGGACGGCTCGGGAGGGACCCTTCAATCGCACGATGATGGTTTTTCTTGATGGATTCTCGATTAAATAAAGGCAGCAACATAAATTGCGTTTTGAATGTGCCCATATTAAAGAATACATCAGTAACATCACCAAGACTGACCCTAAAAAGCTTGCACGAGTGCACTTAGGCAAACAGTCAGTTTCACTACCGTAAAAAAATCGATTAGGCCTAGGCCCACGGAACTCAATCAACCGTGTTTATTGAGTTCCGTAAATAGATCCGTGTTTGCTCGGGCTTCTAAGCCAAAAATCAATACTTGAACAAGGAAACTTTTCTTTCACGAGAGGACGAACATTTGTTGCTCCTTGCAGTACCCGGTTCGTAAGTGAGACCAGCCGAAAGATTTAACAGACAAAGCAGTCAATAACGCGCACTGGGTTAAATAAATCTCACGAATCTTGACAGCACAATAACAATAAAAATTAAATCATTCTTAGAAGTTAGACCCTAGGCCTAGTTTATTTTTCTTTCAATAAAAAAAGCTAACGCCAAGCCTTGCATAAATTCACATACAAACCTCGAAATTGCGTTATTCATCACAGCTCAACTTCAGCATTACAAGATAAGCAAAACAATGAAGGTTTTTTGGAGAAACTTGCAGGGTCGACTTTGACGAGAAAACAAAAATTACTGTTTTTCTTGTGTTGTTGCTATGTGCGACCCATTCTCATTTATGGGTAATTGGTAAAAACAATTAAAAGTGTAAAGTTAAAATTAAGGTCAAGTTTACTCCTAAAATAGACATTAAGAAAAATGCTGTCATAATCTTTAAACGAAACATAACATTTCGTCTCCGCATTTGGCGTTAAGAATCAACCCATAACGTAAACTAAGAAATTTGAGAGTGCACTTGAAATGCAACTCCCGGTTCAATAGAATGGTACTGACCTCATAACTTCCAGCCAATCAGCGCACGTACATTGTTGGTGGGTATTTAAAAATGGCGCGGCCGGCGACTTCGCTGTAGTGGTGACCACGTGGTTTGTAAGTTGTCAGTTTCAAAGTTTGTTCATGTATTAAAAGTTCACAATAATAAACATTATAAGGCATTACAAAGGAATGAAAATCAACCTTTTTTGCAGGGTGTATTTGTGAAGGGCAGCTAGGGCTCAAAGTTCTCAAAGTTGATGATCCACTTTTGGGTAAAATTTCACAGATCGGTATAAACAAGTTTCAATCCAAAAAAATTAAAAATACGGTATCTATATGACACAGTATAACTGAACTTGAAGGTGTAGAAAGATATGTTCGCTCTCAAATAAATTGTTTTATGTAAAAAAAAAAAATTAATGCACTCGTCATCCTACGCTGATTGAGGGCGCTCTAATGATAAATAAACGACAAAGCCTGTTGACAACATCATCGGTGTATTTATTGCGCAGTTAATATTTTGTCGCCGCTGTTTTTTGTCAGTAAATCCACGCAGATAAAGGTAAGATTTTGCGATCTTGTTATCAGTGATCATGGTGATAGCGTGATAAAGATTAGTGTCACCACTCTGCCGTCTATGTGAAATTTGAGGCTTTTGTCGGGGGAGATCGAAAAGAAAATGCATTTTTTTAATGTAAATGGATTGGTAATGTGAAATCAATAGGCAGAATGGAAACTGGCCAGACCTGTCTAAATTTTACGCTGTAGCTATTGTTACGGCAGTCGACCGTCTGGTTCCCTGACCTAATAATATTTAACGTCAGGATTTTTAGCTCTTGGAACCAGACTTTCAACCAAATGGTTCTCGGACTGTATTTCCCTTTTAAAAAAAAATCCTCCAAAACACAGATTAAGAAGAAAAGGAAATCTACCGAAAAAATGTTGAAACCTTACGCCACTTTTTTCTGCATATGTCATCTCAATGAAGGTCATTCATTGCAAATATGACGATAATTCTAGAAGTATTGACGATAAGAAACGAGTCTAAGATTGAGAAACAAAAGTTTGTTAAGGTCGATGATCTCTTAATTTCTCTCAGTTTGAATAAATAAAACACTTTTCAGGTTGCTGATGCCAATTATGCACAATGGAATGTAGAAACATGTCTCTAAAGTTGCATTCCATTTACGCACAGTTTGGGAATACATGTATGTTATCTTTTTTCTCTGGATTAATTCCTGGAATTTTATAACAGGGCTGTTGTATAGAATATAGCTTTTTATTTGTGTAATTCATTGGTCGGGTTGTTCATTTCTGTAGTCCTGTGTTTGTCATTTTGTGGTAAATTTTTGGTTTTGTTTTAGCACCATCAATATCTCTATATCAGAATTGTCAATAATCGATATATCAGAAATCCAATATCGAGAATACTCGACTTATATCTCATGTAAAGACCATAAAGATGATACTTTGATTAAATAATTTAAAAAAAGAAGAATATATAGTCCCAATTTTCCACGGCTTTCTCTGGAGCATATTGCTCACTTGTAAAACAAATCTCAACACTGACAGTTTATCAAGAACGGGCAGTTTCTTTTGAGGTTTTACATTGGGGAGACCGCAAATTCCAGCGAACGCAGAGCACAAAGCGACGCCGCTTGGCGACGTTTTTATTTCGAGTCACAAGCACAAGTTCCCACCAAGTTTTATTTTATGTTACATATTAAGTGAAACTGAAACACAAAGTAAACGCAAAAAAGGGAGCCCTTATTTTGACGATAATCTCAGTGATGCATTTTCCATGTTCTTGACATCATTCCTTAATATCGAAAATTGTGATATTCCAATATGATTAAAAAAATTGCTATCGGTGATATCAATATCAAAATAATATCGAAAAATCGAGTAATATCGAATTCAACGGTGCTTAATACTGACATGTGATAAGAATTATCAAAGTGCGTCAGTTGACATTTGATACAAATTATTGGCAAACATGACCATTGACACCGGATATTTCCTACATTAAAAATAGTTAATAAGTGGAATATTTGAAATAATTTCTGCCTGTTTTCACAGTCATTAAAAATTGTCATCCGACGTTTTGAGTCAGGGGTTAAATTTTTTGAGTTTGTCAATATTTGTCTGTTTTTTGCAAAACGGCGTTTTCAGTCACGGGTTGCATTTTTATAGTTTGTCAATATTTGTGTGACCTGCGCACACAAGTTTGTTTGTCTGGTCGATAAATCCTCATTTCCTGTTTGGCTTGTTATCGTGGGTTCAACCAACTTTTGTCAATTTATAGTTCACTTGTCATGCAGGAATTTACTTTGCTATAAATGGTAGGGTTGTGCTGAAATAAACTGATATTCGAATATTTGTTCTCCACTGAATATATCTGAATATCAGTTTTTGTGTCGCATATATAAACAAAGTTTCTGAGACACTTACCTTAATTCTGTGTTACTGTTCACACTGGAAGTACTTGTGGGGTAGGCCTAATGCACACAACGGGGACAAACATGCCGACTTGTACCCCACAATTTTTCCTTTGAAAAACGGTACCCAGAAGTGAATTCTAGAGAAAAGGGATAAAAAGAAAACAATAAAAGTACCCCAGAACTCCCATATGCTGGAACGTCCGTAGAACTAGACCAGTATGTACAAAAAGCTTTGAAAAAAATGTATAACTTCTACATGCTTTCTTGGATTCTGACGAAACTTAGATGCAGTGACCCTTGGGTGGGAAGACACAATTCTTCATCGGATTACTGAGGTCAAAGGTTATGTAGGGGTCATTAGAGGTCATTGTTCAAATATGCTTCAAATGTTTCCTTGTCTACTGAATTTGACGGATTTTCATGTAGCTTAGATGGAGTGATCCTGGTGGGGGGTTCATCGTAATTCTTTCAAAACTGGAGGTCAAAGGTCATGTAGAGGTCATTTGAGGTCATTGCACAAAATCTGACTTTTTTAAGAACCCCATATAATACGGATCGACTGCGGGAAAAGGCAACACATGCAGTCTGCGGACCACTTGTTTCTGTAAATTCATGTAAATTCATACATTTGCAGTATATGTTGCACAGTATTGTCAACATATTTGTCTTTTTAATTTTATTTGTTTCCAACAAAATTTTAGCTGTGTAGAAAGGGTAACAGCTCTTTTGAACATAATTTGGGGAGGGGGGGGGGGGAATGCCCACCTTCTCATATTTTTCAAAAGATCGGACAAGAAATTATGTATTGTTTTCACTATTACTAGTGACCAAGTGTTGTTTTGGCAAAATACAGAAATCTGAATGTCCAAGTCCCTTTTGTATTTTTCCTGGAAAAAAAATTAACCTTTTACAAAATATCTCCAAACATGTACAGTATACAGTCCTGTAATATATCCATGCGATATAAAGTAGACAAAGAATCAACAAAATATGCATGTACAGGGTACGCATCTTCCTGCTTTCACTTTCATTATTCACTCCGTAATAAATTATGAACTGTATGTGGAGTATAGTGTTCCGTTTAATAATTGAGTTTTTATAGGAGATAAAAGGGTGTTATTGTCTCTAGTACAGTGTAGTTGTCATGAATAATGTATGCTGTGTCATGTACGTATACTGTATGTATACATGTTCAGGATAGGAAGGGATAGATTGATAACACTTGAATGCACAAATTTCTACTCGTGCATGTTCTTGTTGAACAAAAACACTGTACTTCAAACATGGCTGCCTTGCAAATGACTCTCAATTATTTGTGGTTTTGCACTATCTGGAAATATGTTGTTTCTGTCATAATTGTAAAAGGTAAAAAGGTAAAGGTCCCATATTAGTCATTATTGGCCGTAGGGGCAGTGGGATGTTAGAGGTCCACTGTGTCTTGGGCGCGGCATATGAGTGGCGGGGCCCAGTCCTCTCCTCTCTTGCCTACCCTGAACGAATCAGAGTTTTCCAGTTTTTGGTTCGAATGGGATTCGAACCGCCAACCTTCCACTCCGTATATATGCAAGCTCTTACCACCCAGCTACATGCCCTCTGTTACCAAAATAAAATAATTTTTCACAAAATTACATGTACATGCACATGTGCCATACAATTTATATCTATCCATTGGTTTATTTAGATTAACATTGACTGTGAAAGGTTTTGGAGAAAGTACAAAGTGCCAATTTTCAGGGCATAATTCTCTATAAACATGATAAACAAACTATCGTTATCTGAGCCTGCTATCATTGTACAGTTAAGATTGTGGAGGATATTGTTTTTTAAAAGGGAAGTTAAGACTGATTTCCTTAAGGATTGACTGCTCGCACAGCTCATCTCAAGCGGGGTTCGGGCAATAGCGCAAACCATGGAGGAATGTGTTCTTATTCCTCCATGCGCAAACCTACAAATTGTGCCCATCATATACAGATCAATCAGTTAAAAACCTTTCATTTTTCCAATCCAACTCCAGTCGCTGGACCAAAGCACCGGCTTGTTTACTAGCCCAGGCCTATGACTAAACTACAAGAGCTTTATACCATCTAAAAACAGACATGATGTATTTGTTTTTTTACGTACACGTGTACAACTGTATTGCACAACCCCTTGGTGCATACGGTGACCATCAAAATACACCACACACACACGATGTTTTGTTTACGTCACACGACTCACTGCACACCACTGTACAATGAACATGCACAGACTAGCCTATGACATCATCACTATAGGTACGTGGTTCTATAAATAGCGCACACAGGGAAGTATATAAAAGCATTGCGGTGCAGTGTGGCAGGATTGACAATAGTTTTGTCTGCGGCTTTGTGACATAACCATCAATGCTTTAGTGGTACAGGTACATGTAAGTTTATACCTTAGGATTGTAATTTGCATAAATTGTGTGAACCAACTTCTTTAATTTGAGTTTAGATCCCATGTTTTGCTGTCAGTGTCAATCTATAGGTTTATCATAGAGGAATAAGAAGTCTTAAGTGCTGTGAACAAAGTATACTGTTACATAAAATAATGCTCACGTCTGATGGTCTAAAATCATATTAGCATTTTTGCATCTTCCTGCATGAAGCTAAATTCCAAATTTTTCGCAAATTACATGTAAACTACATGTAGTTGCATCCTTGCTCTAATGTTGCACGTTTGTTTTGGAAATTAATTGGCAACTGGCCCTGAATCAATGTTCATGTTTATCATACATGTATAACAAAGGAGATGTACATGTACTATGTACATTGTACATCTCTGCATGTACGTATAATGCATGTAGTACCATTTGTGAATGTACAGTTTTAAAATGCACTGCAAACATGGTAAATGAGTAAATTGTGTCATCAGATTTTTTTACCATTTGATGTCTTGCAGGAGATTCAGCAGCCAACCAAGGGACACAATTTTTGGGGGGCCAAAAACAAATGTGCAGGCATGCAACTTTTCCTCAGATCAGCTGATTTCCTCTTTTTATACTTCCCATGTGTGCCATTGAAAATAGAAAAACACTGTACAAAGTTTGGGAAAAATTTGAATTTCCTCTTTTTTTGTGATTTCCCAGTTGCATGCCTGAATGTGGTCCCCCAAAAAGTGGGTTCAAAAAATTACGGCGTGGGGTTCAGGGCCCACTAGGGCCCAAATTTTTTTTGATTCTAAATGCTCTGTGGTGCGATCTGAGGCAATTTTTTACCACTTTGACCATATTTTTGAGGAAAAGATGGTATATAGGCCCTACACAGTGCCTGCCTTTAAAGCGACTTCACTAAAAAAAATTGGGTTCGTTTTTTTGTTTTTTTTGGGGGGGTGGTCACCATGCCCCCCCCCCCCCGGATCCACCCTTGCAACCAACTCCATGTACGCCAATGTTGTACCAACTCCATATACACCAATGTTGGGTTTCCATTGTGCCATTTTACAATTGTCCAGTTGTCATCTTGTATAATTCCTTGTTTGTTGTTGTTATTTTCTGATAGAACAGAATCACTGTCTATCTTGAGAATGGAAGAAACACATTCCTCATCAGAAGCCCAGGAGAAGACTGAGGAGGCGGCATCAGAGGCGAAAGGAGACAGTGATGATGTCACAACTGGGGAGATGGCGGAAGATGTGGTCAAGAAATCCCTGGCCAAGTTGATCTCGCTACCCACCCCGCCAGCCAGCCCCTGCTGCGCCAACCCCCTTCGTCGAAGTCTGAGCTACCCGCCTTCGTCTAGTCACGCCTGCCGGGTCTGCGCGGGGCTCTGCGTCTGCCCTAACTGCGCCAAAAATACAGACGAAGAAGAAGGGGGTGACACAGAGGGCGGCAGACCTGCGCGAGGGAACAGACGTCGGAGACAATCCGGGGGCAGCATGCGCGCCTGCCGTCGGCACAAGCTGGCCAGTATGCGCGACTCGCTCCCGGCCTCGCGGGAGAGTCTCCAGGACGCGGAATTCGTGCTCTTCGACCTGGAGCCCAGCGTCTCAGCGGCAGGGCCTTCCACCGTCCTGTTCCCCCGGGGCGAGCAGGAGTTCGCCGAGTGCCAAGTCTGCCTCTTGGAGACCTTCGGCCGGCCCCGGCTCTGCTGCCAGCTGCACGTCTGCGACGCCTGCCTGCAGTGGTACATCCGGGAGAAAGTGCGCCACCGCGTGTTGAGCGTGCGGTGTCCGAACCCGGCCTGCTGCGACGCCATTTGCCGGGAGGAGATCCAACATCACCTCAGCAGCGAGCTGCTCCGGAAGTTCCTGCAATTCCTGATTGAGGACAACAGCGATCCTGATCAGAAGACCTGCCCGCGGTGTAACCACATCGCCAACTTCCATCAGGACGTAATGATCAGGTAGTCATTTTAATTTTTGTGGGTGTGGATAATAAAGAGTCATCTCCTTAAATAGCTGGGATAAATAGAGAACAAGTACATCAGCAATGGGTCCAAGGTTTCAAGTATTTGCAGGATTCTCAACTACTTCTCTGGAATCTTGCTGCATTGAAGTTATCAGTATTTAAACAATGCTAAGAGCTGTGGGACCTTGTTGCATTGAGCCATCAACACCAGTGCATTAAGCTGTCAATTCTGAGCTGACAAGAGCTAGTCCTATTTAACATCTCCAGTTGTTCCTGCAGAAGCGACCAAATATTCTGTTTGGCTTTTGAGATTCTTGATCTGATTTTGTAATAGGCAGGCTTCTCATGTTGCCAAGTGTTGTCATGTTTTAAGTTGTCTAGCCAAAAATCCCAGGACGGTTAGGCCAAAAAAATAAATAAGTCGGTCTCTGGTCAGCGCGCGCGTCGATTTTAATCATGCGCGTCAATCTTTTTTTTTTTCCAAAATGTTCCGCGGTAGATCCAACAGTGCCCTCTATTTCCGCACCTCCTCAATTTTTTTTACCAAAGAGCACCAAGGAATGGGAAATTGCACCAAGGCAAATGATCGAAAGCACCAAGGCAAATTATGGAGGACACCAATGTACATGAGGACACCAAAAAAGCAAAATAGTACCTACCTTGTCTGTACAATCCAAGCTTGAATAAAAAAAAAGCAAAAAAAAACAAAAAAAAAGCCGCGTGGCCGCGTCAATTCCGGAACTTTGGTCTGACCAGAGACCGAATATTTTTTTTTTTTGGCCTTATAATAGTACGGCAGATAGGTGATAGGATTGTGTCTTTGATGATACAAGCATGGCATTTGGCACACAGTCAGAGTATGTCTTAAGAAAGATGTTTGGCTATAGGGCCATCGTAGATTTGTCCTTTGCAAAAATATAGATAGCATAAGAAGCACTGGCAGCCAATTTGAAAATTTTGAAAATTGCTTGTTATTCTACCTATATTTTTAAAAGAACAAATCTTCGATGGCCCTATAGCCAAATATCTTTTTTAAGACATACTCTGACTGTGTGCCAAATGCCATGCTTGTATCGTCAAAGGCACAATTCCCCCAAATATTTCCCCTGTCTGCCCCACTACAAGAAACCTTGATTTTCTCCCCAAAACTCGATAATTAATTAAGGAACCTTCTTACTATTTGCTGTTCCATTTCCAGCAAACACAAGACGCGACCAGACGAGCAAAAGGTGACCTGCTTATGTGGCTTGCTGTGGTGTTTCCGCTGCCACGCCCCCTGGCACGAGGACATCTCCTGCAAGCAGTACCAGAGGGGGGACAGGCTGCTGAGGGAATGGGCCAAGGAGCACCACTACGGCCAGCCCAACGCCAACCGGTGTCCCAAGTGCAAGGTACAGCGTCAAAAGCAAAATGCAGACTGTTTGCCCGTCCTAGAGGGCCAGCCTAGCCTCCTCTTTGTGCCTATCTTACTGGCTGACTGGTGAGCCGGGCAGTGCTATTGTATAGGACTACCCTGTATGGGCTTCGTGCGCCAACAAAAGAGCGTGCGTTTAAGGATGAATAAGGATATTTAGAAATAGCCAGAAAAAGGTACTTGTACACGGAGTCCATGGGCTGTGCCATGCTTGGTACGTCAAAAATAATAGTTTCAATCAGTTATCTCCTTTGTCGCATCTTTAGGTATACATTCAGCGGAGTTCAGGCTGTGACAACATGACCTGCAGTCAGTGCCGCACCTCTTTCTGCTACCGCTGCGGAGAGCGCTTCCACTACTTCAAATTCTTCGGCAACCACTACTCGGCCTTTAGCGTGTTCGGCTGCAAGTACCGCTTGCTGCCCAACAAGCCGGTCAAGCGAAGGCTGATTCGAGGCGCCCTCTTTGGTGAGAATTTGGCTTTGTAAACTGAATTTGGTTAGGTTAAAGGTCAAAGGTCATCTAGGGGTCAAATGAGGTCATTGTTGTTTTTGGTTAGGTAAACTGAAGAGTGCTCTCATAAGAAAAGTCAGACTTCACTCTCACCAAACTTGGTGACAATCTTTAGGTAGGGGGACATGACTTGAGACATCAGGTCAAAGATCATCTAGGGGTCAAATGAGGTCATTGTTGAGTTTGTTTAGGTACACTGAAAATTGTGCTTACTAACTGACTGTATAAATACTGCCAGCATGCCAGGGGGATCGCGCAAGATTAACTTGCAGTATTTTCTGAACTATTATAGGATGCAAGGTTGCCGCGGCGCCAGTGTGCATCACGCTAGCCGTTGGAGTGGGATGCGTTCTGCTGGTGTCTTTGGGCCCGGCTTACGCAACGTACGCTGCCTGCCGCGAGTACAAGAACCGACGCTACGAGCGACAGCGCCAGCGGCAGTTCCATATGCACCGCCAATACCTGGAGTACAGCCATCAGCTCTACAGTGGGTAAGTTAACAATGGTATGGTGCTTGTGTTCTTGGGCAGGACAGTTTACATTCATTGGAGTACTTAGAGCCGGTACTTAGTATTCAGCCACATTGGTATGACCGTGTGAAGGTACAAGTTTATATGACACTTACATGTAATACCAAAGTTTCAAAGCGCTTCACATATTACCCCCGTTCATCGGGCCATGAGACCAGTTTCGCTGCAGCAGCTCGAGATCAGCGCAATCTGGTCTCTACTCTCACAGGTACCCATAATACTCCTGGGTGGAGAGAGGCAATTGTAGTAAAGTGCCCTGCTTAAGATCAAAATCTCCATGTTCTCTATCAGAGCTTGAACCAGTGTTGGAGCAAAGGCTCTGTCATCCAAGGCCAAGGTTTTGACCCTCAAGGCCAAGGTTTTGACCCTCAAGCCTTAAGGCTAAGACCAAGGCTTACCCTCAAGGCCAAGGCCCTAAAATCCAGCCTAAGGCAGCCCCATGGCCAAGGCTGAGCATCAAGGCACTACATCACTGGTTTGAACCCACATATCATTGCACCAGATGTAAAAAATTGCAGGTCAACACCCTCAGACTTGCAACTTCATCTTACTGAAGAAACATCTTGCAGTACATGTAAAGTAAAGTAAAGTAAATGTAAAGTCTGTCCCGAGCCAATGTGGCCCATCAGGCCGGCGTTTATCTCCAGTTTCAGTAGCATGAAACGACTGAGAATATTTCTATTCCCCCTGGATGGGATGCCAGTCCATCACAGGTTACTCCCCAGCTAATGCCGGTACCCATTTGTACTCCTGGGTGGAGAGAGGCAAGTGGGGGTGAAGTGGCTTGCCCAAGGACACGACATATGACTTGTGACTGGATTCGAACCCCGGATCGTCTGATCAGGAGTTACGAACCCTAACCACAAGACTCCTGCACTTAGTGTAACTGAAGAAATAAAGGTCTTGCAGTACACGTAGTGTCACAAATATGAAATAAAGACATCCTTATTGTTTCGTCTTAATTCACAGAATAGACAGAGACATTCCGGATATGAAACCGCGAGCTGCAACCCTAATTGAAATCCCACATGTTCCAATTCCACCAGACTAGACTGCACTGAAGACTCCAATTCTTTAACAGAGGTACATGCATGGAAACCATGACTGGAGTAAGCTTTTATGAATAGAAATTAACCCTAACCCCTCAAAATCCTTTAAAACCTACCAGGAGCTTTTTAGGATTTTATAGGACTGAGGAAGCTATACAGCCTAACCACTATTACTTTAAATGGGGCTTGATGCCCCTTGAAACTTAGTAGGTACAAAGAGTGTGCCATTGGGTTCCTGCACAGTGGAGGATTTTGTAGGATTGAGGAAGGTAGAGTCCAGCCACTATTACTTTACATGGGGCTTGATGCATCTTGAAACTTGGTAAGTACAAAGAGTGTGCCATTGGGTTCCTGCACATTGTAGGATTTTGTAGGATTGAGGAAGGTAGAGCCCAGCCACTATTACTTTACATGGGGCTTGATCCATCTTGAAACTTGGTAGATACAAAGAGTGTGCCATTGGGTTCCTGCACAGTGGTGGATTTTGTAGGATTGAGGAAAGTAGAGCCCAGCCACTATTACTTTACATGGGGCTTGATGGCCATCTTGAAACTTGGTAGGTACAAAGAGTGTGCCATTGGGTTCCTACACAGTGGTGGATTTTGTAGGATTGAGGAAAGTAGAGCCCAGCCACTATTACTTTTCATGGAGCTTAATGCATTTTGAAACTTGGTAGGTGCAAAAAGTGTGCCATTGGACAGGGGTGGATTTTGGAGGATATAGAAAGGCCATATATAGTTAAAAATGCACGAGGTTAGGATTAATAGGTTATGTATTCTCTATTACTTCACACGATGTCCGTGTTATCAGGAGTTACAGTTATGATAATTTGTCATGTGATCACATGTCATGTGATAACATTAGACCAATCAGAATATACATCTGTTTCCCAGATATAAATAAATGAATATATAGTATGCATATATTAAACAGTGGTGCAGTGTCGGAAAAAAAATTCAACTATTCAAAATTTGTATTAGAATGCAATGAGGGTTAAGCCATGTAAGCATTGTCATGTGACAACAGTTGACCAATCAGAGTACAAAGATGTCTGATGTGTTTCTAAAATATGTAAAACAAATGCGTTCAAACCCAATTTCCTATCAAATTCAAGAGTTCATTATGGGAACTTTTTATAGTGCCGCATGTCAGTACATGAACTACATGTACATGTATATTTACTCTGCATTTATATTTTAATAGTAATTTTGCAAGAAATTATACTCTGTATGAGAAAAAAAAAGAATCACACTTCGTGAGCCCAAAAATTTATTAAATATATATATTTTGCATGAAAGATTAATAAATCAGTGAATTTCTTTGGCAACTTATTTGAAATGCGAGATATGTAAACCAGTTTGATTATGCGAAGAGCATGTGGATAAATACGAAGAAAACTCGAGGTGGGATAATGATGAAAATTGATTAATTCTTAATTAGAATTATTAATATTAACTAAAAATGGTATTTTGAGCAAAATATTCATTTGCACTTTCCTTTCATGTCACGCACAATTATGTTACCATTTTCAAAAAGACTTGAAGTTTATGAGAAAAAGAAAACACTCTTTCTTAAGTTAGTCAACATCACTATTTATTTAGTCACTATTAAATTCAGATTTGCTAATGGCTGGTCCATTTTGGCGTCAACATTCCATGTATGAGGCAATTTTGTTTCTTTTAATTTATTTTATTATTTTTATTATTTATTTGTTGTTCAAGTTGTCAGAACGTACAAGCTTACGCTGTGCATGTTTCGAGTATGTTGTTATAGAACCCCTCCCCCCCCCACCAAAACAAATAAATGAAGAAATAAATACATGAAATAATAATTCTTGTTACATTACAATATAACGTCTGGTGTATTATACTATAACCAGGTTTTCAAAAATTATAAAGTGCAAAAATTTCGATTTCTTGCAGTTCATTCCCCCCCCCCCTTCCTTAAATGCAGTGTAGATGAAAGTAATGTAGTGCTAATTGTAAGTGTGAAATGAAAAGTGTTTTAGTCGACTCCAAGTGCACGTCTGAAAAGCATGCTTACGTATTGACTCCGTGCATAAACAGCAGATGAAGTTTTGTGACCATTTTCGGGAGCGCCCCCGCGGGAGGGACACGCCATGTGCTCGTAGTGGTTTGCGCGTGTAGATGGCTCTAAGTACACACGATTATTGTGAAGTTCCGTGGCCTCATGGAGCGTTGAATTCTGCAGGTTGTGGGTTCGAGTCCAGCCTGCGGCTATGGTGCGTGTGCCCTTGGGCAAGGCACTTTGTCACTCATTGCTTCTCCCCACCCAGGAGTGGGTACCTGTGAGGGTAGAGATGGTTATTGTGGTTGAGTTTCGCTGCTTTGCGCCGAAATGGTAGCATCGAGATGTACATGTATATACTCCCCAGGGAGCTGAAATTGTCTTTGGAATGTTTCATTGGCCCAATGAGCAGGGTAATAATGATGTAGCACCTTGAGCACCAATAAGCCTTTTCGGAGTTCCAACTGCGCGCATTCGTAACCTGTGACAACGCACATTGTTTGTCTCAAATGCCCTTTGACAGTACCCACAATGCACAAACAGCCTTTTTGTAAAGTCAGTGGCGCGATGATGTCAAAGGCCATTTGAGACAAACAATGCGCGTTGTCACAGGTTACGAATGCGCAGTTGGAACTCCGAAAAGGCTTATACTAGTGGGTACGTGCGCTATATAAATACGCATTATTTTTATTATTCTGAAAATGCGCATGCCATAGTGTCTTCGTGTGAGCGTCGGACAGCAGCAGTGCATTCAAATGTCTCTCCCAATGGTCTCCCTAACTCTCCCTTTTTAACCGTTGAGGGGGTACTTGTGCGCGGAGCCCGTAGCAGGAATTATAATAGGAATCATGTTTGCGTGTTGTCTTGAGTTTTTTCAGCATATTTTGGGTTTCAGATCGAAAGGACCCACCGTGAAACCAACTGTTCTTTGTGCAACACTGCAACCAACAATGCAAATTTAAGTCTCCACTTGTGGGCCAACAAAGGAATTTTTATTGGGTGAAAATTATGGTATATATCAAAAGTTTTGTGAAATTTGCAAGCTGGTACATGTATAATGGCATCAAGCATTTAAACACCATTTCAGTATATTCACAGAAGATAAAGAGAAAAATTTTGCAAATTTGACTTTATAATTATTCCTTGATTGTAAACGATAAGAAAAATTATATCAATATAAATAATTGTACAAAGCATATCAATAGCTATTTTTTCATTCGTGTAAAAAAAGCGCTTTCAGCAGTGTTACTGTTAGATGTGATTTACTAATTGTTTATATATGTGGTGCACTAATTTCTAGTGTTTAGTTTTGAGTCGAGATTTTGTTCAGATGAAAACCATTCATTATTCACACACATATGTAATTGGGGCTGATTTATGTCATTGCTAAGCGCAACATTTTCTGCTAACAGACATGTCCTTTAAAAAAAGAGCAGAGCCCAAATTCTTGGCTCTGCTTAGGCCTACTGTTAGCAAAAAATCCCTGCTTAGTGTAGTAGAAAACTGTGTGCTAATTAAGTGTATTTCACGGATTAGTGAGGATTTTGGCTTATGTGCATGCATACATCTCGTAACTAAGCATTGTGTGCTTACAGGGTTAACACAAAATGGTGAGCGTAAGCTATGAAATTGGGCCCTTGCTAATTGAGGTGGCAGAATTGTTGCCATAGCAACCGTCTCCTGCTTCTTGCAATATTTTATTTTGTACGTTGCCATGCCGGTAAGTCATGTTGAAATAATCTAGCCATATGTACCTCAATTAACGAAAAGCCACTTTCATATTTTGGGTTGTTTTTGTATACATGAATGCCTGCAAAATCACACTTTATTTGTTAATTTGTGAAATATGCAAGGTACAAGTTGTAAAAGCTTTCTGATAACATGTAAGCAGAACCACTTTCATGTACTTTCTGCTGATATTAACATGTACTGTTCTAGGAGATTCTGGTGCATTAGGTAATATGCAACATTATTTTGGTCTTGCTGTAATTTTCAGAAATGGATGGATTTGGGGGTTAGTATTTCATAGCAAATATTGTTACACCCTCTGTTTTGTGTTCACAGATGCTGGAAAAACCAAGGTTAGCATTTTATAGTAAATATTGTTACACTGACCTGTGTGAAGTTTTGTGTTCATAGATGCTGGAAAAACCAAGAAAAACATGCTGTTCTTGTAGTGTGGTTCTCTGACCCTTCTTCTGGTGATATGGAGCAAATTATAGACATCAGGGAATTGTGCGGTCGGGGAATCAGACTAGCTGGCTTACACATGCTCATATATATGTGCAACCAATTACAAACAAAATGTGGACTAACTAGATTTGGTAAATTGAGGGCAGTATTTGAATTTTTTTTTCTTCTAAAGATGGTCAGGCGACCATCGTTGGAAATTGATACAAAACTTTTCTTGAAAATGGCAGCACATCAGGTGCCATGATTTCACAGGATGCTTGAGACTATTATTCACTTACAATAAAGGGAAGTATTTCATAATTTTTTTGGGGGGGGGGGGGGGTATTTGCAAATGTTGTATCTACATGTACCTCAAAGGGTGATAAAATAAAGCTTTGAAATTGTCATTATGTATCATATATATATAGCAGTTTTGTACATGTTATGATTATTTTGTTTGTTTAAACTTTAAAGAGTGGTATATTTTTCCCCCGTGTTATACCTGCAGTGTTGCAAAACTCGAGCTTTATTGTAACTAACCAAAGAATGTCATGAATGAAAAACTGATTTTATGTTGTGCACTAATAATTTAAATTCAATTGATTATTTGGTTGATTGTTCAAGTAAACGTAATGCAGCCTTTGAATGTTAAAATGATGGCATGCTTGATTTGTATGGTTTGTTGTGTGGTACCCGCGGTCAAGATGTGTTTTAAAGAATATGTTCGTACATACAAAATATGCTGTGATTCGAACACCTAAATACACCTTTATTCATCCTCTTCGTTTTTTTTTACATAAAAATAAAAGACTTCAAGCGTGCAGATAATTTTCTTTTTCAACCAGAAATTAATATATACAAAGCATTCAATATCACATTACCCATCACCACTTTGCATACAGAAAATTTTATTATTTTTTAGAAAATAAAAAGCGCAGGATTTTCAAATTTTAAATTCTTTTCAGCTTTTGCAGAAAAAAAATACCAAGAATTGTTCCTAGTGCTCCAATAATTCTAAGTTACGCACTGTACATTTATACAACACATTTATTAGGCCGAGTACAAAAATAAAATAGTTTCTCGTCTGAGTTTTTGGAAAAAATGAAGTGGTTTTTTCCCCAAGATGGCCGAATTTCCAAGATGGCGAATGGATTCTTCCTTTTTCCCCCCGACTCTTTTGCTGATCATTGTTTGTTGGAGAAAAAGAAAAACTATAAATTTTGACAATATATTTGCAAAATATATTGCAAATGTGTGAACTAAAAAAAAGGGGGGGGGGCAGGAAAAAGGAACTCATGCAGAGACGAGAAGCCGTTTTATTTTTTTCAGTTGGCCTCATTCCAAACCACGAAGGGTAACTTCATTTGCACCGAAACATTTTTAGCTCAAAAAAATTCATTTTTTAAAAATTAAAAGCAGCCTTCAAGAAGAAGTAAAGAAAACAGCACCAGTACACAGATCGGATGTTTCGTTCTTAAAAATCGCTACGCGGAGAGAAATAGCTTGAAATAGTGGGATTTACAGCTAGTCTAAATTTGGCCAAAGATTTGGCTTCAACTAAGAAATTGACTGGAGGGGTTCGAACCTGCGACTTCTGGATTGCCATTCTAGTGCTCTACCAACTGAGCCATCCAGCCTAGAATGCAAGGTCTCCAAATTAGACAATCTTGTTCAATGTTCATCTTTCGTTAATTTTGTGCAATAATTATTACAGCATAAACAACTGAGTAAGTGGTGATTCAAAAACCTAAATACTAAAAAAAAAAATGAATTTTCGCCACCAATTTCGACTAGAAATGAACTAGGACCTTTTCAACCCCAAAATTTCCCCAGATATCGTAAAATCAAAAATTCAACCAAACCATGATGAAATAGATTTAATTGCCTTAACTCATTTATGGAAAAATGTGACCTGTTCTGTCAAAAGTAGACGCTTCTGGGCAGAGGTTGAAATTGAGATAGGGCCAAAAAATGCTGTGGGGGTGATTTTTTTTCAATTTTCAAATTTTTGCATATTTGTAATCCTGAACATGTCTAAAATATACTATAAAAGTTTGAAACCCTAATTTAAACTTTACATGTAGTATTTTCGATCATTTGTTAAGGTGTATCAGTTAAAGAAATTACTGTTTTGTGACGTTCGTGGCCATTTTCTCCGTTTTCTACTTTTCGACACAATGAACTTCAAAATAGCATAACTCTGCCCAGGAATGACCGGTTTCAAAACTTAAACCACCTATTAAAAGGAAAAAGAACATATTTTAACAATATGCAAAAATCTCATTTTTGACCTTATGCCCAGAAAAGTCTGATTTTGACAGAACTAGGTCACAAATAGTCTGGAAATCATGGAAAAATATTGAAAGTCTTTTGTATTCACATGGTTGCAAATATCAATCACTGAAATGATCTAAATAAATTAATTTTCGGGGCAAGTAAATCTCTGAAAATGAGGAGAGATAATTTGAATGGAAATCCTATTGAGACACTTGATGGTGTAAGATACATGTAGAATATTCTAGTTTTGAATTCTTTGAAGTCAAAGGCGCTTAAACAGAATTTCCGATGTAGGTAAATTATGTGAATAATTTCAAAGGTATTCGCTGGCGTAGTTGTGACGTTACTCGAGATCAACTTGGTGCTACCATGATTACTGGTTTGCGCACACTGCAACGGTCCAGTAAACAACGTGGTTTGGCTATGGCTGTTGACTGATGCCCCCAAAAAATCCTTTCCAATATGGATATTTACGAGGTCTCTTGGAGTGATACTAATGACTCTAACATATGTTAATCCGGTGTCTCACGGAAACTCTCCATTCAACCCAAACTCCCCATTTTACTGATAACTGGTACCTGCCGGGTGGACCATCAAGGCTGTCACTGAAAATTGTCCTTACTAACTGCCTGTACATGTATACAAACTGGCAGCATGCCAGGGGATCGCGCAAGTTAGACTTGCAGTATTTGTAACTAATGCACAGCAGCTTTTCTCAAGGTTAATTATATTTTAACTTCACCAAAAAAAATAAAACATTCAGTATTTGTTACAATTCCAAAAAATGTTACAACTCTGTAATTTTCACCAAGGCCTGAACAATTTTTCACTATGTACACGACAATTTTTTGTTCCAAAGAGACCAAAATTATGAAAACTGTGTAATACTGTTAGATACAGGGATGGGGATGGGGATATATCAGAACTATTACCTTGGGAAAAGTGGGGAATATTTTTGAAATATCAAAGGCACTTGAAATGGAAGTACAATATCAAACTGGTCTGCCATTCCTATAGGGTCTCGTACACGTATTTAGTAATCACCACAAAAAAAGAAGTCCACACTCTTTGGAGGGTCATAATTTTCAATCTGATCGTCTTATGATGACATCAGTTATATAGACCTTTGGGGAATTTTGTTAGCTACATTTTGACGTTTTCTACCAAAGACTGTAAATCGTCCAAGATTGACAACGGTTTATGAAAAGTGATGCAGTTTGAAAATTTGCAAATTTAAAGAATACGCAAGGAGAAGTTGCTAGATACAAACACAGACGCCCTAAGTGTTCCCTATCGACTGCACAGTGCCCGAACAAAGCGCGAGTAATTCAATTTCGCGTGTTCCCATGCATGCAAGCACTGTGAAATCGGTATTCCCTGCCGTTCATTTTAGGCATCGTAACGTTGTCACGCAGCAATTTCCAATCGCGTACTCTCTAAATTTGCAACTTCACAAAAAAACTGGATCAGTTTTCATAAGCCGTTGTCAATGTTGGACAATTTACAGTCTTTGGTAGTCAACGGGTATCAAAATGTAGCTTACAACATTCCCCAAAGGTCTGTATAAATGACGTCATCATAAGACGATCAGATTCGAAATTATGACCCCTCCAATGAGTCATACAATCTCCTATTTTTGGCTGTTTAGTATGGTAGCCAGGTTAACTTTCATTGTTTATACTATCAGAGTAAGCTTGGGAAAACCTCTCTGCTAGCCAGGCTACCAGACATTTGAACGCAGAACTAATCACTAACAATCATTTTTACTTCTTTGTGCATTTCAACTGGTAATTTACGAAAAATTTAGAAAAAATATTCAATTGTACAAGCCTAACTACCGTATCTTTATCACGAACCAACAATTTTTGACTCACTACATTGTTTTGAATTGTTATTGTACACTGAAATGTGGCAAGATTTTGGAGGATTGTTTATGCGTATTTGAAAGAAAACAGTGAGATACAAAACCTCTATATCCCATGTCCAATATTGGTAGCTAAACAATGATCTGTAGATCATATTGTATAATGACAAAGAACATATTGGTTCCGTGTAGTATTACAACTCCGTGATTTCTGAGAAAAAAAATTGTATGACTAAAGTTTTCCCTTTTTTTCCCCGATGCTTAAAATAAAATATCCTACAACATGGCCAAGTGTGTGCCATAACCAAAAAAGGTTGGTTTTTTGTTTTGATATCTAGTTTTACCTAACAGTCTTTTCCACAACCAAAAATCAAAATTTCCCATTTTTTTAAGTTTCCGTTATGCAATTTGTTTCATTTCATAATATATGATATTACTGTGGTTATATCAGACCACAGCAGCCCCGCAGCCGGCCCGCGCGACGTTCATGTTGCTCGCCACCGTCCACGTGTCCGTGTACGGGTCGTAGATCTCCACGCCGCGCAGCCGATTGGTGCCGTCGAAGCCTCCCATGACGTAGATCTTGTTGTCGAAGATGGCCACCGCGGGCCAGGCACGGGGGGTCTGGAGGGAACGGATGGAAGACCACTGGTGTGTTTGTGTGTTGTACCTGGCCAAAAAAAAGAAGAAGAAAACAAGCTCGATTTGATCTCCGAAGCTGCGGACTCCCAACGAAATTGGGTTGCACTTTGCGGGGAATATGTACGGCAGTTTTCAGTGAATGACATCTCCAGAGCTGCTGTGCAGCAGGCAAGGGGCTAATGTCTCCCGGATAATTGCCTTTCATTGAGCTGCGGCTGGGTGGGACGTTTGTTACTAACTAACTAACTAACGCAACAGAGAGACATGATGATTCGTTGAGCTGCTGTCCGGAACTAAAAAATAGAAATGTTCAAACTGAGCTTGTGGGATCAGGCCGGCGTTTATCTCCGGTTTCCTTGGCATGAAACGACCGAGAGTATTTCTATTCCCTTGGATGGGATGCCGGTCCATTGCTGGTTACTCCCAGCTAATGCTGGTACCCATCTATACTCCTGGGTGGAGAGAGGCAAGTGGGGGTGAAGTGGCTTGCCCAAGGACACAACATATGACAAGCAGCAGAATTCTGTGATATTAAACAACTGAGAATATTTCTATTCCCCCTGGATTGGATGCCAGTCCATCGCAGGTTACTCCCCAGCTAATGCCGGTACCCATTAATACTCCTTGGTGGAGATGCAAATGGGGTGAAGTGGCTTGCCCAAGGACACAACATATGGCCAGCAGCTGGATTCGACCCCCTGACCCTCTGATCATGAGTTACGAACCCTAACCACTAGGCCACACTTCCCCCATGATGTCCAGGTTAGATTTGTACATGAGATTACTTTGTGGTTCTTGTCATCTTTTACTAAAAGAGGGGTATGATGCAGTGTCAATCACAAGTCAATCACAAGTCAAATCCAAACGTCAATCATAAGAATTAGGGAATGAGCAACCCTAACCCCTTCGAGTGATTTACAAGGAACCTTCCTCACTCTTGCAAAATCCAACACCATTATGATAAACTCAACACCCAAACTGTTGGACTCTGATTATGGTGGTATGCCTGACCCCATGTAAAGCATAATCAGTTTACTAGTGCAGTACTCACTCCAACAGATTCCAACAAAACATGCAGTTGGATTTTGAAGGGTTGGGGTGGTTAGGGTTAAAAGTCTTTCACTTGACTTGAAGCTTTCACGTCTGAAATCCTCAAATTTCCCCGGTAACCCACCTCTCAGCTATATTGAAATACTGGTCCGTGTGTCGCAGCCGGCCACCGAAGGCATATATGTAATGATCCATGGCCACCAACGCCAGACCGGATCGAGCTTTCTCCATCTCGGCTACAAACGTCCACTCTTCTGTCTCGGGATCAAAGCATTCCACGCTGGCCCGATCCGTGTGATAACTCTTGTCATATCCACCTAGAACAAAGACACAACTACTTGTAATAATCCTTTGTAAATCACCAAACACCGACAAATAGAACTGTTATCTGACTGACTGATTGACTGACTATCTGACACATACCAGCGACGTAGACTTTGCCGTCGCACACTGCCACCCCACAGCCTGATCTCTTCTGCTTCATGTTGGGCATGAAGTTCCAGTCATCTGTTATAGGGCTGTATCGCTCTACTACGTTGTAGCTGCTGCTGGCATTCTCTCCACCTGCGGGACGAGAACAAATATCATGATCAAGAAAAATGATGAATAGGAAGTATTTATACTAAAAAGGAAGTCGGAAAAGCATAGGTCAAAACACCGTTGTTGTTTTGTTTTTTTTCATCTGGCCTGCACTGCAGATCACTTGGGTTTGATCGAAACTATGGCTCAACATAGTGTAACAAAAATGCAACTCCTGTTCATTTTTTAGCTTAGCTAAGAAACAGTCTGTGCTAACAGAGTGTAATGATCGCTGGAAACATTCATTGATTGGTTAATAATTCATGATTACTGGACGATCAGCTTATCATTTCAGTGTTGGAATAACTATAGTTTTGCTGTATAAAGTGCAACTGTCACAAGTGTCATCTGTCGTGCCTTAAAATGCACTTAAGCGTGAAATCTAGTTTGGTTTTCCATGTAGCCTGGTTTTCATTTTGAAAATTCTCCACAAATGGCATTCAAGCCTTTCCATTTCATTGTCTGAGAAGTTGCCATGTACTTTGTAAAATTGGCTATGGATACCCAATCCCATAATCTGGAACCGATTACTGACATCAACGGTAGGGTACTCAGGTACCCAGTTCCAATGCACACGCCTAGTTCTTTTGGGGTTGAAGAACCCTAATTCATCGATACGAACCTAAGGCATAAAGGTGACCACCCAGGCTGGCTAATGCCATGAAGGATCGCGGCACGTTGAGGTTGGATCGCGGGTTCCAACGCTTGAGCAGCGGGTCGTAGCACTCCACCTGGCCTAGATACATGGTCTGGTCATCACGGCTACCGCTGAAGGCACATTCCCCGCCCACCGCGTACAGGAGGCCGTTCACTGTGGCCGCGCCCACGGCCGTCCGCGATATGGACATGCTCTCCTAAATTATATAAAGAGTGAAGATTAGATTTTTTTTTCATTTCAAAGGGCAAAATAAGCAAAAAAATATAGCAAATTTATGTGTTAAGCAGAAATAAGATGAGCGCCAGTCACAAAGCATATAATTTGCATGACATTTTGGCTGGTAGCCTGCTTTTACTTAGCAAATATTTTCTGCGCTTAGCAAATTTCTGTGCTATGCAAAAATCAGCGGAGTACCATTCAGAAGTCATGTACACATCTAATGACTTTTGGCTGTTAACCTGTTTTTGCTAAGCAAATATTTTCTGCGCTTAGCAAATTTCTGTGCTACGCAAAAATCAGCGGAATACCAGTCACAAGTCATGTATACATCAAATGATTTTTGGCTGGTAACCTGTTTTTACTAAGCAAATATTTTCTATGCTTAGAAGATTTCTGTGCTAAGCAAAACTCAGTGTAGTACCAGTCACAAGTCATGTACACATCAAATTATTTTTTTTTGGCTGGTAACCGGTTTTTACTAAGCAAATTTTTCTGTGCTTAGCAAATTTCTGAGCTAAGCAAAAATCAGCCGAGTACCAGTCACAAGTCATGCACACATCACATGAGATTTTGGCAGGTAACCTATTTTTGCTAAGCAAATATTTTCTGTGCTTAGCAAATTTCTGAGCACAGCAAAAATCAGCGGAGTACTAGTCACAAGTCATGTACACATCAAATGACTTTTTGGATGGTAACCTTTTTTTTATTTAGCAAATACTTTTCGTGCTTAGTAAATTTCTGTGCTTCACAGACAGACAGACCAACTCACCTGTGGCACCCACCGGTCCCGCGACACGTCGTACCGCTCGCAGCTGCTCAACTGACAATCCACGCTGTTCCGTCCCCCAACCACGTAGATACTCTGAGGCTGGGACCGGCTACCGATGAGCGCCAGTGCCTGGTTGTCGTTGCGGATGCGCAGCGCGTTGGCGAGCCGGTCCCGGCACTTGGAGCAGCGGTTGATGAGTTCTGATTGGTGGACTCGCTGGAGGAGGTAGTCCTTGTCCAGTAGCGCCAGGCGGATGTGTTGCAGCACGGTGCAGCAGCAGCGACTGCGGTTCTGCAGGTCGTAGCTCAGCCAGGAGACGGCAGCCTCGTACACCTGCAAAGGAAATTTTCGACGAAATATTGACATTAACCCCCGTTCTGCTTGAACAGTCTCAGCCAGTCAAAATTTGTACCCTATTCCCCGGTCATGCTAGTCACCAACAATCAGATTGATCACATGCATCCGAAGAAGTCGAAATTCATCTTGAAAAAAAGGCTACTAGTGCACAACAGTTGGCAATTTAAGAACAAGTACGTGCCTTGAGACTTCTGGCTGGCAAATTCAACAAAGCAATCCAAGAAGTCAAAATCAATCAAGTGACTGTTTTCAACAGTTAAGAGCTCCCTGCCAACATAAAGCAGGATTGACTGTTTATGTAACTTGACACAGCTTTGCCTTGACTGTAGGAGATTGATAAGACAGCTGTGCTGTTGTCAACTGATGGAATTTGACCAGTCAAAAATACAAGAAATCTAATCTCTCACAATTGGTGACTAGCCTGTGTATTAATAATGGCAGGGGAAGAGGATGGATTTTTTTTTGACCGACGGCAGGAGGTTAATGAATATTCATGAAGTACCAACCTCCTCCTCTCCATCCACCTGTAGCTGGTCGCTCTTCAGCAGCGCCACCACGTCCTGCTCAGCCAGGACGAAGAACTCCTCCGACCTGATCACCTCCCGGAAGTGCTGGTAGATGAAGCGACGGGACGTGTTCTCCAGGTCCGTGCAGGAGTACATGTCAGCAAAGGAGTGGATACCTGGAGGAGGAAAGGGGGAAAAGATAAAGGTGTACCCAGGGCTGTGCCAAAACATACCGAATATTTGAATATTTGAATATTCCGAATATTTGAATATTTAATCATGAACCAATCCTCCAACAAATTTTGTCGTTGGGGTCATGTATCTTGGATTTTGATGACATTTAGCCAGGAAAAATTGTCAACTTTAGACATCTTGTCGCTTTGTCACTTTAAAGGTAGATCATTTGCAGCTATCCATAAAGTAACTGGCCAAATTATTGTTTAAAAAAACTTACTTAGTTTAAAGATGGGGATGCAATAAAATCCCTGTGAAATAATTCTTTCTGGCATGCAGTCATTTTGAAGAAAACACTAAAAGAAGGTCATTTCCAAAGATGCGTCGAGTGTCGCATTTTTGGAAATTTCCGTTAGCAGTTGGCTTGTAATTGGGCAAACCCGTGGATGGGTGCACGCAAGCGTTGACGTGACACGCACATGCGAACGGTTGTTGTATTATTTGTGACATTGCGTAGCTGCAATCACCTGAATGAGAATGTGTCCCGGGCGCTGATTTCGGGCGCAATTCAAAACATGATTCGGCAACTTTTGAACTGAACTTGAGAATCTAGAATATTGGTTTCTCGGAATACACAGCATTCACTGAGCTGAAACTTCATCAGGTTAGTTGTTAAGCGTCTGTCTTTAGATTTTGAGCACGTTTTTCACTTCCAACAAAACAATGCACAAATGATATATGATCTAACCTACCTTTCAGGGCTTACATGTCACTTTGTATGCAAATGAAAAGAACATCAAATTGACTTCTGAAGGTGCACAATTTTGATCATACTACACCACTAAAACAGTGCCTATAAGTGTCTAGAATTTTATAGCCTATTCGATCAACAGTGCCTATACCTCATGTTTTCAGGGTAACATTGACGTAACACACACACAGAAAAAACACACCAATTTTGAATACACCCTGCACCTACCGAGGCAGTTACTGGCATCCAGCTGTGACTGCAGGAACGTGCAGCACACGTTGCGCAGGCTACTCATAGACAGCATGCTGGCACCGGCTAGCACGATCTGTACGTTCTCCACGTTGATCTCGATGAAGCCTGAACACACACCGAGACAGCCAACAAAAAAATTTCATTCAAGAATTCATTCCCAAGTTCAATACAATTGGTTTCATTTGTGCATTTCATTCCCAAGTTCAATACACATTTTGTCATTTGCGCATGTAAACACCACAGTTCTAGATCAATACTCTTGCCATAGCAACAGTTCCAAGCTGAACTAAGTAAATGTCATGTTTTTTTGCTCAAAACACTCTAGACAAGCGTTTTCTAAGCACACAGAAAGCGGTGCAGCCCTGTTTGATTGACAATGGACGTGTTTTTATAACAACTCTGAGGAAGGCCAGTTCAATTTAAAGGGAATATACAACATTTGCAAACATCAAAAAACAAACCTATCAAATTATCACAACATACCTTACTGGACTGTTAGTGAGCGATAGTCTAAAGCATCCTGAAAAATCATGGCACCTGGTGTGCTGACATTTTCAAGAAAAGTGGGCTTTTTTTATCAATTTTCAACACTGGTCAGCTGACCAGCGTTGGAAAAAAACTGGATTTTTGCAAATACTGCTCCCAATTTACCATATTTTGTTAGTATGCATTTTCTTTGCAATCGATTACACACCTGTGAATGGGTACAAGCCAGCTAGACTGGTTCCCTGACCGTACATTTCCCCGACGTCTATAAATTACTCGTTTCATCTTAAATTGGGTCAGGGAACCAGACTACAAGAACATGATTGTTTTTCTTGGTTATTCCAGCATCTACGAACCCAAAACTTCAAACAAGTCAGTGTAACAATATTTGATATAAAATACTAACGTCTCAATCTATCCATTTCTGAAAATTACAGCAAAAGCAAATGATGTACATGTATATTCCCTTTAATCTTTTGTAAACAACTGATATCATTGTCTACACACTGTGCAGTATTTTTTAATCATTTGGCGGAACATACATACATGTACCGTATGGAGGGTTTAATATGTTATGAATTGTTTTTCCACGTAATATTAATTGCAAGACTGTATTTTTTTTAAAGCTCTTCTTTTTATGAGGGGAGGGAGTGATAATCATTAACAAACACAAATGAAATATGCTTGCGGGTACACCATGGAAAAAAATATCTCTTTTGTGAGAAAGTCATGGCTCCGAAAAGATTGGGCTGCAAGAGTGAATCTCGATGTTTCAAACAGCGTACTGGTATAATGCACAAACTGGTATAATGAGATGTATCTCAACTCTATTCAAAATTTAAACAGAAAATCCCTTTAATTAATAAGAATATACAGCCTGTCTCAAAAAAAAATGGTACAATCAGAAAAAAAATTGGTTAAATATGAAATTTCAAAATAAGTCATTCTTACTTGGCATAATATTAAAGAACAAAGACTGGGCTTTCCAATAGTGTTTGTTTGATCTTATTTGCTTTTGTCAATTCAGAGATATAATCAATTTAGAGCGATAGACCACTGTGCCATGCTGTCTTGAAGCTCACAAAAGATTGCAACCAGAAAGTGGCACAAACTCGATTTTTGTGTTCTGCAGTAAACTGGAGTTATCTCTGGATTGACAAAAGCAAATGAGATGAAACAAAAAGTATTGGAAAGCCTGGTCTTTTTTCTTTAATGTGAAGCTCAAAACAACTTACTTATGTTGGGATTTAATATTGTACCATTTTTTTTTAGACAGGCTGTAGTTGGGCAAATCCAGCGTTATGAAATGTCTGTGACAGAGGTGTTAAGAGCTCAGTTAATAAACTTGAAAATGTATTTTTCAAATCTATACTCACACATCACCTACCGGTAGTAACGGTCGAAGAGATAACAGACCAGGAGTTCTGGATCATTTCTCTGAATCATTAATTGGATATCGTGGCTACCGATACTTGGCTCTGTCACGGACATTTACGCTTCCTTTCATAACGCTTGAATTGCTTAGTTGACCATTCTGACCAGCAATTCCTCAAGATCAGAGGGTCAGGGGTTCGAATCCAGCTGCTGGCCAAATGTTGTGTCCTTGGGCAAGCCACTTCACCCACATTCACTTCTCTCCACCCAGGAGTACAAATGGGTATCGCATTAGCTGGGGAGTAACCTGTGATGGACTGGCATCCCATCCATGGGGAATAGAAATATTCTGTATCATTTTATGCCAAGGAAACTGAAGATAAACGCCGGTGTAGCGTGAATATCCGACTCCATGAAATGTGGACTCATTGGTAGTACTGCGCACGCGTGAGTACGATACTATGCTATTTTTAGGATCGTTTCGGGAGAGTGACCTGTCACGTGCAAGGGATCAACCAATAATAGGGAAATAGGGGTCCGATTTTCATAGGAGTCGGATTTCATGTGACACCGGCCTGACGAGTCATATATTGGCTTGCCACAGATTTTACTCACTCACCCGTGTACATGAAAGTCAGAATGATCTCCATCGCGACCGGGTCCACGCCGTGGATCTCGACGTGGTTCTTCGCCGTCTCCTTCATCCCGTTGGTGAACATGGCGCGCAGGTACGGCGAGCAGCCCGCCAGCACCACCTTGTGGGCGCGGAACGCCTGGTCCTCCAGGCGCAGCACCACGTCGCACAGCTCCTGCCGCTGCCGCAGCTCGTTCATGACGGTGAAGGCGCTGTGCGTGTGCAAGGTGATGGTGTAGGTGCGCGACTGGATCATCTTCAGATGCATGTAGAGGGCAGGGTTGCTTGCTTAGCGGCAAGTTTTGTTCGATCGTAGGAGTTCAAATTTGCGAGAGTTTTTTCGCTCGTGTGTCCAGGCTGCTTTCAATGTCAAACCCACAAACTTGGTTGTCACAACAAGTTTTCTTAAATCCAAGAGTCTAAAAATTTGGACAGTTTCGGCTTGTTTGTCCTAATTTTTGTTTAAATGCCAAATTCGCAAACTGGCTTTGTCACGTTAAGCTTTTTGAAATCAGAGGAGACAAAACTTGGGATTGTTGTTTTCAATGCCAAATCACAAATTGGGTGGACGTGGTGTTCTTATGTCAAAATTCTTTGGGTGAGTTTTGCTTTTTTTCAGATCTGTTGACTTAGCAACCCAATGCTAAATATTTTTTTGTTTTGTTTACAGAATTCAAGCAAGGACAACTTTTGTTTACTCCAAGCGAACAATTTTGGCAACAACAATTTCGGGCTTGAGGGACTCAACACCAAGTTCACAAACAGGACTGGACATGGCGCAGCTTACTTGTGACAATATATTTCTGTCAGTGACTTCAGATGTTTCAGACCTGTTGCCTTAGCAACCTGATTCTAAAATTTCCTTACAGAATCTTGAGCAAGGGTCCCTTTTTTAATGAGTCTAAATTGGCGAAGAAACAATCCTTGTTATTAGGAGATGGTAGGCTGGCAAACAAATCACAAATTGAAGGCCTTGTTTGACGTAGTGTACAGCTCGCTTGTCATGACCTTTCACAGAATTCTCTCGAACCTGGATGGAAAAGCAACATTTTCGGCACAGAAAGGAATTGGTCAAGTTATAATACTCATTAATAGGAGCCCTTACAGTGGCAAATGAATCTTGAACTTAAGAACGATGATGTCAACTTCCCTACCTGCCTTTCCACCGGCTGTGGTTTCGCAGACGTCAAAACTCTTAAGCTTTCCCGGAAGGTCCATGATGCTTGATAATTGTGCCGAATTCTCCAATTAAAGTCTTGTTTCCATGACAACTGATCAACAGATGAGTAGGTGCTGACGTGTGAGGCCAACGCAAAAGTTGGCTTCGATGTCTTCCACCCCCAGATGTCTTTCTTTTGTGCCTTTCTCAGCCGAAACTTGAAGTCGTCACACACTTAACGAAATCCGACAATCCGAAACGAGGGCATCCAACGTTGGGCCTATCGCAGAAACAATCAAACATACAATGTAAAAAGTACTGTTTAAAATATTTTTTTTATAAAGCTAAGAGTAACAAGTTTTGAGTGATGAATGTGTGAAAATTGACAACCAAATGTTTGGGAACTGCTACACAAAATTTTGCTCAGCAAATTTGCACATGCTAAGCTGAATCATACCTGTGTCCTTAAAGATAGAGTATCATTTGCAGCTATCCAAAAAGTAACTGACAAAATTATTGTTGAAAAACTTACTCGGTTTAAAGATAATAATGGCACTAAACTCCCTGTGAAATTATTCTTTCTGGCATGCTGTCATTTTGAAGAAAACAATAAAAAAAAAAGGCCAATTCCAAAGATGCGCCTGAAGACGCATTTTTGGGTGCGTACAAACGTTGAAACGCCGTACACGCGTGCGCTGTTGCTATAATCCATCGGTTAAGTGCGTGACACTGCGTAGCTGCAATCGGCTGAATGAGAACGTGTCCCGGACGCTGATTTCGGGCGCAATTCAAAACATGACCCGGCAACTCTTGAATTGAAATCGAGCTCCTAGAATATTGTTTCCTCAGATTATACAGCATTGACTGAGTTGAATCGTCATCAGGTTAGCTGTTAAGCACCCTTCTTTAGATGTCGGGCTCTTTTGGTGCTTCAAACGAAAGAAATGCACAAAGGACAAAAATTTGTCCTTTGTGCATTTCTTTCTATTGAACTAATGCACACACCTCAAACATGGCTCCAATGCAAACAATCTATACACAAGATCTGAGTTTTTGTTTTTCATGTCATTCAAATTCACTGTACAAGTCAATAGGAAAAACCACACATTTTAAATTCCCACTCAATACATACTGCAGTAAGCTGCCATCTCATCGTGCACAGAATTTGTCACCAACGAAAACGCAGAAATTCTGATGCAGAAAGTCTTACGCAGTTTCGATGGAAAAAAAGGTGTGTCGCAGCACTGGAGATGCAAAGCTGTTGCTGATGAGACACTGCGCTGTCCAAAATGGCACGTGAATTATCATAAGTTTTCACTTGCATTATACAGGGGCTGGGCTGAGTCACATCTCAATTTGCTGACAATATCTCATTCATAAATTTGTATACGGTGACATCACTCATGAATATTCATGAAATAACAGCCTGTGTAAAGGTATGAAAAAAAAAATCATCAGATTGGAAACACTGAAGCTGACTCATATCTCAATCTACATGAAGGCCTATCTCCCTGCAATGCATACATGTAGGATGCTGCATGCGGGTACAGTTGACGACTTCATTCATAAATCTAGCCAGGTGTGATGTCACAGTATGTATGAATATTCATAAGATGTCAGGAAAGTGTGTAAATTAAAAAAGGTGGCATATTGGCACATTTTGGAGCGGAGTCACATCTATCTCCTAATGAGGCTGCAGCATCAAAGCTGACAGTTTCATTCATAAATCTTACAGCTGGTGTCACATCACTAAATGAATATTCATGAGATGTTACATGTGTATAAAATTCAGTACTAGAAATTAAAAAGTTTTGGAGCTGAGTCGATCACTTCTCAATCTATAGATCTTCCTACATGATTTTACATGTAGGTGAAGCCATTTAGACCCATCTGCCATATTTCATTCATAAATCTCATAGACAGGTGTGTCATCACTTATGAATATTCATGACGCGTCAAGCAAGTGTGTAAAAAAAGGCAGCGTATTGCACAATTTACAGCCCAGTCACATCTCTTACTCTCGCTTACTACATACATTACATATGCTGAGTGAGGATGCAGTGTTGAAGCTGACACATTTCATTCATAAATTTATCACATGGCCAGGCGTTACATCACTTATGAATATTCATGAGATGTCAGCATGAGTATCAAAAAAAATATGCAGATATGAACTTTTGGGGCTGAGTCACACCCCAATCTGTCTTCCTACAAAATTAATACGCTTCATGCAGATGCAGCCTCAAAGATGATACATTTCATTCATAAATCTATCAAAGAGTGACATCACTTATGAATATTCATGAGCTTTCAGCAATCCTGTCAAAAAAACCCACAGATTTCAAATTTTACTGTGGTTTTTGTGCAGATTTGCAAATGTTTAAAGCGGTTTTACTGGTAAATAGTGATTCATTGCTCAGATTGTATCGGCATGAGTGATCAATATCGTTGACGGCACCAAAACAACTCAAGGCATCTGCATGCGCATTCAGGATGACTAAACGCTGCACAATGCTCATTAGGAGAAACCTCCCGTCGTAAGGACGCCACAATTTCTTCCTCATGAGTGATTAATTTAGTGATTTCAAGGAGTGAATCATTCAGAGGAGATTGCCATGGAAATTAGCATCCTCTTTTTTTGTGTGTGGCTAAGCACTTGTTCAGTGCTTGTAATACTTATAAATGCATAAATTCACATGTGTTGGTTCTTTTATTTTAAATGTTGTGGATCTGAAAAAAAAGACTGAAAATATACTTCCAATCATAATGACACGTTTTCACAGTCCCGGAGATTATGAATGGGTTGTTCACAAATGAATGGAAATGCAGGAAAAATAATATTATGCTTTGGCCTTGGGCAAAATGTTGCACACGAACGAAAGGATGTTTATCTAAAGGCATGCAAGATGAATTTTATGGAAAGAAACTACAGATTTTATATACAACTTACAAGCACATATGCAACCAACTCACATAATTGTTTTGGTTATTTCACCTGAGTATACTGGCAAAATAATCGAGTCACAATAAGTCCCACTTTGGTGCAAACTGCTAAATAACCGACAAAAACATACATGCATACATGTACGTAACTACAAAAGGCAGCATTGTTCATGAACAATTGACTTTCCTTAGAAAGTTCTGCATTCAATAGGGAACGTTGAACAATAGAGGACAATAGGGTCCCCAATTCCTGAAGGTCCCCAATTTACGATCGTGCACAAAACATACGGGAGGTCTTCCTAAAAAGTTAAAGAACAAACACAAGAGGGACATGCAGACTGAAATTTGTATCCTTGTGGAGACATTTTTTTGTTCTCGTGTACTAGAGTTTGAAAGTACAGTTTCAAAATGCTCTTATTTTAACCAGAATTAATTTCCTTGGCTGAAATTCGGACTTAATAATAATATCCCTTTTCTAAAACTCTACCATTTGCGACAGATCAACATACATTGGGACCTTGGAAATTCCTACTTTTTGAGTAAAATCCATATGTCTACCGGTATTTCCCCTGTGGAGACGTATTCAATCTTTTGTTCCTTATTGTGTGCATGTCTCCAGAGGGCACGGTGTACTATCAGATCAATAGGGGTCCCCATTGCAGGCAAATACCGGCACACACTTGTGTGTACATATGTACAATGTATGATGTTGTACATGTACAATGTACATGTATGTACTTACAATTTGCAGCATGAATGTTCACTTGAATTCTCGGAAAGAACTGAATAAAGCAGAGATTAAATGAGCACCCAATGCTAAGTTGAGACACTACCGGTATGAGAAATATATATATTTACATGTGTAGCACATTTCAGGAAGTTATTCAATGCATCTACCGGTATAGGCCAGCACTGTTGAGTATTTCACAATACTGAGAAGCTTAAAGAAGGGGATTCCCCAAATATGACCCTGAGCTGCATGTCAATTTGAGACTATGGGTAATTTCCTTATATCTACTGCACATGTACACGTGTACATAGTGTGCAATGAAGGAAATACTGTGGAGCATTGCATCCTGGGCTGGCTTGCGCTTCGAGCAGGGATTTTGTGCAGTGCAAACTGTTTCACAATGCAGCTTTATGTACATTCACTGCAGTGCACACTTTCACTTTTGGTCTGGTGGCTATCCATATTCCAAAAAAGGAACATTACATGTTCCTGTCAGTTTTGTCTACTACACAACTTACACAATAACTGTACACTACAGGGTGGTTAAAAAAAAAAGGACACCCACATTTGACAGCAATTTTCACCTATTTTTAAAAATTATTTTCAACTGTCGATTAGTAGCTATTAAAGTCCTGGCCTTTAAGCAAATGTGACGAAAAAAATCGTTGCATTTGCACATTTTGTCGTTGAGCTATGCTAATTTGAATATTTCATGTGCGAAACTAATGTTTGTCCACGGAGGCGTACATGTACTCTCAACACAAAATGCACCAATGCATGCTTGACCATTATCATTTGAAAAAACGCGCTGACAATGAAGCCCATCTTCACATTTGATTGTTATGTTATGTAATGTTATGGAACAATGAACTTAAGTGGACAGCTCATTGAGTAGATGATCTTAACACTGACATGAATAATTGGACAGCTTCAATAAAAGTTACCAGGGCAAAATATATTTTGGTGGGAAAGTTTTTAAATTTTTATGAACTACTAAAACGTCCAATTTACATAGAATAACCCGTGGACAAGACTGATTTTGGTGACTTGTATTCAAATTAGCATAATATCACTATTTTTGCGACTTTTACTAAGCTTTTTTCACCATACATGGTTAAAGACCTATACTTCACTACTATGTGAACAAACATTTAAAATAAGTTCATTAAGTAGGTGAAAATTGCTGTCAAAAGTGGGTGTCCTTTTTTTTTACCCACCATATATAACATGTACAATACAGCATGCATGTTAGCCTTTCGTCAAGGCCATCGTGGCTTAACTTGCCGGCATTAGACAAAGCGGCGAAAACGCGAAGCGACTGGAGTGGGAGACCACACACATGACACAAGCGAGTGGCGTAGCTTTGCCACTCGTACGTGCTACGCCACTCGCTTGTGTGGTCTCCCGCTCCAGTCGCTTTGCGTTTTCGCCGCTTTGTCTAATGCCGGCAAGTTAAGCCACGATGGCCTTGACGAAAGGCTACATGCATGTGTACATCAGTTTCCTTATTAGTTTGCATGAACTGCAAACTTTTATATTTTACAGGAGCAATAAATAATACAATTATTACAATGGTCTTGAGTTTTTCATAAAGTACTACCCATTATAAACATGTGTATTTTTGCTCAATTGACAATCAGCAAACGCATAATTAGAAAATAAACTTGCTGGTACCGATATACATGTAATGTATGTACATATGTAGGCCTTCACATAGGACTGAATTCAACCATGATTCAACTAATGGCATGTAGTTTATTGACAATAGAAAGCTGGCACTATTAAAGGGAATGTACATCATTTGCTATTGCTGTAATTTTCAGAAATGGGTGGAATTGGTGGGTTGGAAATATATAGCAAATATAGTTACACTGACTTTTTTCAGGTTTTGGGTTCGAAAATGCTATAAAAACCAAGAAAACAATCATTTTCCTGTAGTCTGGTTCCCTGACTCCATATAAGAAGAAACAGAGCACTTTACATACATTGGGGAATTGTAAGGTCAGGGCACCAGTGTAGCTGGCTTGTACCCGTTCATAGGTGTGTAATCGATTGCAAACAAGTGCGATGGTCAATTGGGGCCAATATTTGAAAAAAAGCCAGTTTTTTTCCAACGCTGGTCGGCCGACCAGCGTTGGAAATTGATACAAAAATACCACTTTTCGTGAAAATGATTTTACAGGATGCTTTACACTGTCATTCACTAACAGTCCAGCAAGGTATTTGAAAATGATTTGGTAGTTTTATTTTTTGATGTTTGCAAATTGTTGTATTTTCCCTTTAATGGGGGGGGGGGGGAGAAACAGGTGCATGCTATACCACGGGTGGTATTTTTGCTGATCCCAGAGGGCTAGCCTATTGTTCCTTTGTACCTACTGGAAAAAATGGACTGAGAGACTGACTGTCACTTGCAAGGGCGTCAAATCGTCAATCGCTTCTCAAAAGTGGGGGATATACATTGTACCTTGATCAGCACCAATGCGAGCACGAAGCGCAAAGCCCTACGTCGTGGGCCTTTATAATTTTGGATTCCAGACTCCATGTGGTGCGATCCAGAGCAATTTTTGACCACTTAAACCAATTTTGGTGAGCAAAAGATCATCATTAAGACATTATTTTCGAGTTTGGAGTCTTTGAATCAGCTATTCTGAGCTTACGTTGGCTACAATTTCTATTCGGGGATGAAAAAAAGTGGGAGGAAGGGACAAATGATATATCTCCCCATCTCCCCACTTTAAAAAGTGGTCACTTGTGACTTTAAAAGGGCCATGCAATGTCATTTTTTTTTATTAATGCAATCCTTTAAAACACACCTTTGTGTCCCATTTAAGCCTATTTTCAATTTTCTGTTTTGCCATTTTCAAGGGTATTTTGGTGCCTTTATTGTTGTGACTTCGTAATTCATGTAATTGGGAGACGGGAATCAGACCTATTGCAATGTTGGACTTTTACTTCCCTTTAAAAATAAAAATCATAATTCAGAGCCAGAATCAGACAAAAAGATTAATTTATGAAATATGTTGTAATCAACTGTATGGGATTCGTTTTAGAAAACTTGTAGTTGTACCTTAAGGCGAACGAAACAAAAAATTAAATTTCGTGCATGGTCGCGTTTCAAACTTGGGTCACCGGGTCCACAGTTCAACACCTTACCAGTTCGCTCGGTTATCCAGACGCTGTATCACAATTTAATACTAGGTTATCGCGGTACATATTTATTAATATATATTTATTAAGTTCATGAGTTAGATTTATCACGGAGGAATGGAAGAAAATTAAAAAATATAAAGTAATAATGACATGACAATAATAGGCCTAGGCCTAGGCTACATTAACATTAAAATAACAATGCAAAATATTTTGCATGAAGTTGAACTTGAAATCATTATTCAATGATTCATGTTAGACTTAGAGATTCATGTTCAATACAAAATGTTAATTATTTAGAATATCTTCCAAAGCCAGCACAACATTTCAATACTCACCAAACTCTTCTTGACTGAGTCTTCACACAAAATAAACCTTCAAAAAGCCAGGAACGTGGTTCAGTTTTGATCCTAAATTCAATATATTTTACTTTTTAGCCATGATTTAACCAGAATTAATGAACATCTGTTGACTATGTGTAGCGCCCTCTGTCGACCCATTTCGGAAAGGTGGAACAACAAATCGACGTCATTAATTGGTCTGAAATCCCGTCCGGAAGTACGAGAAAAAAGATGCAACTCCTCGATAAGTGCCAGACTATATTTATCCAGGCATGTCACACGTGTCACCTTTGCCTAATTTGCAAGTGAATACGTGTGCCAATGCGCGTTCGAAGTTCACGACACGAGAGCCGAGAAAACGAACCTTTCGCCTAACTGCTGCTTCAGATCTGCTAAAAAGTTTGGCAAAATCGGGGCGACAGCATCTAGATTTCCTTCCACAGCTTGCAATCACATGCAGAGATGGCCAAGTCAGGACAGGAAGCTAGGCAGAGGAAGACAGCCAGCAAAAACGGCTCGAAATCCAAGGCGAACACGAAAGGTGAGACCATGGGCATGGAGGAATAAGAACACACTGTTCACTTGTCTTGTGCGGTAACTGATATTTCCCCGTGAATTTATTGGAGATCAATCAAAAGTTAAAACGGAAGTAGGCCTACAGTGTTCGTATTGTACTTAGGCCTACTTACTTCAACAGAAAGATTCCCAAATCTGACCATCACTTGTCACTTGTCACCCTGGTCCCTGTGCACAAACCCTATGATGAGACTGGTCTGAAAATTTCTTTCTCGCTACTTCAATATTTTCTCAGCTAATTTTGACTTTTTAGGACTTATCGCTTTCTGATGGCAGATAGGTCACTGAAGTGAATGGAAAAATTAGTTTTGGCAAGATATGGGAATCTTTCCACTTCAACTTGTCTGTATTGTCATTGCACACAATTGTTTGGGATTTTTTTTTCTGGTATATTTTACTTGTTTTTGAAGAAAAAAAATGTATTTTTCTTTGATATTCTTATTAATTCAGGGTGTGGAACTTGAATGTGCTCATCAAATGAGGACTAGATATTCGTCACAAAAAATACATTGCTTTGGCTTTTGAGGTCTTAATCAAAATTCAAAATATCTGTTTGTAATGCTGAAATTGATATGAAATACAAGTGATTGCGCCTAAAATAAAAAAATCACAGATGTTGATATGAGTAAGGTATGGTGTATCATTTAGCCCATGGCCATGTTCTACATGTATGTTTTAAAATGTCATGAATGTATATTTTGTTAATTTAAATTTATTGACAATTATTGAAGAGTGTCATGAGTGTACTGTAAAGTGTTAACCATGGTGTTTATTCACTGTTTATGTTATGACAAATATATTTGTCCGTCAAAAAAAGCTTGTTCCTTTTTAATATTCATCAACCGAAACAATTGATTAGAAAAGTAAATTATACACAAGGAGAAGTTTTAATGAGGTACTTATTAGATGTTGGCATGGTCAGATGGGTCCGTGAAAAAAAAATGGAATGGAAAAGTTGAATATAAGTCCAAACTTCCTTCATTGAAAATGAGAATTTTATTTCCCCTCAGATGTTAACAAGAACGTGAAAGGTTCCAGCAAAGCGAAGTCGAGTTCTTCCGGCCTTTGCTTCAAGGTTGTCATAGTTACTCTGGTCGCTGCAGCTGCACTGGCTGCTCTGATTGGCCTGAGGGTCATCAAAATTGAACAACTACCCGGTAAGCTTAGGGGCTAACTTGTGCGAGCATTAGTTTCTTTTAGGACCCTCCATGTTTTCAAACTCACTAAAGTAACAGCTGGCGAAGGCCAGATTTTTCTTTCTGATCTAATCAGCCATGCAACTTTTCCTTGGATCTGCTGATTTCCTCGTTTTTTAACTTCTCGTGAATGTCATTACAAATTGAAAAACACTGTACAAAGTCTCGTGTGGTAAGGCATTTCCTCGTTTTTTTTTCTAAATTTCCAGTTGCATGACTGTTTAATGGCTCTGGAGGATTTCTTTTTGAAAGAAAGTAAATCTGAGAACCATGCGGTCGACTTCCATAAAAATAGCAATGGCTTAAAAAAAATTAGAGGGGTCAGGCTAAAAGTACATTTTTAGCTGATAAATGTTTACTGAGAATCTCTATAAAATTTAAGCCTGTTGGCATGAAACTTTAAGTACCCTAACTCCCTAGGGTGATTTACTAGGAACCTTCCTCGTCCTTGCAAATCCCAACACCATATGATAAACTGTGCACATAAACAGTTGGACTCTGTTTATTTGTGGTATGCCTAATCCCACGTAAAGCACAGTCAGTTTACTAGTGCAGTACTCATCCTATCAGATTCCAACAAGCCTTGGTGTTGGAGTTTGGCTGGGTGGGGATCGTTGGGGTTAACAGACATCATTTCTTCCAGATACATCTTCTTGCCATCTCTCTTGGGGTTTGTCACCTTCTTTGGTGTTCTCCCTTTTGATCCTCCATTGTTCCCCTTGCCTTGTTCCTTCTCTTCACACCTCACCCCCCTTTGTTCTCTACTTTCTCCTTTTATCCTGCCACCTTAAACCCAATTTTCCCTTCCTTTGTCCTTTCCTGATGTCCTTTCCATTCATCCTTTTTCTGTTTCTTGCTTGTTTATTACTGTTCTCAAGTGCCTTTATAAAAGATTCCACCATGACTGAAAAATCAGACCTTTTAATTTAAACAATAACAAAAATAGTACATATCATGTATGCACGTGTACTTTTAAGTCTAGACTTATTCAAGTGAAGCATACGTAAATTATCTACCTGTTCAAAATTGCCTGGTTGAAATATATTGTAAATCACTGTTTTATTGACAGATTGTGTGTAGATCTGTCACAAACACCTGATGATTGTGGTGTTTACAAAGTCTGAATTATTGCATTTGTCAAATAGTGCTGGTTAATGTGTAACGTCCTGTGAGTAATAGCAACTCCAATTGATAGAAAAAAAATAATTCAACTAGTATTAATTACGTGTATTTACTTGAATAGTTATTGCATGGTATTGCAGATATTGATATGTATTTGCAGTACCAGCTAGTAGTGTTGTGACTGTTGTCTAGCTAACAGCCAATGTACATTCTTCTTAAGCCGTGTCCGCACTGGACTTTTTTTTTGGAAGGTTTTACCGAGACGATGGTAAAATGAAAAATGGTCAAATGTGACCACTGTCCGCACTTGGACTTTCGACACGGGAAATTTTACCCCGACCGCGTGGGAGAAGTAACCGAGCTGTCACAGTGTCAGTATAATGACTCACCGTACGCAGAAAACAAATTGCCGATCACATTTTCAGCCACCGATACGCTCAGTAATATTACACACGCCATTTGCATGCATAACATAATCGTTTACGCGATATTATTTCATCTTGACACGCTAAATCTTGACGAAAGGGCCTATAATTCTGACGCATTTGTGATGCACGTCGTCGAAGCCATGCCGCTGTACGATGTTCCGTGCGGCAGCAGTGCCATCAGTATTCGTTGGTTCCCATCGCATGCTTACAGAATCAAAGCTATGATGTGGGCCAGGAACCAATGACTACGGCCTACGTACGGTACCGGACCATGATGTTCCGTGCATGACTACAGTAGCGTATCAGGACGAATTTGGATCGTAGAAAATAACATACATCGGTGGAGAAAGAGAATTTCCGCAAATTAATTCTCAGAATGTGATCTCTCTTCTCTGTGAATGTATTTGTCCGTTGAAATATATATTTTAACGAGATTTTACCGCTCGGACTTGATAATACACCGCAGCGTGTTTCTACAAAATGTTCGGCCACTGCACGTGCAGGTTCGTGCGGTCTCTGTATGCATAACAGGGCGCTCGGGCCGGATGTACGCTTTCCTGAGCCGCTTTTACCGACTCGCACTGTCCGCACTGGACTAATCGTCTCGGGAAAAGCGACTCGGTCAGTTTTCCTGGGCGCGTGGGAAGTTTTCCTGGGCAGCAGTTGGCCAGTAAAAGTAACCGCTGGACTCAGGAAAAGTAACTGAGAGGAAAACGTCCTAGGCTGTCCGCACTGGACTTAAAATGGGAAAAGTACCCATAGTCTCGGTTAGTTTGACCAAAAAAAGTCCAGTGCGGACAGGGCTTTAGATTGCTTAGTTAAAGATATAGTCCATCATTTGTAATTTGTGCATTTTGTTCGTTTGAAGCAACAAAAGTGTTCAAAATCTAATGAAGGATACTGAACAACTAGCCGCATGAAGTTTCAGCTCAGCTTCAGCTGTATATTCCGAGAAAAACAGCATTCTACGATCTCAATTTCAAATCAAAAGTTGCTGAATCATGTTTTGAATTGCGCCTCAATTCACTGAGCTGATTGCAGCTATACGCGATGTCGCGCACTGATCCGACAAATTATAGCAATCGCGCGCGCGCATGCGTCGTGCCAATGCTTGCGCACGCTTTGCCGAATAATAAAACGAACTTCTAATTTAAATTTTCCTACGGTGCGTCTTAAGACGCACCGTTGGAAAGGCCTTCTTTCATTGATTACTTCAAAATGACAGCTTGCCAGAAAGAATAATTTCACAGGGAGTTTAGTCCCCTTACTATCTTTCAACCAAGTATGTTTTTCAACAATAATTACGCCAGTTACTTTTCGGATGGCTGCAAATGATGGACTATAGCTTTAAAAGAAATTGTAGATGTTTTGAGGTAACTTAACCCTAACCGAACACAACCCATCAAAGTTCAACAGCAGGTTTGTGTTTAAATCTGTTGGGATAGGTACAGTACCCCTAAACAGATGGTCTTTTCAACTGGGGTTGGCATACCTCCAGAAACTAAGTCCAACAGTGTGTGTGTACAATTTCCCATGTGGGTGTTGGAATTTGCCTGAATGGGTATGGTTCCTAGTAAATTAGGCTGGGGAGTTAGGGTTAATGAAAAACGGTATGAAGTATAAATTGTCAAAAAGAAGCACATGGATGCAAAGCTATTTTGTCCAACAAAAAAGTTCTTCCGTAATTTCCTTGGCAACTTGTATTCACAATACCTGAGTCATAGAACGAAATGCTCTGTCGTAGATAAATGTTGAAAAAGCTTCCATGCAACATGTTTGTTTTCCTTATCAGGTGTATATTGTTGCCAAACATGATGTTTATTTTTTTGCACCTTTACAAATCTGGACATTGGTGGGTGCACATGTATACTGTACAAGTACCTAGGCACGTACTAAATCCTTGGCTAGTTTATCAGGATTTTTTTCTTTTTGAGGTACATGTAGGTGTTAATTGGGATCTGCAGCTGATAACCCGATGTTTATCTTATGATAATTCACAAAACAGTTGTGTACTGGGAGATTTAAAAGCTTAGTGTGGTCATATGCTGTGGTTTAATTTCTTTCCCATAACTTGAGGAGATATCCTTCTGGTTTGTTTGATATCTTTCAAGAAAGACATCGAAAAAAGGTTTTACAGCATTGTAGATAAAAAGTAACAAAGCCGGAATATTTTCACAAACACTAAGTCCAGAGTAATGCATGGTCTTGTTCTTGTGTTATTTTTTCAGTTTCAAATACCAGTCCAGATTTTAAAGGCATTTGTTTTTCTTAATTTGACATCAAAGGGGCCCTGTTCCTCTTGAATTTTACTACATTTCTGAAGACTCACTTTTGATTTGCGCTAAGCTTTTTTCATTAACGCTAACTTTCTAAGCATTTTTACTAGGATGCAACCTCAATCCTGCAAAATTCTCCAATTGCCTCCATGTAAAAATAGCATGCAACCGCAATCCTGCAAAATCCTTCGTTGTTTCTTGAATGTGGTCCTTGGAGGGGTGACCACTGCGTCACAATCCTGTAAACTCCTCCAGCAATCATTGTCAGTATGTTGAGGCAGAGCCAGTGACATCCTGGAGCAGTGCGGAGGATTTCAAGTAAAATGTACAATGTAGGCCTAAATTTGTGCGCGACTGAGCATAAACAACACAAGGTCCGGCGTAAGACCTTGACACAGTGCTTCCTCTGAAGTCAGCCAAATACTTTTGCCATGTAGCCTCAATCCTGCGAAATGCTCCATTTTGCAAAGAGGACTTTGGAGGATTTGGGAAAGTTAGGGTGAAACAAGCACAGTAAACTAGAAATGAAATATTTCTTTGTTTTTATTTGCACAGGAGGCGACAAGTTGTCACTTTTCAAGAAATCTGAAGAGACAGTCCCTCCTCAACCTGAGCCCCAAACTGCTGACAAAGGTGAGGAAACATCCTGTCACCTTTTCTTGACATTTTTCTAAAACCAACATGAATTGGTTCATTTTAAAAAAAAGAATTCCATAAGCTTAGGGGTCTGTAGATTCATAGTGATTTTTGCGTAATGTTGGATGGGACGACCCACTCCGAGATGACCATTTTCTGTTCGGCAAAGTTTTGAGTAAGTAGTTTTACCCTCCTAATCTTCTGCACTTACAACCCTTCAAATTTCTGCAGAACCGCTTTTGCCCGTAGACTTAGCACCCACACTTCCAATTCCTGTTAAGTAAAGACCACCGCACACCTTTCCGATTTTACCAAATCATCAGTCCATCGGATGTACAGATCGGAGAAGTGTGCGGGCAGTCACACGATTCAAACTTTTCGAACCCCCCCCCCCTCCCATTTCAGGTCTTAAGAACTTATTCATTTGGTACCTGCACAGTGGTGGATTTTATGATCTAAACTTTGCATTCCTTTCTGAAAGGTGCTGAAGATAAAGAATTAAGGAAAGAAGCACCTAAGAAAGAAGAACCCAAGAAGGAGACACCCAAGAAAGAAGCACCCAAGAAAGAAGAGCCCAAGAAGGAAGCACCCAAGAAAGAAGAGCCCAAGAAGGAAGCACCCAAGAAAGAAGAACCCAAGAAGGAAGCACCAAAAAAAGAAGAACCCAAGAAAGAGGAACCCAAGAAGGAGACACTCAAGAAGGAAACACCCAAGAAAGAAGAACCCAAGAAGGAAGCACCCAAGAAGGAAGAACCTAAGAAGGAAGCACCCAAAACAGAGGAACCCAAGAAGGAAGCACCCAAGAAAGAGGAACCCAAGAAGGAAGCACCCAAGAAGGAAGAACCCAAGAAGGAAGCACCCAAGACAGAGGAACCCAAAAAGGAAGAACTCAAGAAAGAGGAACCCAAGAAGGAAGCACCCAAGACAGAGGAACCCAAAAAGGAAGCACCCAAGAAAGAGGAACCCAAGAAGGAAGCACCCAAGAAGGAAGAACCCAAGAAGGAAGCACCCAAGACAGAGGAACCCAAAAAGGAAGCACCCAAGATAGAGGAACCCAAGAAGGAAGCACCCAAGACAGAGGAACCCAAAAAGGAAGCACCCAAGAAAGAGGAACCCAAGAAGGAAGCACCCAAGAAAGAAGAACAAAAGAAGGAAGCACCCAAGACAGAGGAACCCAAGAAGGAAGCACCCAAGACAGAGGAACCCAAAAAGGAAGCACCCAAGAAGGAAGCACCCAAGAAAGAAGAACAAAAGAAGGAAGCACCCAAGACAGAGGAACCCAAGAAGGAAGCACCCAAGAAAGAAGAACCCAAGAAAGAAGCACTTAAGATAGAAGAACCTAAGAAGGAAGCACCCAAGACAGAGGAATCCAAGAAGGAAGCACCCAAGACACAGGAGCCCAATAAGGAAGCACCCAAGAAAGAAGCACCCAAGCAAGAAGCGCCCAAGAAGGAAGTGCCCAAGAAGGAAGCACCCAAAAAAAACGAACCTAACAAGGAAACACTTAAGAAAGAAGAACCTCTAAAGAAAGAAGAACCTAAGAAAGAAGTACCGAAACAGGAGGTACCCATGAAAGAAGAACCACCCAAACAGGAAGTTCCCAAGAAAGACGAACCTAAGAAGGAAGCACCTAAGAAAGAAGAACCTCTGAAAGAAACACCACAGGAAAAAACACCCAAACAGGAAGTACCCAAGAAAGAAGAACATACAAAGGAAGCACCCAAGAAAGACGCACCTAAAACAGAAGCACCCAAACAAGAAACACCTAAGACGGGGGCACCCAATCAGGAAGAACCTAAGAAAGAAGCACCCAAACAAGAAACACCTAAGACAAAGGCACCCAAAACAGAAGCACCTAATAAAGAAGCACCCAAACAAGAAGCACCTAAGAAAGAAGCACCAAAACAAGAAGCACCTAAGAAAGAGGCACCAAAACAAGAAGCATCTAAGACAGAAGTACCAAAACAAGAAGCACCCAAGAAAGAAGAGCCAAAACAGTCACAAAAGAAAGAAGAGCCAAAACAAGAGTTACCCAAGACAGAAGAACCAAAGAAGGTAGAACCGAAACAAGAATCACCCAAAAAAGAAGCATCTAAGAAAGATGTGCCCCAAAAAGAAGAGTCCAAGAAAAATGAACCTCAGAAAGACGTACCTCAGAAAGACGTACCTCAGAAAGAAGCACTCAAAAAAGAAGAACCAAAACAAGAAACTGTCCGGAAGGAAGAACCCAAGAAGGAAGTACCAAAGAAAATAGAACCCACACAAGAAACACCAGTAAAAGAAGTGCCAAAGAAAGAGGAACCCAAGAAAGAAGAACCTAAGCTAGGAGAACCTGCAAAAGATGAGCCTAAACAAGAAACACCGAAGAAAGAAGAGTCCAAAAAAGAAGAGGTCAAGCCAGAAGCAACCCCTAAACCAGAAGCAAAGAAGGAAAAGGCTTCAAAGCTTGAGCCACCAAAAGTAGATCTTAAAAAGGAAGAGCCTACAAAAGAAGCATCCGAACAGGAACAGACACAAGAAAAAACTGAGACAACCGAGTCAGATGACACTGAATCTGAAGACACCTTCACTGCCGCTGACCTCAGAATAGTAGCAGAACTTCAAGAGGCTGAAGATTTGCTTGAGAAGGTCGGTGATCATATCATTTTCTTTTAAGTGGTTAATTTTGTATCAGTTAATTGTCCGAAATAGGAGGAGTATTGCCTAGCCTAGTGGTTAGGGTTTGTGGCTCATGATCAGAGGGTCAGGGGTTTGAATCCAGCTGCTGGCCATATGCTGTGTCCTTGAGCAAGCCACTTCACCCCTACTTGCCTCTCTACACCCACAAGTAAAAATGGTTACTGGCCTTAGCTGGGGATTAATCTGCGATAGACTTGCATCCCATCCAGGGGAAATAAATATATTCTCAGTCGTTTTATACCAAGGAAATGGAGATAAATGCTGGCCTGATGGGCATATTTGCTTTTGAAAGACTTTACTTTTTTTTTCGCCTGAATCGACTGATGCTTACATTGCCCTTATAGAGTTGCTAATCTTTTCCTTTCTCTTGCAGAATGAAGTTCAGAAGGCTCTCCGAAGGTTTGAGAAGCTTCTTGAGAACCACGCAGAGAGCCCCCGTGCCCGGTATGGCAGAGCCAGGGCACTGGATATGCTGTCAGAAGAGCGGCGCAGCAATGAGATTCTGAATGCGTAAGTCATGGACTGAGCACCCCTTTTCAAGCCTTTCTAACCCTTTTGCAATCCCTACCAATCCTTAATGCCCAAAACAATATGTGGATTTGGTTTTTATAGGGGCCGATCGTGTGACATCAAAATACCACTTGACACTTCGGTTTCCTTATGATCGGCCACCATTGCAGTAGGCAAGCATTTGATTAGCAACCGCGTTGTGCGCTGTAAACCAAACAGCAGGGCTTATATTCAGATAAATAACCGCAAACTTCATCTGTAGTTGTTGGGCTGTATAAATTCCTCAAGAACATCCAGTTTCACTTTGAAGGCTCTAGGATGGAAATGCTACAACAAAAACATATTATTTCAATTGTACTTTCTGGTTTTTCCCCCCAAATCCAGGGCTACTATTGCATATGGTGAGGTCAGCACTGCACCAAACTGTCCTCCGATCCTGAAGAAACTTGCCTGGGCCCGTCAGGCAAACCGGCTCACATTCCTTGGTAAATAAATCGGTAACTGTTATTTCACACTTTAACGTAAAGTTTTTGTGAGCATGATTTTTTTGCATCTGGACAGGTGCTGAACCGAAGTTGTAATCGAGTTCAGCCACAAGTCTTCACAAGTCGATAACACGTCATCCGGGCTCATGTCAAGTCACAAATATGAACTGTGTCAAAGGCATTCCTTGTCATGATGGCACGTGTGGTCTTGCGGTGGAGCACAAGATTCATGATCGTGAGGTTGGGGGTTCGAGCCCTGCCGTGGCCATGCGTGTTGTGCCCTTGAGTAAGGCGCTTTACCTCAATTACTCCTCTCAGCCCAGGTGTTAAATGGGTACTGGCATTATTCAATGCTGGGAAGGTAACAGACTCGCTGAGGAGGAGGTGTGGCGATCCCCCATTGCAGCATATGAGTCTGGCCCAGTTGCTAACGAAAGAGAGATGGGCACTCCGTTCCTGTTAACACAGGTTCGTCCCCTTCACCTTTACTTTGTCATTGTTTGTGCCTGGTACTTTGGTTTGGACTTGTGAGCAACTAGATTGACCAGTCCTAAGGTAAGACATTCTTGAAAGATTGTATGTTCATTTTTCGACAGGCAAGGCTTTGCAAGCTGCTCGCGTTCTGCAAGAAGCCACCATCCAGTTGCCCGCGGACGTCCAACTTAAGAAAGACCTAGGTGTGGCACTCCTCATCGCCGGGAAGAACATCCGCGCTAAGCCCATATTCCAAGAGGTATGTTGAAAAAAATTTGATACCAGGGCAAATTTCATGGAGTTACTAAGGAGAAATTAATTTTTGCTAGGCACACAAAATACTCAAAATGCTTAGCAGAAACCGGTTACCAGCCAAGATGGCATGTGATGTATATTGCTTGTTGACTGGTACTCGGCTAATATTTGTTTAGCAAATATATTTGCTAACCATTAAGTTTTGCTTTGAGCCATGAAATCGGTCACTCATGTGATCTGAATATTTCATTAATCTTAAAAAATTGCCACGAAAAAAGGCATACATTCCATAGTGTGATTTTAATTAAGTAACTGTGTGTGTTATTGTTTATATTGCTCCATTTTCAGTGTTCAGTTTTTTTTTTTTTTTTTAGATTAGATTTGTATGTTATATAATGTGAATCAACATGGCATTGCTCATTATTGAATTTTATTTTTAAAATACATGTAAGAATTTGAAATTTTGAATCTAGCAACATTTTTATGGAGAACTAGTGATCCAAAAATGGTTCGAGCAAGCAGAATTGGAGCTTGTATCATGTTCTTTTCAATCAACAACAAGTGTAAATTTTTAAGATGCTTCATTCCAAAGACTTAAATTTTTTAGGACTTTTGATACTTTGTATGTTATGACCAATGTTCGTCTTTTTTTTTGCCCCTCCCTTCCACAGGTCTTAAAGCTCAGCCCCTCCGACGGATTTGCCCAGGTCCACATGGGCTTCATACTGAAGGCAGAAAACAACTTCCATGAGGCCATTCCATTGCTGAGAGAGGGGATAGCATCAGGCGAGGACGGCACCAACGAGGGGAAATACTACGTGCACCTTGGGGATGCCTTGTTCAGAGTGGGACAAGCGGAAGAAGTATGAAACTTGTTTGCCGTTGTATCAAACTGGAGATTTGCTTACATTATTTTTTTAATTGGCGAACCACCAACATTGGTCTGGTAGCTCAGTTGGTGGAGCACCGGAACGCCAATCCTGATGTCACAGGTTCAAACCCCACTCCAGTTAATTTTTTTATTTTTCTACTTTGATTGAATTATTTTGAAATAAAATTGCCAAAAGTAAAATTGCAGAATCGTTTTTGTGACAGGGTGCATCAAAATTGTGAAAGAAAAGTTATGGAAACGATATTAATGTAAAAAATTAAGGAAGTGATGTTTACACATTTAAAGAAAAAGGAAACTTTTGTTTTTCTAAATTGTACACAAATTATTGTGTTAAATTGTCCATGCCCTTTGTATGAGTGACTCACACATACTGGATCAAGCAGCAACTTTCTCAAGTTTCTGCTAAATATTCTTGGCTGTTGCGACTTGAAGGTCTTGCCAGTTGTTCGAATTCGCAAATGGTTTTATTTTTTTTTCTATCGAATCAAGGCCTACCAAATATACGACCAAGGAGCCAAGAAGGGACATTTCACCTCGCGCTACCAGCGATCCATCTACAACGTGGACAAGCTGGCAGCTAGGCCATGGTGGACCAACGAACAGGCCAAATACACTGAGGCTGCCAAGGTAAGGCAGCCCATTACACCCACTACAGAGGCTGTATTTACACAATGTCTTGCACATGAGCCCCCTTGACATTATAATAATAGTACCGGAGTCTCATATAGCGCACGTATCTACCAACAATTAGGTACTCAAGGCGCTGGAAATTATGTCTATTATTAAAGACAGGTAAAATTAAGTTTATGAGAGATATGAGACCCATTATGTAGCACCTAATAAGGGCTTACAAGGTGCTGCGGCGCATATTGCAGCCACTGCCAGAAACATCGGGGCAAACCCCTTCTCTTTGCGATAAGTGTTACTGGGTTCTTTAACGTGCATTAGACAACACACGGGACCTACAGCTTTACGTTCCATCCGAAGGACGAAGCAATAATGGTAAAGTGCCTTGCTCAAGGGCACAAGCACCATGTTCCCATGGTCAGGATTCGAACCCATGTACCACGGCACACGAGTCGAACACCATAACCATTGGACCACAGCCCCCAACATAAATGCCTGTACTGTTGTAAGCCCCCAAAAAATTGTTATGCTGCCCTCGAATGAAAAAATATCAGGGTCAGTCAGTATGGCATTTTGTTTTAAATCTATATGTAGAAATTGGAGGATAACTGGGAGACGATTCGAGACGAAGGTCTGGCTCTCTTGGACAAGGAGACGGAAACGTTTTCTCCAGAAGATGAGAATCTACGGAGTACCGGAGACTGGAAACAGTTCACAATGTTCCAACAGGGTAAGGCCGATGTTCTTAAGCTCTGTGTGTTGATTTTGTTCTCCTTTGCCAAGTTTGCAAGATTCTCGAAGAAATCCGTCTCGCAGTTTAGAAAGTTGGTTTTATTTTACACTAGACATCAAAATTCTTAATTTCGCATTCTCTTCTGTCCTTCCCTATTATTTTGTCTCCATTCTCGGATCGTGTTTATGACATGCTTTTTTTCCCTTGTTTTTCTCCGTTTATTTCTATATTCAGGTCGCAAGGTGGAACCCAACTGCAAGAAAACGCCAAAGACTTGTGCAATAATTGAGACCATTACTCAGTCGAGCGGCTGCAAAAGAGGCCAGGTATTATTTTATTTATTTCTGGTAATGAAACCAAGGATTCCTCAAAAGTGCCCTAGGCACTGTAGCTCACAAGTTTCTGAAGAAACCTGTGGAGAGAAGACAGTGAGAAGAAATTACAGTTTTAGAGGTGGGAGGAAAAGCCCAGAGGAATATTCTGAGGAAAACGCACGGAATCAGGCAGGGACTGAAAACCCAATCCACATATTGGTTCAGGCGGGATTCGAACCTGGGTCACAGCGGTGGAAGGCGAGAAAAGTATCGCTACGCCAACCTAACTCTTCGCCAACCTGTAGTTATCTAAAGAAAAGGATAGAAGAAAAAAAATTATTTGTGCAAGTGTACAGCCAAATACGGAAAATGGAGTTTTCAGTAAAATTGAGCTTACTGTTCGAAATGTTCGCAGTGCAGCAAACCAAAGTTTAAGAATTCATTATTAGATCTCAAAATTCAGTTGTTTTCAGATCCATTTGTCAATAATTTTTTGTTCTTTCGTAGGTGAAGTATTCGGTAATGCACCCAGGCACTCACGTCTGGCCCCACTGCGGTCCGACCAACGCCCGGTTACGTGCCCATCTGGGTCTTCTCATTCCAGAGGGGGTTAGGATACGAGTCGCCAATGAAACAAGGTCAGTTTTGCCATGAATATGGTTTTGCCATGTGTGTGTGGCCCACTTGTTGTCATGTATTCGTCTGCTGTGAAAATTGATTAACCCTTACCACCCCAACTCCATCAAAATCCATCCCCCATTTTTGGTGGATTTTGGGGGACTTGGTCCAGAAGGCCTGGCGTGACTAAATATTGATGGAGTATGATGGACTTGGGCCTAATGGCCTGAAGCAGTGCTAGGGGTATCCGATTGATTTTGCCTAGCTTCCTGTACTGCTATTGGGATAAAAGCCATGTGTAGCAAGTCCATGAATGTCAACCAGTGCATCAGTGGTGGATTCCATTATGTCATGTACAGTTTTGTATTGGATGCACAGTGATTGATGGATTTTGATTGGACTTGGTCCAGTTGCCAGTAAAAAACCGCCCTGCCTATTACTCCCTGTTGCGCACGAAAACAACCCGAGCCCTCTATGGTCTTTATGGATTCTGCAGTGAATAAACACAATGTAATACAAGTAGTACAGGGGCCAATTTCATAGAGCTGCTTAAGCACAAAATTTGCTTAAGCACAAAAACGTCTTGCTTAATAAAATCAGGTTACCAGCGTAAAGTAAACAACAGCTAAATACCAGTCACAAGCAATGTACATCACATGGAGTTTTGGCCGGTAACCTAATTTTACTAAGCAATGTTTTTTCGTGCTTAAGCAAATTTTCTGCTTAAGCAGCTCTATGAAATTGGGCCAGGTGTTAAAGGGATAATGCCAATGGAGTACCGAAAAAGAATACGTCATGCACACAAAATGTGTGTGAAAGACATTATTAGCCCGTGATTCAGCCCCTGAACCAACATGCGCGCGTACTCCATTCGTTTGCACTACACTTTCTGGTTCTAAATGACGTCACACTTGGGTACTCCATAGTCCCTCCATAAGTTCTGATGTTAACTGTCGCTCTTTTCCTGTAGATCTTGGCAAGAGGGCCGGCTGATGATTTTCGACGACTCCTTCGAGCACGAGGTTTGGCAGGAAGCCAAGTCGGTCCGCCTCATTCTCATCGTGGACCTCTGGCATCCGGACCTGACGGAGAACCAGCGCCACACCCTGACTGCGATTTAGCAGCGCCCTCGGCTGACCAGATAGTGCCAGGTGACATAAATCCACTTCATTCAGACAAACTTCAGCTGATGAAACAACACCTAACAGCAATTCAGCATCATGTGGTAAAAGCCTTAAGCGCCCTCTATTGACCAGAAAGTGCCAGGTGACAAAAAATCCGCTTATGTCTCAAAATTCAACTTTCTCCCTGCATGGCAAAAACTTAAGATTTATTCAAGGTTGCCAAAAAAGACTTGTAGTTTAAGTTGTAGTTTACGAATTTTGGCGTTTCACTTACTGGCATGATACTAACACTACACAAGATGAATTTGCCTGCCACTGTAAAGTTTAACCCACTAGAGGGCGCTTCACAATGTGATGAGCAATGGTTGATGTCTTTTTTGTTTCTTCATTTTTGTTTTCTCCGTGTGCTGTAAGAGTCATTTGTATTTGTTTTAAGGTTTTTTTGGGGTGTTTGTCGAACAGTTTTTTAACAATTCAGTATACATTTTCCAGTATTTAGGCCCTAAAACCACAGAGGGAAACTGACAGTTTTTAATAATTTTTGAAAGTTGAACAGAAAAATTGACTGGAGCGGGTTGGAATCAGTGACCTCCAGATTGCCGTTCCGGTGCTCTACCAACTGTGCTGTCCAGCCCTATGTTTGCGGTTCCCGATTTTGTCACTGTCTTTGCTCAAGGGGCACTAGTCAGAAATCATAAACCCGCAAAATGTAGCCAGGGATCACGCCTAAAGTCACGATTTTGAGGTCACAGGTTCAAACTCCGCTCCATTCAATTTCTTTGTTCAACTTTTACAAGTTGTTCAGTATAATGTAAGTCTTGTCTAAAATGTGTTAACTGTAAAACTATACGTTTCATGATTTTAATGGGTAACATTTCAGAACTACTGTGTTTCACGTTTTTCATTTTGCATATGGCTGCCTGTCGCTATGGCAATGGCCAGTTTAGGGCCATTTTTCCCCCAACTTTTTCTACTGACAAAGTATCTCACAGAAATGAGTGCTTTCGTGTGAACTCATGGTGACAATTATAAGTTTCAATAAAATGTTATAAATGAAAACAAATCAATCTGTTTTATACACAGAGTACAATTGTTTACTCAGAGTGTACGATAGGCAAAGAAACATGCATACAAGTATCAGCACATTAAACTATATAGTGTCCCTGGTTTCCAGTACTGATGGATACCAGGAGAAAACTTGGTAGCCATATTTTTGCATGCCTGTACAGTTAAAACACTTCTTTACTTTTTTTGATCTATTTAGAACGGAATGCAATCTTTCAAGAATATATTAATGAATTTTTGATGTGTGCTAAGTTCTTTTTCAGCTTCCTTTAAAATACAAGTATTTTGCATGACTTTTTTTTATTTTGAAATGTAGCAGTTTTTCTACACTTAACTCTTTTTGTTTATATTCAAAAGTAAAAAGGCCTTTTATTTCTTTACTGCCATCTTTGCCTTCAATATCTGGTCAGGGTAAATTTGAGTTTTTCTTTTTTTTTTTGACTTGGGGTAAAACATCAATCGTCTGTCTTGCCGCTGTTATATTATAAAACTTTAAACATTTTACTTCATCCATTTTTGACATCTATTTTGCAAAGTGAAATTCTGCCGAGCACCAGGTAAATGCACTGTACACTTCATACCATGTTGGTTGGTAACCCGTCTTTGCTGTGCAAAATCCTTCTTGCCTTGGCAGACACATTTGTGTCACTGCCTTAAGTTCGTGCAAGGTCGTATTAAACAAAAATACCAAGTTACATGTGTGTTCTATTGATAAACACCACACTTTCTAATGCTTAAACTCCAGTGGAGGATTCGGTGGAATTTTAACATGATTTTGGAAGGTAAAAACCCAGCCACAAACACTTTTCTAAAGACTAGATGCCTTGTTTAGAATGCGGCCTCGGGTTCTTGGCACAATTTCAAGAATTCTGTGCTTACGATCACCATTCTGTAACAGCGCTAGCAGAAATATTCTGCGCTAACCTGCAGAGGTTAGCGCAATTATTCTGCGCTAACCTGCTTACCACAAACGCTGGGAGTGTGGAAAGAACTTTTTTCATCATAAATCATCTCAATGGAGGTCAGTCATAGCAAAAATGTTCAAAAGACATGAATCTGGGACTGAGAAAAATTTCCAATTTTGTTAGAAAATACTTTGAAAATGCACTCAACTCTCCATAGACTTTGTATACAACCAAAAAAGTGGCGTAGTAGGTCTGACCTTGTAAGCAAAGAATCCTTAGTTACAGGACGTACGCATGTGCATCAGCCAAACTTCCTCACTAACCCGTGAAATATGCTTAACGTAAGCGCGGAATTTTGTGCTACAGTAAGCAGGGAATTTTTGCTTACAGTAAGCAGGGCCATGACATTTGGCCCTGGTGGATTGTGGAGGATTTGGGAAGGTTCTCAGCAAAAAACAAAGTGTGTTTGGGTTAAAGTGAAAGTTAACCTTTACTATATAATTAACTGACTGCTCGACTGCCCAGGTCAAAATTGGTATTTCCGTGGACTTTTTCTTGCAGCTGATAAATGCTATTTTCAGTCATATTTCCTGATTCAAAAGCTTTTAATTATCATTTCTGGCAAACAAAAAAATGTTTTCAATGATCATGATTGTATGTGATGCCATTTCAAATGCCTTATAATTATCACCTTTGGAAAAAAAGTCGATTAATTTTGACTTGCGTATTTCAAGCTAAAGATCAAATATAAAACAGTGTCTTCCACTAAGTACTTATAGAAAAGATTCCCATCTAATTGATGTGTGTGCCTTCCTGTACTGCTATTTCATGATTGTATTTTCAGTTTTGTGTTCTTCACAAAAATTGCTGGATTTCTTTTCCACGCAGCATTTTAAATATTAAAGCATGCAGTTAGTCATGCCAAGTATCTTTATGTGTATGCAGAATGAGATATTTACATACATGTACAAAATTTGCGTGTGCTAATATGATTTTTTCCTCCATTTATATTGTCAACTTAAGTGCATTTTAAAAACTTAGATCAAGTGGCGCATGTACGCTGAAAATGCAAAAAATATTGTTCGTAAGCATAACTTAGTACATGTACATGAAAATAATAAATGTTGGTAACATTTAACATGCTTTCTTCCCCTTTTTATTTTTAATGCACATTTAATTAACGAAATTAATAATTTGAAATTAATTTTCTGTTTCCAAATAAAATTGACTTGATCAGATTAAAATTACATTTGATAGTAGGATTTTGTTAAGCATTTTAATTCCACCTGTATTAAACTATTCCAAGCAAAAACGTAACTAAGATTTGTTGGTATGCAATACAGTAATCATGAATTTAATGTTATATATCAACATAGGAAAATGTTAGCATGTAAAGAACATTGTAGCCCAAGAAAGTATAGTTAACCAATATTTTATTTCCTATAACAAATTTGATTAAATAAACAATTTGAATTATCAATAATAACTCTACTTTATGTTCGTAACAAACTTACAAAATTTAGATTGAATACTGATAGATTTAATATGATAGGCCTAGGCCTAATTAATCATTCTCTTTGGAATAAGAACATTAACATTTACCTTAATTTCGGTTAATTTCGGTTAATTTTGTGTTGAAAATTCTACTTAGTAATTGTTTAGTTGAATTTTTGTCGTATCATTTAGAGGTTTAGAAAGTGTTTTTGATTGAGTGAGTAAGGAAGTTTTTTCGTTCAACAACCAAACAAAGATTCAATCAAATAAGCGGTTCCTTTCTGATTTTGCATGTCCATAATTTGGTTGTATTCTTGTGGTAAAATTTTACCAATGAACTCTTTCATGCCGAGTTGCTACTTTTAAAAAAGTCATTTGTGACCGGACTATTTTCCTTAATAAAATATCTACTAAAACCAGATACATGTTTTACGTTTCGTTATCTCAATTTGTTTGATTCACATGTCTCAGAATTTCGAGTGTTTAATTTTCAGGCGCCGGAAATGTTTGCGCCTGTCAAAGGGCGCTGTTGGCCTCCAAATTCCTTGAGCTCCCATTGGACAGATATTTTTCACCAGTGACCCGGGGTCGACACGCGTGCGCACAGAATGCTATGCATTCCATCCTCGTTCTCATGGTGTCAAGCACTGCGCTCCCACTGCCTGTTCCCTCTCTATTGGAAACGAATTTGAAAATAAAGTAGGACCCGGGGACGAGTATGCCGTGCATTCATCATGACGGATGGTACCCACAATGCTTTGCGAAGTGTGCGATTTAGGCTGCAAATTCATGGTCTTCACAAGTTTTAAAAAAGACTTAAGCCATTCTGGATTGGTCGATTGGTATGCACAAGCAAACTGATATTGTTGCAGTATGGCCAACAGTGTCTGAGGTCGACCAAGTCACCATTTATGTCTTTAAATTTCTTTCTTAATTGAGAGTTTAGTCTCCCACATGTACCTTCAAGTGCAAGCTGGAACTTTTGTAGCAAGTGAGGGCCCCACGGAATCAGGTATGGACTGAAAATCCAATCCACATATTGGTCCAGGCGGGATTTGAACCCCGGTTACAGCGGTGGAAGGCGAGGAAAGTATGCCAACCTGACTCCCCTTTGGGGGGGGGGGGAAATCATCCCAAAGCCATGGGTCAATCTCACAAAAATTCAACAGTAACTGAACGATGGCTATTCAAGCTTTGATTTGAAGTATGTCTTGAACACCTACCTTGGATAGTTGTGAATATTTTGCCCCAGTTTTGTGTTTAAGTGGGTTTATTTTATACTGGTCCACAGTCCGGACCCTATTAAACGTGTTTGCTGCCACCAACCTCTCCAAAAGTCACTACGCTAACCCGTGCAGTGGAATTATTATGTTTGCCATTAGCTGGATGTAGTCATTTTTACACAAATGCGACTTTATTCAATTAGATAAAGAAACGCTGCCGAGACACGTGCAGATGACGTCATCGTTTCCATGACTACAGACTGGGCGCGGCAGTGACTCATTATTTTGAATGGTAATAATTAATCAATTGGTGATGTTATCATATCAGCTCCGTACTTTGATGAGTTTGTATCGTGCTTCGTGTATTTTTTTAGTACTTTGACAGCTGGAATAGCTATTTATGTTGCCAGCATGATTACATAACTGTAGTTTTGTAAACTTGTATGTAGACCATACTTATTTTCGAGCTCATGAGGGCGCTATTACGAAGCCAGTTGGGACCATTAATTGTCATACTTAAGGTGTAACATTCCCAACTGGCCCTATATATTTATGTGACGACCTTTGACTCCACTTATCGTACATGATACTTGTGTCAAAGTCCCAAGATATCGATCCTCCACATAAAGTACTGCAAACCTATAGCAAAAAGGTGCAAAGTTGTACTTTTGCCTTGTCGGTAGTACCAACACGGCGGTACAGGTAAATGTGTTGTAAACAATGATGACTAATATCAAATCAGAGATTTGCCCTTAATATCTTGATAACATATGGACAAGTGGAGAATATTATTATTGTGTTGACCTAATTATTGTGTTGGTGCAACTTTTTTTGGCAAATCGAAACAAAGAAGACACAGTTATGTTCACACAATTTGGTGGTGATAACGAGACACTACCCGTAATGGGTGGTCATTCAAACCAACTCTCAGATTTAAGAGTCAAAAGTCAGTGTACATGTAGTATTTTTTTGACATCTCGATGAACAGCCCTGGAATTAATATGTTGCAGGATTTCCAAAATTGTCTAAATCTGCTAAATGTTCATTCCAAATGCAGCGCACTATGCCAGGAAAGAAAGTTTTAGGCTATAGCAAAGAAGTCAATGCACATATAAGGTCTTATACACGTCACACTTTGCGCCCATTCTCAGTGTGTTATGCTTTATCCTTTCAATCGGTCACTAAGGATAAAAGAAAAAGAGTGAGTACGCGGTTCAATGTGGATTCAATGTGGGACTCACATTAAAACCTTCATTTTTTTATATTTACATGTACTCATTAACGAAGACGATATCGACCCGATTTAGACCTAACCCCGAACTCGACCGTACCCAGGGTCTTCTCTCGACTTCGTGACATACAATAGCCCCTGGGAGGGAAACTTGCTGCGTGTATTCCGATTCGATCCCGCATACTACATGAATTTCAAAATTTAATGTTCATTGTGAATCATGACGTATGATCCTCCTCAAGAGTCCTCCCTTCTAACCTTTGCTTATCGTATTTAATTACGAGGCACCAGACTATCCCGTGTACCTATAATGCAGGATTGTAGTGATGTAAATTATTCAGTCTGAGGGCGAGAGAGCTGCTATAGTGGGAGCGTTATGCTCGACGCCATATGGGGACGAGGTTGGACCTGACCCATTCCGAGTGTGGGCGACAGAACAATTCAGCACAGAGGAGCAAAGTCCTTACTGGATTGTTTGTCCATCCACATGTATTATTTGGTTAAACTATAGGCTACGATTTTTGCCGTTGCTAAGATTTCAGGTGCAGCATATGGTGTAAAAAGGTGCATGTAAGCTACAATACCGCCATTGCGTTTCTGTACCCTGCGAGATTGAATATACTCAGCCGATGCCGGCCTGTTCTCTGTTAGCGGCGCTTGGTGTTTATTCAGAAGGTGAGTTGTGCCGATCCATAGACCTTATGCGTAACGGCTATCTTAGAGAGCACCTTTTGTGATTTAATTCAATAACAATGAATGCGCAAAAGGTTGACTCATGCATATCTCAAAACAAAGGCAATTGCCCTCTAAGATTGCTGCCACACGCAGATCTATTAAATCGCATTGATGAAAGAAAGATGCATGGTGATTCATATTTCAAGATACCTTCAAAATGGTCTTCTGATACATCATTAGATAATGTATCGGATTAAAACTGTACTATTCAAGAAGGCATTCGTGATTTTCTTTTTTAATTAATGGAAACCTGCAATAATGATTTTTCCCTGCGAACCTTAATCTGACCGTCTAGATGTAATAATTGCACCATTTTTTTATTAACCGTATAATTAAGTGGAGCTTGGTGCGACCGTGAAATTTTCGGAGCAAGGGACCTCACGGATTGACCTGCTGATTGACCGGCCAACACACAGGTGTAATGACCGACCACCAACCTGCCGATCGACCAACCGATTGAGCACTACCGACCAATCAACTTACCGCACGACTGACCAAACGGCAAATCAACCGACCGACCGACCACAGACTATAATTACCTACCGACGGACCGCAACCAATCGTACCAACGTCCAACGACCCAGCCGACTGACCTACCGACTAATCATACCGACCAACTGACCATCTGATTGACCAATCGTACCGGCCATAAAATATATTGACTTTCAATAATATTGGCTATCGACAGACCTACTATACCATTTTCGCCGGTCGCAACCATTTGATAACTGTTTACCATACTGTCAAAAAAGTCACCTTGATCGTCAAATTACCTGGTATGCCCTCATTTTTTTATATACCAAATCGTGACTCACGTCATCTCATATATAGAACGCTACCGTACGTCATGAGACATCTAAATCACAATATATCACTTTACCTTTGGATAATTAAATCGGTTAAATCTTCGTGCTCAAATCTCTACAAGAATCCAAGTCGTTTCAAATAGAACCCCAAATTAATGTACATCTTATTTCTGCGTTTAGTCGGCTCTTCGTTTATACCTGGTTACTGAATACCTTTAAAAGCGGCGGACCCTAAAAAGTACAACAAACAAAACAACGCCTATAAGGGTGAATGTGAGGTCAGCGGAGCCTTAGCGACATCGCACGATGTATTTGCAATTGATATCCCCACAGAAATGTTAACCATTAACAGGGCAAGTGCTTGAAGCGAAAAATGGAAAGACAGCAATATATTAATCATTAACATTCAATTGAAGTGGAACAAAGGAGCAGCGTACATTAGAGTTGTAGAATATTGTTGCATCTCTGTACCGGGCTAATTGTCATAAAGCCGGAGGAAATCGGAAGTTAATAATATTGTTCTCTTCGTGCGATTCCACTTTTGGCGTATTTAGTAAGACATTTGGAGTCCTACGAAGGTTGTTGAGAGTGGTTTGTCGTTTTACAGAGGACCTATTCCTTTGTAAACCCATTAAGAAGGTAGACATTTCGGTTTCAATTTTTAATTTGACATAGGAAATCACTTGAACTTAACTAGTTACCATAATATTAATTTGAGGAAGAGAATTATAGCCATGAGATTAGGCCTAAACAAATTACAGAGTTGACAGAATTTTTGCGACAAACTTCGTTCTTGACCAAACGTTTGGAGAAACCGATGGGCCGCACCAGTCACAACTTCTCCATTGAGAGACGAAGTTGCTGCAAACTACCCTGCCCAGGGACATATCACCCCGATGCAACTATGTGGCTGTGTCTCAGTGTTGTTTTGATCGATGCAAGAAACAAACATGATGGGACTTTCAGTTTGTTATTTAACCATGCTGCATTATTGTTGAGTTTATTGTGCACAAGCTGTGCATTTTTTTTATTATTCTGTGATTAATTGGATTGATTGCAGTTGATCTGAATACCTTGGAAATGTGATAACTTAGACACCAACGAATCCTCATGAAAACCGTTCGCTTCGACGAGCCCGCTAGTCAGCAACAGCAGCTGCAGCAGCGGGCTCCAAACCAGCAGCAGCAGTTCGCAGCAGGCAGCATGCTGCCGTATCCAGAAACCCCCCAGCAACAGCAGGTGATCACCATATCGCAGCAGCAGCAGTTGCCGCCGGTCAACGGCGCCCTGCCCCCGGGCAACAGCAGGTCTTCATCCAGCCCCACCCGTACCAACAAGGGGCCGTGCTCGTGGGGCAAGCCGCACCGGTGCCGAAGAACAGGCGGTACCGGTTGAAGGCCGCTAGGACCCTGGCCATACTGCAGCTCA